TCTTTAATATTCTTAGAGATGAACAGTGCAGTCCACATTTATTGGATACCCACTACGTGCCAGGGACTGAATATAAAAACAAAATCCCTAACTCCCAGGTTTACAGTTTAGTGTGAAAAAACACATTTAAATACAGATATAGTCTGTAAATTTGTCCCTGCTGAAACCTCATGTTGAAATGTAATCCCTAGTGTTGGAGGTGAGGCCTGGTGGGAGGTGTTTGGATCATGGGGTTGGATCCCTTATGAATGGCTTGGTCTATCCCCTTGGTGTTAAGTGAGCTCTTACTCTGAGTTCACACAGAATCTGGTCATTTAAAAGTATGTCCCCCACTCTCTCTTTCTCTCTCACTCCAGCTCAGCTATGTGAGATGTCTGTTCCTCCTTTACCTACCACCATGAGTAAAAGTTTCCTGAGGCCTCCCAAGAAGCCAAGCAGAGACCGGCACCAGGTTTCCTATGAAGCCTGCAGTGCAGAACTGTGGGTCAATTACACCTTTCCTTTATAAATTATCCAGTCTCAAGTATTTCTTTATAGCGATGCAAGAATAACCTAACACAAATATACATCAACATACATGGAAAATATCTGTAAAAATATAAAATTATTTTCAATGGTTATATCTAAAGCAGAGATTATAAGGCACTTTCATTTTCTACAGCATCTGCTCTATAATGTTCAAATTTTTATAGTGGCATATATGCTTACATACATAGAAAAAACAAAAACATTTTTAAAAGGGAGGAAAAATCAGCTGTCAGACTTTTAAACTTATCTGTCCCCTAGCTTTTCTCCACTACCTAGATCTTAAAATTCACAAGCAACTGTGGATTTAAAATTATAGTTACTATATGTATAATGATACATAAGTATACAAACATTAAATAAATGGACTATTTGGTTTTTTTGTTTGTTTTGTTTTTGAGACAGGACTTGCTCTGCTGTCCAGGCTGGAGAGCAGTGGCAAGACCATAGCTCACTGCAGCTTCAACCTCCTGGGCTCAAGCAATCCTCCTACCTCAGTCTTCCAAAGTGCTAGGATTACAAACATGAGCCACCGTGCCCAACCAGATTATTTAGAGAAATAATTAGAAACTCTAAATGTTGACTACGAAAGATGAATTAACTAAATTATAGGAGATATATACCTAGAACACTAAAGGAGGCAGTGTGGTGATAAGGTTAACATTACAGACTTCAGAGCCACAGTGCCTGGGTTTGCCAGCTCTGCCACTGACTAGCTACATAACATGATCAAGTGTTTTATCCTCTCTAGGACTCTGTTTCCACATCTGTAAAATGATGAGGAACCTACGAAACCAAATAACTGCTGTAGGGAATCAGATTAATAATTTTAAATATTAAATATAACAATGTATATATTTATATAATATATAAGCAATAATTACTAAATTTATATATAAATTTATGATTGATATATTTAAATTTTAAATATATATAAAAGTACTAAAAAAAGCACTTAGTAAGCCTTCAATAAATGTTAACTAATATTTATTATGTGTGCTGAAATGAAACAAAGTCAAACTTTCACTACTAAGTGAAAAAAACAAAATATTCTGCATAATAATCCAATTTTAGCATACGAAATTGTAAGGAAAACATGTTGGCATATGAATAGAAAATAATGTGGAAGGAAGTATGACCTATGGAATCACAAACCTGGGTTTTATACCTAAACTTAAGTTCTGGATCCACTACATATTATCTGTGTGATCTCAGGCAAATACTTTTTCTAGGCCCCAATGTCTTCATCTGCGAAATGAAGACAACCACCTGACAGAGTTGTTGCAAAGATTAAATATATCTAAATTACAATATCTGGCATACAACAAGAACAAATGCTGGTTACTGCTTGCATTAATAATATTATTACAGTTGTTGAACATGCCTCTCTTGTTAACTATTACATACCTAGTACCTAAAACAATGCCTGGCAAAGTAGGTACTCAATGATTGCTTGTTGATTAAATGGATGAGTCAAACTGTTAAAAGGTTAGTAGAGATGGGTATGGGATTACAAGGATATTCACTTTCATGACTATATATTTCTGTAACGTTAAGTTCCACTATTTAAAAAATTACACGTTTAACTACACAATTAAAAATTCCTATTTTCCTTAAAGTAAAAGCAAGAAGTTCTAATTTCTGGAAGAATGCTCAATTCAAAAAAGTTAGTGGAAAATAGAAAGCAGCAATAAAATAAAATAAAAAATAAATAAATAAAAGAAAAAGAAAAACAAGTTACTGAGTAGTAAAGGCTTTATCTCAAAGGCAGTAATGAGAATACACAGTTTTATTCCCACCTTTCTAAAGGTTAATCAGATTATTCTAAGCAACTTTTTGGGTCTCAGAAATAAGTACAATTTCAAACAAATGCAATAAAGGTATTATCTAAGGATCTCTAAGAATCCCTAAGACAATTTTCAAGGGGTCTGTGAGCTCAAAATGGTTTCCACTATAATTCTAAGACAGTTTTTGCCTTTTCCTCTTCTTTTCCATCTGCCCTGATGGCACAAAAGCAACAGTGTGTAGAACTGCTAGTATTTTAGCATGAATCTAGGTGGTGGCATGAAACTACTTCACTGACATACATAAGAGTTTAAAAAAAGAAACAAAACAAAAAGCAAGTTTTACTAGTTACTTTGATCAAATTTTGACCTTGGAGTACAAGTCTTTAATATTCCGTGGAATGAAATAGGAAGTACAAATAAAGAACTACTGTCATATACTCAGATATGCTAGTTATCTTGAAGAAATTACTTCGGCAAGTGATTCGTAAGCTAAATTGATAGCTTTTTTCCTTGGAACATCATTTTTGCTTGAGAGACAAATGTGCTTTTCCAGACAAGAACATACAGCAGATAGTTTCTTAAAAATGAGTTAAATCAGCCTGTTGCTTTGTGAACAAACACCTAATGGTATCTGTTGTTGTTGATAAAATTTAAATTTTCTTTTTTTTTTTGAGACGGAGTTTCTCTGTTGTTACCCAGGCTGGAATGCAATGGCGTGATCTCTGCTCACCGCAACCTCCGCCTCCTGGATTCAGGCAATTCTCCTGCCTCAGCCTCCCAAGTAGCTGGGATTACAGGCACGCGCCACCATGCCCAGCTAATTTTTTTTTGTATTTTTAGTAGAGACGGGGTTTCATCTTGTTGACCAGGATGGTCTCGATCTCTTGACCTCATGATCCACCTGCCTCGACCTCCCAAAGTGCTGGGATTACAGGCGTGAGCCATTGCGCCCGGCCAAAATTTGAATTTTCAAGTGAAAAGTTAAAAATTAGAATTTTGTAAAACTTAGATCTGCCACTGTGAGCTTAAAAGGTTTGCTATGGGTAACTTTTCTGATAATATAGATGATATCATATCTAATGCATCAACACTTAGAAGATATTCATACATCAGTAAACAGACAATGTTGCAAAATCATGCAGGAATAAAAGATTAATTGAAGGGCAAGATAATCCAAAGGATTTTACCATAACAAAGTACAAATTTCACATACAACTAACCTTTGAGAAAGCAATATTTCAAAGTTTTGACATGTTGTCAAAAAATATATTTACCTGAACAAGATAATACTTCTCCTTTTCCAACTACACCTAAGTGTGAAACTGAACTTTTTTCATGTATTTCAACCAAAAGAGGAACAAAACAAAAACACCGCAACAGACTGAATGAAGAAGCAGATAGGAGAATTCAGCTGTGCTATTAAGGCAGACATTCAAAAGATTTGCAAAAATGTAAAACAATGCAATCTTCTAGCTAATTTTTTGGTAACTATAGTTATTTTTCATTAAAAAATGTTATTTATGTTAACATGTAACAAGTTTATTATTTATTACTTTTAAACCTATTGATAATTCTTTTTTTCTTTTTATTTTTTTGAGATAGGGTCAAGCTCTGTATCCCAGGCTGGAGTAGACAGTAGTGTGAACATAGCTCACTGCAGCCTCCATAGCCTGGGTTCATGCAGTCCTTCCACCTAAGTTTACCCAGTAGCTGGGACCACAGGCATGTCACCACCATGTAGCTAATTTATTTTTTTGTTTTGTTTTGAGACAGAGTTTTACTCTGTCGCCAGGCTAGAGTGCAGTGGCGCCATCTCAGCTCACTGCAACCTCTGCCTCCTGGATTCAAGCAATTCTCCTTCCTCAGCCTCCCAAGTAGCTGGGACTACAGGCGCTTGTCACTACTCCTAGCTAATTACTGTATTTTAGTAGAGACGGGATTTCACCATGTTGGCCAGAATGGTCTAGCTCTCTTAACCTCGTAATCAACCGGCCTCAGCCTCCCAGAGTGCTGGGAATTACAGTCATGAGCCACCACACCCAGCCATGCTTTTGTTTTGTAGAGCTGGGTCTCCTCATGCTGCCCAGGCTAGTGTCAAATTCCTGGGCTCATCCGGGCACAGTGGCTCATGCCTGTAATTCCAGCACTTTGGGAGGCTGAGGCAGGCAGATCATCGGAGGTCAGGAGGTCAAGACCAGCCAGGCCAACATGGTGAAACCCTGCCTCTACTAAAAATATAAAAATTAGCTGGGTGTGGTAGCAAGTGTCTGTAATCCCAGCTACTCGGGAGGCTGAGGTAGGAGAATTGCTTGAACCCGGAAGCCAGAAGTTGCAGCGAGCCTCACACCATTGCACTCCAGCCTGGGCAACAGAGCAAGGCTACCTCAAAAAAAAAAAAAAAAATTCCTGGGTTCACGGGATCCTCCTGCCTTGGCTCCCAAAGTGCTGGGATTACAGGTATAAACCACCACACCTGGCCTAAATATTATTAAATGTTTCAGTTTTAATGTCTAATATGGCAAATATTGATAGATAATCCCAGAAACAAAAGCTCTTTCAGGATGTCAGTAAATTTTAAGAGCATAAGGGTTTGCGGGCTGCTACACTAGAAGCGAATAATAGTAGACTAGAGTCCTATTTATAAAAAGGGCTGCTCTTGAGACTTTTCAGAGTATCCAAGGATCATACCTGCTTAGCAAAAAATATTGTGTCAAGTCGGGAGTCCTGAACCACAGAGCCTGCTGGTTCTTCTCCTGGCTGCCACTTGAAAAGAAAAATTAACCCATGAACTGGCCTACAAAATAAAATACAAATTAGTGACATCAAACCCTGCTTCTTTTATAATACACTTTACTCAGTTATTTAACAAATAGAATGCAAATGAAGTAAATTAATTAAATCTGAGAAATGTTTAAAAGATCGCTACTGCCACTCATAGTCACTGGACTATTGCCTTAGAAGATGCTAATACAACGTAAGACTGTATCAGTTAAAATAAAATTATAGTGAAAGGTTTATTCTCAAATCTGTAGACTATTCATTTCTACTTCATATCACCTCACTTAAAAAATAAGAACATAGTAAAACTAAAAGGTGGCTGAACTCCAAAATATGTAAATAAAGCTCATGTAAGATGTTTACAGATAAATGGCTGATAGTATATATTACCTGTATTAAATATAGGAAGTAACCTTCACATATTATTGGATTCATGAACAATCCTCATATTGCAATATGAATGGATGCTATCATCTCATACATAATGAAATCATCCACTTTCCTAAGGAACTGTTTTTGAGCACAAAATATTAAATCACTACTTTAAAATTCCTTCTAGTGTATCTATCACAACTGCCTCCCACTCCACAAAAAAACATTTCTTATCCTCAGGGCTGGGCATGGTGGCTCACATCTGTAATTACAGCACTTTCGGAGGCCAAGGCAAGCAGATTACTTGAGGCCAGGAGTTCGAGACCAGCCTGGACAACATAGTGAAACCACGTCTCTACTAAAAAAACAAAAACAAAACAAAAAATTGGACAGGCATGGCGATCTGTGCCTGTAATCCCAGCTACTTGGGAGGCTGAAGCAGAAGAATCACTTGAACCCGAGAGGCAGAGGTTGCAGTGAGCCAACATCGCACCACGGCAGTCCAGCCAAGGCAACAGAGTGAGACTCTGTTTCAAAAATATAAAACAAACTTTCCTATCTTTTTATTTGATTCAACGTTATTTTATTTTAGACACAGGGTCTCACTATGTTGCCCAAGTAGCTACAACTACAGGCATATGACACCATGCCTGGCTCCTATCTTCTTAAAGACAGTTCAAATGATGCATTTTTAATAAACCTTCCATAATCTTAGCCACAAATGATCTCATTTCATCTAAAGTGATTGCTCTTTTTACCAGAAAGAGGAAGGTGGGAAGAAGCAAACTACGTATCTCCTTCTTACTACTAACAACAGCTGGCATATCCCTAAGTCCCTATTTTCCCTTTTAAGATTATTCCTTGACCCCATTCCAAGACTCCAAGTCTCCCACCTGTGAAATTTCCTCTAGCCCTCCATTTGAAGACACAGGGTCAATATCTGAGGGCATGTGGCCAGGGGTAAGGAGAAGCTAAGAGAGGTGATTCTGGCCAGAAAGATGAGGGAAGGAGAAAAGTTGTTTCTGCCATCAACATTTGAAACTTGAACTATAACTTTCCCAAAAGCAGTGTGATAGTGTATAGGCAAGTTCTGGATTACTATAAATATATATTATCGATTAAATATGCTCTTGTCCATTGACCTATTATTCTTGCTTTTTATGTTAAAATGTGTTCCATGTTCTAACACTATTGATATGTAAGTGAATTTTGTAAAATCAACCTACCAGTACTTTGTGAATATGGAATTACAGAGACTTAGGTTTGACTCCTTGCAGCTTACCTATCAGCCTCGGGTTATTGGTTATAAAATGAGAAGAATAATGTCTATCTCACAGGATTGAAGAGACTTAAAGGACATAACGTATTCGGCCTAGAGTAATCCAAGTAAAATAAACAAAAAATTGTGAATATCCTTTAAGTTTTCTAAAGTATAAACATATTATTATTGTTAATACAACTAAAATTAAACTTACTTTAATTTTTCAAAATTCTCAGGCTCTAAACTCCATATTTCTTCAACCTGAGCTCCTCGGCAACCTGAAATAATAAATTATTTTCTTTAGAAAATAGAATAATTCATTTTTTCCTTCAATAAGAAATAAAATATTAACTAAAGGAAATGCAAGACACAACAAAACAAAATGGAAAAACGAATAAAGCTCACAGCCAAATCTCATTACTTCCTTTAATAGATCCCAATTATTTACAATGAGAGTATATTTATAATGTAAAGAGTTTCAGTATTTTCATTGAATCACCACTCTGTGACTGTTCTTTCTGTCTCTCTCAATCTCTGGCTCCTCTATCTACTCCTTTCACTCAACTGTTCTATTTCTCCAGCTCTGCTATTAGCCCTGTATTTTTTTTTTCCTTACTGTACACGTTTTTTTTTCTGAGAAAGTAAATAACTACCACTTAACAGTAACTTTCAAATCACATCTTTAGTTCTGATCCTTATCCTAAATTCCAACTGTATATTTTCAACTACTTCAGAGTCACATCTCCTTCTCTCCTACCAAATATTCTTCTAGGACAGTGGTTCTCAACTAGGGTGACTTTGCCCGCCAGGGAACATTTGGGAATGATAGACTTTTCTTATTGTCATTATTGTCACCGGTGTGAGAGGTAAGGGGGTTGCTACTAGCATCTATTGGGTAGAGGCCAAGGATGCTGACAGATATCCTGTTACACAGGACAACCTCTGACAACAAAGGAATACCTGGCCCAAAATATCAACAGTGCCAAGGTTGAGAAACTCTGCTCTAGTGTACTGTAGTAATTGTGTAGTGGTTAAGAGCTTGGCCTCCAAACTGCTAGAGTTTGAATCTTGGCTCCTACATTTAATAGCAATATAACCATTGAACCTCTCCATTCCTCACACTCATAGAGCTGTTTTGAGGAATTAATGAGATAATGTAGGAGATACATTTAATTCAGAGCCCAGCACACTTTAAGGGTCCACCAATTGTTAGTATTAATCACAATCCAAAAAACAACCATATTTCCCAAAGTATTTTACGTTCTCTATGTATTAAATGTATTTTCTCTAATCTCCGCAAGGTAAGAATTTAATGCAAGAGTTTTTGGATATTAATCAGCTTGCCTATATTCATTCACTACAGCTAGTATGTGCCAGAAAACTAATTAAAACCCACATCAGGTTCCAAAGTCTAGGCATTTTCTGATTTTTCAGATTATTTTCAAGCAAAAGCTAGAGAAGCCTTTAGACTACCTACCTTAAAAAAAGTGGTTAAAAAAGAAAAACCAGTTGGATAAACTAACAATGTGACTGGGCATTCATGCCATTCTGTGCCTCAGTTTGCTCCATTCAGCAAATATCTCTTTAGTGCCCACTCTGGTATTAAAGATATATGTACAAAGAAAGTCACTCATGGTTTGTAGTGGAGGAGAACCAGAAAAAAATCTGAATATCTGGCAAAAAGTTAAGAATAGACATTCACATATATCAAATTAGGAAAAAAAACCATGTAAATGTAAACCTATGTTTCTGTCAGTGTCGGAAGGGCCTGGGAGAATGTTAATGCAACTGTTAACACTAGTCACTTCTATTAGAACTCAGTCAACTGTTAACACTGGTTATTCCTATTGGAACTCGGTCAATTGTTAACACTGGTTAATTCAATTGGCAATCAAAAACAGGCCAGCATTAAAACATTCTACATATTATACCACAACAAAAAAGAAAAAGTACACTGAATAAAAGTGCCTTGAAGCCTTCTGCACAGGTAGAGTTTCAAGTAGTGACACTGTTTAAATAATCTCACATTAAACACAAGGAAAACATAGTACTCAATTTAGCATCTTTCTCCTTATATATAGTAAATCTCTAATACAGCATGGTATAACGGAAAGAGAAATAAGCGATGACTCCAGAGACCCATGTTCTGATCCTAGAACTGTCGTAAAGCTCTTAACCTTGAGAAAGAACACAATTTATTTGAGCCTCACTTTCCTCATGTATACCTGTTTCATCCAAGTTACAAAATTCTTGTGAGATATAGAATTGTGTCAAAAACTAAACACAAAGAATCACTTAATACAGACTCCCCAAATAATACATATTAAATAAAAAGTTGAGGGGGAAGGTTTTAAAAACGGTATTGCATGCCAAGCATGGTACCAGGCCCTGGCAAGGACAGAAATTAATAAACTATTGCCATAATACTTAAAAATGTCACCATCTGGTAGGAGACAACCATATACAATGCAAGAACTGTACAGCGTGCGTAAATTACATATGAGGCATACATAGAACATGTTCTGGAAGTTGGGAAGTAAGAGAGATCATTACTACCTGCACTGGTTAAAAAAAAACAACACAAAAAACTGTCATGGATAAGTGAACTGGGTCTTTAAAAAAAATGATCATATGATTTGTCATCTAAACTTGAACACTGTTCCAAAGTGAAAGGGGGTGCTAACATTAAAATGCTTTGAAAGATTTATTTATTAACATCTGTATTATACTGATCAGTCTATAAAGTAGTTCTGATTCAGAAACGAATTTCAGAAATAACTATCTTAAAAATCAACCTGGAGCCCAGAGAAAAACACTCATGGAGCCCTCCCAAACTTGTCAGTGTGTCAAGTTTAACTGACTGCTAGGTATGCTGAATGCTAGCTTCCAACAGACGGTTTTGACAATTTGTCATTCCCCTACTCCTACCGATAAGTCTATGAGAAGCTCCAAGAATGACCCCAGCTTCTGCACCCTGCAAAAAACACTCCCAGATGTCTTTCACAACCCCACTCTCAGTCATTCCATGGTACAGATAAATTCTTTAGCTGATGATGTGACCAAATAGGAGAAACTGGATTGACAGCCCTCAGGTAGTCTCTCCTTAAACAAGAACTAGACCTAATTATTTCAAGTGGGAGCCCTAAATCACAGGCAGTTACCTTGTACCCCTAAACTTAGTTGGTCTTATTTTGGGGGCTGTAACAACTGTAAGCAACACTTGCCTCCAGGGGCACCATGTGCATCCCAAGATTTGTGTGAAAGCCAGGCATTATCCCTCTCTCTTCAAAACAAGGTGAAATGTACCTTAGGGGCAGTCATAATATAGCTTCATGTTAAGGAAACACCACGTTGGACCCAAGTCATTCAAATCTGCCCTAACCCATGGGTCAGAGCTGTCACAGATGACGGAATTACTCTTCCTCCTTACATAACAAGGTGGAGTCTCTAAATATATCCTGCCATCCCTGGATTAACCCTTCAAGCCAAGAGGAAATGTCAATACAAAAATCCAAGAAAGCCATCTGGTTTTTTACTGTAAATACTATAAATAGACAAATACCAACCCTGTTGGTCAGGTCATATTGAGCAGAATGGCTGAGGAAATGGCTATTTAGTGTAGAAAGGAACAGTGAATATTCTTGGAAGAATTTTCCCAATAGGTTTCTCTTATTTCTGTACATCTTCTGCAAGGAATTACCAGCTTTGCTCTGGACCATCTTTTCAAGGATGTTCATATAGCAAACAGACTTGGAAGACAGAAATAGTGCCTTTCTCCAAGGCAGAGGGAAGACTGATTTGCTGTCCAAGATAATAATGTGTCCTTAAAGGCAAAAGTTGAGGTTTGCTAGCAGCCCTATTGTAACATTAATTCTCTAGCTATAACACAGCCTACTACGTGTGCAGCATCCACCAGGGTCCACCTCCATCCTCATGAACTCAGAGGAAAAAGGAACCAATGTGAAAATGAATCTCCTGCTGCCTACTATGCTGAGTAATACAACTCTTATCTCTAAACCAAAAGTTGTCTGTAACATCTATAAAACTGTCAAGCCAACTTATTTGCTGGGAAGCAGGAGAAAATCTAACACTTTGTAATTCTTAACAGATGTTAGATTTTTGTTAAATGCCTTTTCCATCTATTGATATAATCATGTTTTTTTTGTTTTTGTTTTTTGGCTTATTAATATGATGCATTACACTGCTTTTTGAACATTAAACCAATCCTAAATTCCTGGGATAAATTCCACTTAGTCATGATGTATTGTTCTCTTAATGAATTATTAAATTCAATTTGCTAAAATGGTTTAAAATTTGTACATTTAAGTTAATGATGGATATAGGTCTGTAATTTTTTCTGGTAGTATCTTTGTCTAGTTTTGGTGTCAGGATAACACTGATCCTCAGAGAATGAATTGAGAAGCATTATTTCCTCTCCAATTGTTTTGGAAGAGTTTGCATAGCATTGGTATTATTTATAATGTTGTATAATTGATAGAACTTACCAGTAGAGTCACCTTGGTGAGAATTTCTTTGCAGGAAAATGTTAAACTACAGTTTCCATTTCTTTAATAAATACAGGGCATATACTGGTTATCTATTTCTTAAGTGAGCTTTGGTAATTTGTGCCTTTAAAATAATTTGTAGACTTCATTCTGAACTGTCAAATGTATTGCCATAAAGTTGTCAGTAATATCATTATCTTTGGAACATCTGATGTCTCCTCTCTTATTCCTATACTGAAATACAGGAACATCTGTTTTTCTTCTGATCAGTCTTGCTAGAGTGATTCTATTGATCTTCCCAAAGAAACAGCTCTTAGTTTCATTTATTTTCACCATTTTCTTCTCTTTTCTGTTCCACTAATTTTGACTCTGATCTTTATGACTTGCTGTCATCTCCTTACTTTAGGTTTAGTGTGCTCTCGTTTTCTAGTTGTAATAAAATGAAAGCTGGGGTTATTGGTTTGTTGCAAGAAAAGTGAATCCAGTTCCCATTACTCTATCTTGGCTGGAAGCAAATGTTTACAGCTTCTGTTTTTATTAACACACCAGCACAGTGTGTTTTGGCACTAATATGTATTACGTATGGACCATACCAATTAAAAGTACAGTTCCACTCCACCGGTTTCTTAATGTATTACATTCCACCAAAATTTGTACTTACATACTTACTGTATTCACAATTAATTCCACTTTCAACAATGGAACTTTCGAAATTAATTAATGACAGCATTCACAATACTGTCATTAATTCACTTTTGACTTTCAGATATTTCACTTTTGAATCAACTGCCAAAAGTGTTTTTATTCTATAAATTTGGTGAAACAAATGAAAATTATGGAAATAATTGGAATAAACTGTCTCTTTGAAGATCTGATGACATAAAACTATCATTTAACTTTTTGCAAGTTCTTCTGCTAATGAAGCCAATTTATTAACAGCTATTGCTTTTTCATATGTGCATGTACAGAAGATGAATTTATCTATCATTCCTTCATACATGATTTCTAATTCCAAGTTTTCTGCACATATGAAATTGAAGCAGTAAACAAACTTACCTAGTACATTTCTGAAAGTTAACTTCAACATATTAAGGTTTTGAAGGTATGGCTAAATCTGCAGACATCTCAAATCTGTCCAAATCTGAATCCATTTTCTTGTCCCTCAAGCCTGCTCTTCAGCTGTAATTGTGTTCCATGAGCCACGCAGGCTAGAAACTATGAAATAATTTTTGCATCTCTTTTCCCAGTCTAGTCAGCTTTCCATTTTCTTTTCTCTTATGTGTGTAGGAGTAATATACTACCACTCAACCTCTACTGTAAGGTTGGCAGCCCTGATAACTCCTTTTGTAATTTAGCATGTTATGGATGTATTTCTGCTCCCAAAGGAATGAAGAGCAGATATTTCCACATGCAACTGTTGCTTTAAATACAGCAAACTTACTAACTCCTCCTTCCTAACGCAGTAGTTTAGCCAATCATCTCAGATTCCAACCATTTTAAGAGATGCCTAGCTTCTCTTACTGTATTCCAATCTGCCCTGCACACTACAAGCACAGCAAGTCTTAATTATGAAAGTAAGGTCATTTCAGCATTAAAATATATTTGGGATAAATCCCCAGTGACTACAGGGCAATTCGAACTATACATGGCATACGATCTGGCCTCAGTTTATCTTTTTAGCTTCAGATCCAAATAAATATTCCTCCAGTCTGTTACATTATGTTCTAGTCACTTTGCTAGCTGTTCGCTAAGCCCATCGCTACTGTTTCTGCTTCTCCTTCTGCCTGGGCTCCTCCATGACCTGTGTACTTACAACATTTTATACATACTCGAACATGGCAATTAACACACCATATTGTAGTCTGTCTATTCTTCGAAACAGCAGTTATGGTTTATTCATATGAAAATTTCCCAATCCTCACCACTGTGCTTGAGACATAGATGAACAACACATGCTTGATAAATGACACTCCAAATATTAAGCCATGTACAATAGGCAATATCTACATCAACGTTTGTCATCCTGCGTACAAGTTTTATCATCATAGAATCAATAATACTTGGGAAATGTACAGATAAAAACGTACTGTCCGGCCAGGCAAGTGGCTCACGTGAGCCTATGATCCCAATACTTTGGGAGGCCGAGGTGGGCAGATCACGAGGTCAGAAGATCGAGACCATCCTGGCCAACATGGTGAAATCCTGTCTCTACTAAAAACACAAAAATTAGCCGGGCGTGGTGGCAGGCGCCTGTAATCTCAGCTACCCGGGAGGCTAAGGCGGGAGAATCGCTTAAACCCGGGAGGCGGAGGCTGCAGTGAGCCGAGATCGCACCACTGCACTCCAGCCTGGGCGACCGAGTGAGGCTCTGTCTCAAAAACAAAACAAACAAACAAAAAAGCAAAAACGTACTGTGAGAAGACTGGGAACAAAATAGGGAAGGATGCAAAGTCAAATGTGTTGATTTCGGACAGAAGGCACTAAATACAGCCAGGGAGAAACTGCGAGGAAAGCATGTGGCCTCTATTCTAGAACACTAGCTCAGGAAAACTCACTTCACTGGAAGCCAGAAAAGATCGGAACCAGTGAAGCTGCCTTTCCGGACCACGCGGTCGCGTGTGTGGCCGTCCCGAAGCGCTATTGGCACATCAGGGCGTTCTGCTTTCAGGAACCAGAATCTCGAGTTCCTGGGCGGCGTGGGCCGCAGACACCCATCCTTGAGAAGGCACACCCAGGGTGGCTTCTGCAGGACGGACGGCCTGAGCAGTGCACCCGGCCACGGCAGCCCGGGAGAAGGTGCGCGCCGCAGAAGCGGCGGTGGGAAGGACAGCATGTGCTTAGGGGCTTGGAGAGAGCGCACCCCAGTCAATTACAGGACCTGGGTGCCAAGTCCTAAGAACACCGCGGGCAAAGACACAATCCTTGCCCTCGTGGTGTGGCTCTTCAAATTACTGTGGAAACGCGACTGCCTCGAGCCGAGGGCTCCCCCACCCAGACTCCAGGTTCCTGAAGTCACCCTCTTCAGATGCGGGGCGGCGGTGGCCGCAGGGAACCACTCCATGCCCAGCTTGGGCCTCCTCCCGTGACCCCAGGCCCAGGACGGTCCCCCTGGTTCTCACCGAATCCTTTAATGAGCTCGGTGAAGACCCCGGGGTCGCTTTCCATGAGGCACCACTCCCCGGCATTGCCCGTCATGGCCCCGGCCACACACCGCCCCGATCCACCTCTCGCTCTCGGCCGCCCCCCGCACCAGCTGCCGCCGGCCACAGAGCTCAGCAAACCCGCCGCCGAGCTCGTCAACCCCACGTCACCCCGCCTACTTCCCGACAGCCTCCGGGCGCCGTCACCTGCAGCGCGGCGCAGCGCGGGAGGACGCTCTAGCCACCCTAGAGACATCGAAAGTCTTCCCAGGCCTTGCAGGACCCGTAGCGGATTCGGAAGGGCTGGGGCCTGAGAAGAAAGGGCGGGGATCCAGAGCGCCGAAGGAGGTAACATCCGGGATCCTCGCCCCTCTGGGGCGGGGGCGGGGCAGAAGAGGGGCGGGGCTCTTTCCCGGGAACCGAACCTGGAAGCCCCGGCGGCAGTGGAGCTGTCGCCGTCGCTGCCCATCAGGCTGTTGTCTCTTGTCGTTTCCCAGCGCTGCGCAGGGCTTCTCCTGACGGCGCTGCAGGTCCAGGGGGGTCGGCTGCCGGGCACAGGTGAGGACACTGCGGGAGGCCGGCCGGGAGCCTTTTGTGCGGTCTCAGCGGCCCCAGGGACGTGCGAGGTCTGAGCAGTCCTCCATGTCTCTCAGTCGGCAGCCCAGGGGCTGCGGCCGGGCAGACGCCGCGAAACCCTCGCTCTCCCCCGCCCCGCTTCCGGGCCTGCCCGCCTCGGTAACGGAACCAGCGTCGGGTGGGGACATCCTGGCTAGGCCCGGCCGGACCGTTCCTGAGGGTGGGACCGCGCTCCCCACAGGCCGGCGTCGCGAGGGCCTGCGTTACTCCTCCTCTTTCTCCTCCTTCTCCCGCGGCTTCTGCGCGGAGAGGCGTCGCCCGGGATCTGGGCTGGGAAGCAGGACCTTTGTGGGAAGACAAGGCGGTTTTATCACAGAGGGGATAACGAGGCAGGGGAGAAAGGTGCGTCCTACCGTCCGTGGGGATGCTGCACGGGTGGGAGGGACGCGCTGCGTCAGGGGAAAACGAGGTGGAAAGCACATGTCGCGTGCTGATGTAGAAACATTTGGAATGCTTCTGAAACTGGATGAGGACTTGAACCAAACATGGCTGTGTTTGCTAAATCGCCCTCATTCCACAGGCTCGTACGGAACACTATAGTCTCCGCATTGAAGTCTTTAAGAGTATATTTACTTCTTAAAAGCTACATATCCCAGGAAAGACCTTAGGCTTCCAGAAGAGAAAAAGAATGTTTCAGTGGATGAAACTGACTTGTTCCTTCTCAAACAGGTGACCTGGGCCCTGGAGTATGTGAAGCCACGAAATAAACGTGCTGAATTGTCTTGAGGGAAGCAACAGAGCAGCTTTTGTATTAAAACAAACATGAGCAGTTACGGGGTAGAAGCCAAAATTTGTATGACGTGTTGGTTTAAAAAAAAAATTGTAAGTTTCTTGAAGTTTATCTCAGGAAACTCTGCCCTTCAGTGTGTTCCCTTGAGATGCTTAATTGGAAAGGTTTAAGAGGCACAAAAATTCAGAATGGCATCAGAGCCCGAAGTGGTTCGTGGTATTTTTTTAATCTGCAGTATTGCTATGAACTTGAAAATGTTTTTGTGCAAAATAAATACATCAAAACTAAAATTTATTTGATACCCAACTTAGTTAACATGAGACCTATTGTAGAAAGACCAAACTGAAAATTTAGCCTTTGGAACAATATAGAAGCAAGCAGAGTAAGGGGGTAAAAATGAATTATGTTAACGTTTAATCCTGAGAGTTCCCATAGAAAGCCGGATTTCTGGATCTTTGAGAAGAATGAGATCTGGTACACTAGTTTCACACCACATGGCGACCATCTGCAGCTGCCCTCAGACTAGCATGCTGTCATTTTTGCCACAGTCCTTCCTCATCTGTTTCTATAGCATCACGTTGATCAGTGGAGTCAAGTACCTGTATCATGGGCCCATTTTGTAGGATTGTCTCTTTACATTTGTCTTGTACTCAGCTTTGACTTCTTTTAAACAGGAATAAACTGCAAATGTGTGACTTCTTGGGATGAAAGGTAGCATTTTCAAATAAATTATCGAGAGACTTTGGAAAGATATTGAGATCTGTAAATTCAAGAAAAAATAAGGTTCCTTGGAAATGACATATTAGTACTGAAAAAAGATACTGTACATGTTGTAAGTTCTGATGATTGGGAAACGAAAAGAAGTGCGATTATATAATGTGTGTTATTAGCATTTCCTGATTTTGCAGTCTAAATAAATTTTTAAAGTAGAGAAATGGACAATGTATAAAATACAAGCAATTTAAAATGTGACCATGCTTTTAATATTACAGTATTGTAATATTTAACTTCTCTAATTTAATTTATACAGATTTAATACAACAGTAGTTGTATGATGTGCTTTAAGAGCACTAGATAGATAGATCAGGCCCATATAAAGAATTCACTGTACTTTTTTGTTGTTAATCTGGATTTACAACACTTGATTATCCGGGAATGGATTAACTGATGACCAGGTTCTGACCTCACTCACTGCCCAATTGCCTTCTAAACCACTAATAATGGAGCTTATGCTTTGAGGCGGGAGATGATGGCAGTTGGAGAAAGAAGAAATTAAGTTGCTGTATATGTCTGTGTGTATCTCAAATTGCTTTTGAAAGTCAAATAGAAAAATTATAGGGCTAAATACTGGTTTCATGTAATCAATTCTGTTGGTGTTCTCCATTCTGATATAGATAATAGCAGAATTATTTTAAGTTATTTAAATAATTTTCCAAATATATTTTACCTAGCCAGTTTATTTTTATATTTTCAATAGATCTTTAGAATATAAATCACATATCATCATATTTACTATTTTAAAGTATTCAGTGCATTGGTTTCTAGTATATTCAGAGTTGTGCAATCATCACCACTAATTTCAGAACATTTTCATCACCCAGTAGAAATCCCCTACCCATCAGCTGTCACTTCACATTCTTCCCTCCCCATAACCTCTGACAACCTTAGACTAATGTACTTTTTATTTGTATGAATTTACCTACTCTGCAAAATTCATGTAAATGGAATTGTAATATAGTATGTGGCCATTTGTGACTGGTTTCTTTCACTTGGGGTAATGTTTTTGAGGTTTGTTTACATTGTGTCTGGTATCAGTACTTCATCCCTTTTTGTTGTCTAATAATAGTTCATTGTATGAATATACCATATTTTTTCATCCCTTTATCAGTTGATGGACATTTGGGTTGCTTCTACTTTTTGAATGTTGATAAAAACATCTGTGTACAACTTTTGGTATAGATACATGTATTCATTTTTCTTAGGTGTGTGGTGGAATTTCTGGGTCGTATGCTAACTGTATTTAACCTTTTGAGAAACTGCCAGACTGTTTTCCAAGGTGGCTGTATTATTTTACATTCCCACTAGCAGTATATGAGCGTTTCAATTTCTCTAAATCCTCACCAACACTTAATATTATTGTTTTGATTATAGCCATCCTAGTGGATGTGAAGTGGTATCTTGTGGTTTTGATTTGCATTTCTCTGATGGCTAATGATGTTCATCATCTTTTTATTTGTTTACTGGGCATTTGATAATCTTTGGAAAAACATCTTTTCAGATTCTTTGCCCATTTGTATTTCTTTGGAGTAATATTTGTTCACATCTTTTGGCTATTTTTACTTGGGTTATTTATCACTTTATTATTAAGTTCTAAGTGTTCTTAATATAGTCTAGATACAAGTCCCTTATCATATGTATGATTTCCAAATATTTTCTCTGTTCTTGGATTGTCATTTCACTTTCTTGATGGTGTCCTTGGAAAGAGAAGTTTCAAATTTTGATAAGTGCAGTTAAATCTTTTTTTTTTTTTAATCACTTTTGCCTTTGGTGTCTGTGTTCCAACACTAATTCTGTAGCACCAGGTGGGTGTCCTCCACTTCTGTTTAGTTCTGACACTACCCAGGGTTGGCATCAGATCCCGTAAATTAAAAGGCAAGGTCCCCACTAAGAATGGCATTAATTTGGACACCAGCTGCAGGTGGGGTCCCCAGGCTACTCACACTTCTGCCTTGCGAGCTACAAAGTCAGGACTTCCCATTATCCCCTCGAGGCTGATAATTCATTACATTGACTCGTGTAACTCACTGAAAGTGCTCTACTTGGAATTACAGTTTTATTATAAGTGACACAACTCAGGGACAGCCAAACTGGAAGTAGACACATATGGCAAGGTCTGGGGCAAGGGAAGTATGCTGAACTTCATGCCATCCTTGTGAAATGTGGGCATATCACCTTCCCAGCACATCAGCGTTTGTTCACCAAGGATGCTCCAGTGAGCGTTGATGAACAGTTTTTATGAGGGTTCATTACATGGGCATCATTGATTAAACCGTTAGCTCCATGACTGAACTTAAACTCAAGTCTTCCTCTTTTCCTAGAAAATTGTCCTGACCAGTTTATTCCTCTAAACCTATGGTTGTTCTTTCTAGTGACTAGCCCCCATCCTGAAGCTACCTACGGGCCTATGTCACTTCATTAATGTAACATAGATATGTTCAAAAACATAACAGCTTTTTGAAACTTTCTCCTGGGAACTATGTATAAAGACCAGATCCTCTTTCTTATAAGATGCCACAGTATCACATCACTTAGCCAGATTTTAAGTGTATTTGTATATCACACTCAGTGACAAGAAGGAGAGTAGCTTGGGACTTGTTACCATTCTGTTTTTCATCTTTCATTTTTAAAATATGGATATGACCCTGGTAAATTTATACAATCAAGTAGAAAGGTGCCCTGGCTGCTAATAATGTTATCTGTTCAACTGTTTTGTGTTGCACTCTGAAAAGTACAGTCACAGAAGCACAGGAAAAGCTAAGCAGTTTCTGCTGCAGAAACACTGAAATGGTATGTCCTCAGGGTTGTCATTTATATCATAATATACAAAAGGAAGAGTCCATGAATAAGTAACTTTATTTCTTGTAATAGGGATTATAAGGATTACACTTATACTTATAGATTACCTCTGAGACAGCCTTCATAGATTTAAAAGTTCATTTTCCTGCTTGCTCTAGAAAAGTACTTGAATACCTAATATTAAATATATTAGAAAAAGAGAAATATTATTCTTAGATGACGTTTTTACCCAATATTCATTACTTTTCTTTAGTACTTTATTTTTTCTTCATTATATTTTCACTACCTACATATAGTATAGTATATTTATTATTTTATTCTGATTACAGAATTTACCTTAAAGACTTGTATTATATTTTGCATTACACATATTCAGGCTTTTACTTTCTTTTTTTTTTTTGAGACGGAGTTTCGCTCTTGTTACCTAGGCTGGAGTGCAATGGCGCAATCTCGGCTCACCTCAACCTCTGCCTCCTGGGTTCAGGCAATTCTCCTGCCTCAGCCTCCTGAGTAGCTGGGATTACAGGCACGCGCCACCATGCCCAGCTAATTTTTTGTATTTTTAGTAGAGACGGGGTTTCACTATGTTGACCAGGATGGTCTCAATCTCTGGACCTCGTGATCCACCCACCTCGGCCTCCCAAAGTGCTGGGATTACAGGCTTGAGCCACCGCGCCCGGCCCGAGGCTTTTATTTTCAAAATAAACATGCTATGGGAAAGAGAAACCAGTTATGTGTAATTCTTTAATGGTTCAGAAAGTCAACTTTAATGATACTTGGCTTTAAGTTTGTATTACTAATTACATAAAAGCAATGCAAAAGAGAAAAAATGTTAAGACTTGGTTTCTGCTCTCAAGGGAACCAGTAATGCAGCTGCATGTGGTCACAATGAGTAATACAAGGAAAAGAAGTTGAGGGGACAGGAAATTTTGAGGTTTAATTTGGGACTTTTTAAATCCCACCAACTGTGCCTCGGTGCAGGAAAGGCAGTATAGTGGAATTATCTGACATTAGATGTCATTTTAATGTTACTCACCTAACAAATATAACTAATAAGCAGAAGTAGATAAGTTGGAGTGCCACCAGAGACTGTTTTTATGAAAGCTAAGGGAGAGACTAGCAAGGTCTTTGTAATGTGCAGAAAAAGATAACATTTTCTACTGGAATTTGCAATTAAGGTGTCAGTCTTTGAGAAGCATGTTAGTCTTCTTAAAGTGTTTTGGATTGAAAGGTAGAGATAAAAGCCAAATTGAAAAGAGGATAATAATAAAAAGAAGAGACATCCAGGAGTTTCGCCTATGCTGTATTCGGTAAGTATTAATTTGTTTCTAACAACTAATGTAGGGTCTTATTTGGAATATTGACACTAATATTCCTAGCACAGTTCAGATCACTGTCCCCCTCAGTCACATTCAAAATGTGAGGCTCTCCATTCTCCCATGTACTTATGCCCCCACACCACTATGTGTTCCCCTCTCTGAGACCCACTCTTTCATTCCTCCCCATCTACGAAACTTCTCTACTTAACCATTTGGCATTCTACATCTCCTGTCAGAGGGGAATGTCTTCAATTTCCTTATCCCTCACTCCCTCAAATCTATCTTTACCTATACTCTTTACCCTTAAAAGATAAAGGAAATACGTCTTTTGCTGTCAGTAGGCCAGTCTCAACCTGGATGCTCTAAGCTCATTATGTCTCATTTCTTTCAGGAATCTAATTCCTTCAATTATCCCCCTTCTCTTCTGTATCTTCAACTCTCCAAATTGAATCATTCAACCTTAGCATCTTCCCATTGAAAAAGGTAAAAAGATTTTTCCTCTGTGTCCCATCCTCTCTCTCACTTTCCTTCATAGTTTTTAAGTATGTGTTTACAAAAGAGTAGTCTAGCTGTGAAGTTTCTTCCTCACTCACTGTAATCAAGCTACTTCTTGTACCACCCTACTCCAGTTGCTCTCACTAGTCACTCCTATTTGCTAAATCCAGTGGTCATTTTCTAGCCCTTTATTTACTTGTCCTCTGACCATTTGACATTACCAACCATTCACTTCTTGAAGTTCTCTTCCTTGTGCTCCATGATACTATATTCTCTGTTTATATTCTATAAATGTTCTATACCATATTCTCGGTTTCTTTCAACTCTGGGTACCTCCTTTTCCATCTCTCTTTAAAAGGCCTTTCTTTCCTTAGCTCTTACTTGTTAATATTCACCAAGATTCCATCCTTAGTCTTCTTCACAATATGTAAGTATGCTCAAGTAAGGGATGATCTTCAAAAACAAAAAAACCTCTTTTACCTTGTGTTCCTCTTTAAATTATGACCGTATCTGTCAACATGTCTTTATGGCTCTGCAGGACACTTGGACAATTTCTTTTCTAGAATATAAAGACAGACCAGGATTTCAGAAACCTCTTCCTGGAGTGCCTTCCCTAAATTTATAGTTTTTTTGTTGGCCTTCTTTGCTCAAATCTTTCTGGATTATTTAGACAGTATTATTTACTCCCTTGCTCACTCACTTTTCTACTACAGCTCTTAATCACAGTTCACCTTCTCTGCACAGATCTTTCTGGATTATTGAGACAATATTATTTTATACTCCCTTGCTCACTCAATACTTTTCTACTACAGCACTTCATTACAGCTTGCATTGTGATTCTATCTCTGCAGATGAATGTGATTTCCCTGAGAGCAGGAGAACAAATTTTTTTTTAGTCTCTTTAATGGCAGAGAAATTGTCTTCATATCTTAACACATAGATGTATTCAGTAAATGCTGGTTGAAGTTTTGTTGTACTGTTTCGTTTGCCATGGACCGAAGCCCAGTACACCGAAATAACATGACGGAATGAAGGACCTCAATAAACAGCGATACTGTAGTAAGAACAGAGGTGGACTGGTGAAGAAGTGACAGTTGTGGTTCCTCCATTAGAAGGATAAAGAGGGATATTATTTGCAGACAGCTCGTTCTAGGAGTTTTACAGAAAATCGAAGCAGTAGAGATAGGGTGGTTACAGATTACATAAAACAGTACACCTAAAAATTGTTTAAACAATAAGGATACATTTATGACATAATAAATTTATAAGCAGGGCAGTTTCGGGTAACTCAGTGATGTTAAGGACCCACGTTCTTTCTGTTTTTTTTCTGTTCTGCCGTCTTTATATATTGGTGTGCCCTCTTAAACTGGCTTCTCTCAAAGTCTCAAGATGGTTGTTAACACTCCAGGCATCACTTGCAAATGAAAATGTCAGATGGCAGAAAAGGGAACATTTCTTTTTAAGAGCCTTAGCCCACTTTTAAGCATGAAGAACACCTCAAAAGTGTTCTCAGCTTATTTATCATGTCATACTGGCCAGAGTGATAACACATGCCCAACTGCCTATACCAGTCATGTGGCAAGGAGAGCACCATGATTATTGGGCCTGGGTCCAGCAGCAGCAGCATTACCCGGGAACTTGTGATAAGTATACACGCTTAGCCCTCACTGCAAACTGAATTATGAAAGAAACACTGGGCAGTGCTTGAGAGGGTGCTGACCCACCAATCTGTGTTTCAATTAGTACTTCAAGTAATTTTGATGTACACTGAGTTTGTAAACCACTGGCTTAGAGCAATAAAGATCCATCCCTTGGGGCTAGGGAAGGGCCTAGCCTCCTTTGAAGGACATGAGGCCAAGAAGAGAAGAGAGAATGGGGAAGAATGAATGTTAGATAGGCAGCCAAAAAATGTTGACACAGTTCTTCTAGGAGTATGATCTTTCAGCTACTGTTGCTGCCCTCCCTTCTTTTATTCTCTGTGTGGGCCTCAAGAGGCCATGCTGACCTACCTGCTAAATCTCTGAAGCAGCACACTGTATCTCAAAAATGTGACTCATTTGCTTTTGATTATCACACCACAGTGGCTATAATCTAGTTTGTTTGCTGTGAAGGACTTTTAGTTTCTTTAGATTATAAAAATATGAATGCAAAACAAAAACACTTTAAAAACTTAAGATTATCAGTAGTCATTTCAAAATACTCAAATATGTTTTTTTCTTTCTGCCTTTCCTGATTTTTCTTCAGGACATTTATATTGATTTTGTAGTAAGGGAAAACTATCGAACTTAAAAGATGTTTTTAAATTAATAACATTTCAATAAACCTACGTTTTGTTTTCCTTTTGTAATTTTATTGTGCCCATCTAGTTGTAATAACATTTTGCCTTTTTGATAGGTTTCCTTAAAGACAGGAAAAATGGAAGAATCTGTAAACCAAATGCAGCCACTGAATGAGAAGCAGATAGCCAATTCTCAGGATGGATACGTATGGCAAGTCACTGACATGAATCGTCTACACCGGTTCTTATGTTTTGGTTCTGAAGGTGGAACTTACTATATCAAAGAACAGAAGTTGGGCCTTGAAAATGCTGAAGCTTTAATTAGATTGATTGAAGATGGCAGAGGATGTGAAGTGATACAAGAAATAAAGTCATTTAGTCAAGAAGGCAGAACCACAAAACAAGAGCCTGTGCTCTTTGCACTTGCCATTTGTTCCCAATGCTCTGACATAAGCACAAAACAAGCAGCATTTAAAGCTGTTTCTGAAGTTTGTCGCATTCCTACCCATCTCTTTACTTTTATCCAGTTTAAGAAAGATCTGAAGGAAAGCATGAAATGTGGTATGTGGGGACGTGCCCTCCGGAAGGCTATAGCGGACTGGTACAATGAGAAAGGTGGCATGGCCCTTGCTCTGGCAGTTACAAAATATAAACAGAGAAATGGCTGGTCTCACAAAGATCTGTTAAGATTGTCGCATCTTAAACCTTCCAGTGAAGGTAAGCATAAGATCATTGGGAAGAGGGGTGGGTAAGGGATACCCAATGAATAGCACATTTGTATTTAATGTAAGACAGACATGTAATATTTTGCCTTTCATTCTCAAAACATACATTCATTCAAATATGTTTGATGCCTTGCTGGAATTACACACCCACCACAGGCCATTCAGACTTTAATAATCAAGAATCAGATGACAGTTTTGTAGGTTAATATTCTGAATCTTAAAATGCCAGTGTCCTAACTGGAATGCTCACCCAAGTGATTATGGACTGTGTAAGCAGGATGAGCAAGATCAAAAGTTGGAATAGGCAAAACAGCTCCTTGCCAGTAGGTGGCAGATGGCCATGCTGTACCCACCGCTCTAGCCCATTATTTTTTTCCCTCCCCATCATGTCTTCCAAGGATGTATTTTCTATGGAACCTAAACATACACTATATCAGTTACCTGATAGTGCTGAACTTAACAATTCAGGAAGTTAATTGTCTTCAGGCAGTTAGTCAGAGGACATAGTAACTTGGGGCAGTTTTTCCGTATCTGTGGATAGAGACTTTTGAGGAGTTACTTGGATCCATAGTAATTACTAGTCCTTTTAAGGGGAGAAATAAGGAAAACTCTTGGGGAGAAGTAAGACTGAAGTGTGAACTTCCACAAAAATCAACATGTCCAAAATTGGACTCTTTTTTTTTTTTTTGGCACCAGAATTGAAACTTGAAAAGACATCCACTCAGAAGGGTGGATTCACATTTCAGTTCTGTAGCCTAAAGCCAAATAATTTAATCTGAGTTTCTGTACCTTCATCTATTAAAAGGAGGGTAAGGAGAATAAGCTTACAATTATTATGATTAAATGTCCTAGCACCTAACATAATAGAAGTACACTGTTGGTTCTCTCTTCTTCCACACATATCTTTAAACACAGAATCTCTTAAGTAATTTTTAACTTAACATTTTTTGACTACAAATAGAATTTTTCAAATGAAATATAAACAATAAATTGCAAACATTAATATGTACAAGCATTTTATTTTGATTTTTTAAATTAGATTACATGTTTTAAAATAGTTGAATGATACAGAAACATATGACGCAGTCCTACCCTTCAAAAGAAATCACCGCCTATCAGCAGTCCCCAGTCTTTTTGGTACCAGGGACTAGTTTTATGGAAGAAAATTTTTCAACAAACAGTGGGGAGGGCAGGATGGTTTCAGAATGAAACTGTTCCACCTCAGGCATTAGGTTCACATAAGGAGAACGCCACCTAGATCCCTCACATGTACAGTTCACAGTAGTGTTCTCGCTCCTGAGACTCTAATGGCCGGCCACTGATCTGACAGGACATGGAGCTCACTCACCTGCTTCTCACCTCCTGCTGTACGGCCCAGTTCCTAACAGGCCCTGGACTGGTAACTGATACATAGCCTGGGAGTTGAGGACCCTTGCTGTATTTGATATGTTGTAATTTACTGCAGATTTTTCCTAAACATGTATTACTATGTTTCACTAAATTTTGTTATATGCCTTCTGTGTTTCAGTAAAAAGTATATTATTGCTATTTTTTTCAGGTCAGTAGAAGTAGTTGCATATATACTGTTTGTATGACTATTTAGCTAGTCTCTATTTGACAACAGTTGTTTCTGGTTTCTTATACTGTTACAAAAAATCTACAGTGAAAACACTTGCATAGAGTACATACTTTCATAATGGTTAAATCCACAAACAGTATGTGAAAGGGATCAGTGTACCCACATTTGAACACTGGCTGTTGTCATTATTTTTTAATCTCATCCAATAGAATGGTGAAAGATTCTATCTTGTTCTTTGAATTTCCATTTGTGGACAGAAGGTCATCTTTTTATGTGCTGATTTTGTATATATACACATATATATAATATACATATATGCATATATGTAAAATAGTTTATACTATTGTATCATAGCCTTTTATCCACTTAGTTACTGTCTTTTTAACTATTGATTGTGGTCACTATTCAATCAACAGATATTTATTTATTTTATTTGTTTATTTTGAGATGGAGTTTTGCTTTCGTTGCCCAGACTGGAGTGCAATGGCACAATCTAGGCTCACTGCAACCTTCACCTCCTGGGCTCAAGTAGTTTTTCTGCCTCAGCCTCCCAAGTAGCTGGGATTATAGTCATCTACCACCACACCCAGCTAATTTTTTTATTTTTAGTAGACACAGAGTGTCACGATGTTGGTCAGGCTAATCTCAAACTCCTGATTCAGGTAATCCGCCTGCTTCAGCCTTCCAAAGTGCTTGGACTGCAGGTGTGAACTGCCATGCCTGGCCCTCAGCAAATATTTACTGAGCACTACTATGGATAGACACTGTTCTAAGAACTTGGGGTTCATATTACAGGAGTTAATGATGTATTATTTATATATATTACATGCATTTTTCCTTCTGTTTTTTTTTTTCTTTGCCCTTTTTTTTGGTGGGGGGACATTTCTGGCACACTAAAGTTTGGAATTTTAATGTAATCAAACGTATCCACATCTTCATAGTTTTATGTTTTGTGTTAGGATTAGAAAGGCCCTTTCTGACCTAAAATATGTACCTATGGTTTTTTCCTAACATTTTCTTGGTTAAGAAACATTATTTTCTACGTTTAAATTTTTGATCCAAACATTTGATCAACGCAGGCATCCAGCTTTATTTATTTTTTGTTGAGATGGGTCATGGAAGTGTGAAGTGAGAACTAGACTAAGAGAAACACCGCCTGTTACTAGTTCTACGTGGACCAATGAGTTTCTGAACTTGTGAAAATAATTTTCTGTGCTTTGTTTTCTTGGTCTATATAATGAGGAATTAGTAGATGTCCCGTACACTTACTTCCACACATAGGATTCTTCAATTTGAAGTTGTGAGGGCAGAACTCATCATTGAAACCATGTTAGTAATAGCAGTAACAGGTTGGACATAGAGAATCCCTAGCGTTTCACAGTTTAAAAATTTGGAAAAACTCTAAGCTACAGAATTAATAATATTTTAATGCCTAAACTATAATATGTATTTATAACAGACAAAACAAGTCAAAATGTGTTTTAAGTAATCAGGTATGGTAATTTTAGATGATTTTGTACCAAAATCTGGAACATAGCAAGAGTCACAATACTTGAGAAGGTCCTGCACGTAACTAGTAACAGGCGGTCTTTCTTAGTCTAGTTCTTACTTCACACTTCCATGACCTATCTCAGCAACTGGCCAGCACAATTACAGAACTAGGTAGGACAGACCTGCTTTAAGGGATTTTTATTTTCACTGGAAAAGCAAAATAGAATATATATTCACATGAAACATTTACTCATTTAAGATGATTTTGTACCAAAATCTGGAACATGGCAAGAGTCACAATACTTGAGAAGGTCCTGCATGTTAGTGTTAACTTTTCATCAAATTATTTAAATTAGAATTCAGAAATAACATTATAGGCTCAATCAGCAAAAAGATGTGTTTCATAATGGCCTGTATGATATTGTAGGGAAAAAATGAATTTTTTTGTCATTATCTTTAAAAATCAGAAAACCTAAAAACCTGTATTCTGGCTTTGCTTGAAAGTGAATTTTTTTCTTTTTGTAGCAATTAGTCAATACATGGCCACAGCACTTGTGAGGGCACACTCTCTCAGTCACCACATCCTAACACTCTCTATTGCATCACCATGGTGGTTTTTTTTTTTTTTTTGAGATGGAGTCTCACTCTGTCACCCAGGCTGGAGTACAGTGCTGCGATCTTGGCCCACTGCAACCTCTGCCTCCTGGGTTCAGATGAGTCTCCTGTCTCAGCTTCCTGAGTAGCTGGTATTACAGGCATGTGCCATCATGCCCGGCTAATTTTCTTATTTTTAGTAGAGATAGAGTTTCACCATGTTGGGCACACTGATCTCGAACCCTAGACCACAGGTGATCCGCAGGATGCCTTGGCATCCCAAAGTGCTAGGATTACAGGCATGAGTCATGGCGCCTGTTCTCACTGTGTTGGTTTTCTTTCTTTATTTTGTATGCCCTTCCCTCATAGACGTTTTGGTTTTATAATCCAGTCCCTGCTGTTTTACAGAGGTGGTGAAACTAAGACCTAGAAAGATCACCATTTATTGGTAAAGTATAGGCTAGAACCCAGATTTTCTCACCCCTAATCAAAAGCTGTTTTCTCTTTCTTCTATTGGAAGAAATTATGGAAGGAATCAAAAAGTAACTGTCTTTTTTTTTTGGACCAGTAATACTTCTCATCTATTAAAACACAATGTAAAAGAACTTAACCTGCCTGTCCACTTCTTATTTCTGCTGTTTGTAAATATGTATATTTTATTCAACAGCAAAGAGAGACAAGTGAATATAATTAATATAATATTAATTGAGATCGATCTGGACTCTTGTGAATTGTTCTGAGATTATGGACCTAACACTTTCTAATGCTGGTATCTTTAAAAAGAAAAGAAAGAAAAGCCTCTGTAATAAAATGACTCAGGATACAGAAGGTTTTTTTACTCCAGCATCTCATATTTAAATAGTAATAATGGAATAAGAAAATTAATTCAACCCGTGTGCTGAATTGTTATATCATGGAAAGCAGCATTAAAGGTGTTAATTCCTGTGTATCTAGTTAGGTTGATTATATAATGCATTTTGAGGAAACATGTTCTATTTTTTTACTTGGTATTCCTGCATGCTTTTTCAATTCTTTGTCTTGTTAAAGGACTTGCAATTGTGACCAAATATATTACAAAGGGCTGGAAAGAAGTTCATGAATTGTATAAAGAAAAAGCACTCTCTGTGGAGACTGAAAAATTATTAAAATATCTGGAAGCTGTAGAGAAAGTGAAGCGCACAAGAGATGAGCTAGAAGTCATTCATCTAATAGAAGAACACAGATTAGTTAGAGAACATCTTTTAACAAATCACTTAAAGTCTAAAGAGGTGAGTGAATTACATGTTACAGCATGTGATTAAACATGAGTAATTTACTGTAGGTGTTAAAAGGATAAACTTGGGGTAACTGTATATTCTTTTAAAAAGAGAAATTATTTAAAATACATCTTGAAATTAATGTCTGTTTAAAACACCTATCATGATGTCCGATGTAATGTAAGTGGCATTTGTGTTAGTTTCACTCCAGAAAATGTGCCTTGCTAATTAAAAAATAATCATCTATGTATTTCCTTCATAAAATATACTGCACTTCCTTTTTCTAATGAAAAACAAGTTAGCTTATTTGATAAGCCTTGGCCTTAGACAAATTTTCATTCCGAAAGTACTCTGCACCCCAAATGAAAGCCTCAGAGACTATATTATGACTATTTATTGATATAGATATGTTATACTGATTTATTTTCCCTTAATTCCTGATATTTCTACCTATGTTACTGCAATAGGTATGGAAGGCTTTGTTACAAGAAATGCCTCTTACTGCATTACTAAGGAATCTAGGAAAGATGACTGCTAATTCAGTACTTGAACCAGGAAATTCAGAAGTATCTTTAGTATGTGAAAAACTGTGTAATGAAAAACTATTAAAAAAGGTAAGCATTATCAGTGTTCTTTCTTAGCTACTACTAAGTGAAAAAGTGGCTCGTAAATTTTAGAAATGGAGTCAGCACATTTTTAAGGTATTTTGAGACCTTTATCATACTGAATTGTATTATGGCTCTTATGCTTAAGTTGAATACATTTTCATTTTTCTCTTTTCTGTATGAAATACAGTAACACAATGTTGTTAGTTACAATAACAAAAATCTAACAAATATACATAATCGCTACTTTTTGCTAAAATTTTCTTTATATTTTCTTTTTTTTTTTGTTTCTAGGCTTGTATACATCCATTTCATATTTTGATTGCATTAGAAACTTACAAGACAGGTCATGGGCTCAGAGGAAAATTGAAGTGGCGCCCTGATGAAGAAATTTTGAAAGCATTAGATACTGCTTTTTATAAAACATTTAAGGTAGTGATATGATTTTTGTTTTAAAACAAATGACTCGAGGCTTAATATCTTTTGTAATAATACATTTTAAAGGTATTATTAATAGTTTAATCATTTTTAATTAGATATTCATTTTTCTTTAGTTCATATGAAGTGGGTATATAATTAATACCGTAAGTTTGTAAGTATTTCTCTTTACCCTTGGGCAGCAACAAGCTAAAACAAAATACTAGCAACCAAATTCAGCAGCAAAATAAAAGGGTTATATACCATAACCAGGTGATACTTATCCCTAGCATGCAAGGATAGTACAACATGAAAACCAATCAATGTAATACATCACGTTAGTAGAATTAAATGACAAAAACAACATGATTATCTTACTGATGCAGAAAAAGCATTGGCAAATTTCAGCATTCCTTCATGATAAAAAATAAAACCACTGTATAGACTAGCAGTAGAAATGAACTTCCTCACCATGATAAAAGCCGGAGATTTTTAAAAAAATGTTTATACCTTATAGCTAATGTCATAATGGTGAGTGATTGTAAGGTTTTCCCTAAAATCAAGAAAAACACAAGGATGCCCAGTTTTTCCACTTTGATTCCACATAGTATTGGAAGTTCTAGTAATAAGGCAAGAAAATGAAATAATAAGAGACATTACAGTCAGAAAGAAAGAAGTAAAACTATCCTCAGATGCCATGATCTCGTATTTAGAAAACCCTAAAGAAACCCACACAAAACTACTAAAGTTAACAAATGAATTCAGCATAGTTTAGGGTATAAAACCAACATATAAAAAAATCAGTTGTATTTCGATATACTAGCAATGAACAATCCAAAAAAAGATATTAAGAAGACATTTCCATTTACAATAAAAGACAGGAGTAACTTTAAGAAGCTGCAAGACTTATACACTGAGAACCACAGAACACTGCTAAAAGAAATTAAGTTATGAATAAATAGAAGCACATCTGTGTTTAGCATTTGAAAGACTTCATATTGTTACTAAGATGACAATACTATCCAAAGCACTAAATCTACAGATTTAATGCAGTCTCTTTCAAAATCCCAATGGCATGTTTTACAAAAATAGAAAAACCCACTCCAAAATTCCTAAGAAATTTCAAGTGACCCGAAATAGCCAGAACAGTCTTACAAAGAACAAAGCTGGAGGACTCCCTCTTCTGGCGTTCAATTACTAGAAAGCTGTAGTAATCAAAACAGTGTGGCAGTAGTAAAAGAATAAATACATAGACCAATGAAACTGAATAGAGAGTCCAGAAATGAAACCTTACATATATGCTCATTTGACTCTTTTTATTTTATTTTTTTCGAGACAGAGTCTCACTCTGACACCCAGTTTGGAGTGCAGTGGTGCAATCTCAGCTCACTGCAACCTCCACCTCCTGTTTTCAAGTGACCATACCTCAGCCTCCCAAGTAGCTGGGATTACTGGTGTGCACCACCACACTCAGCTAATTTATTCTATTTTTTTAGAGACGGGGTTTCACTGTGTTGGCCAGGCTGGTCTCGAACTCCTTGCCTCAAGTGATCCACCTACCTTGCCCTTCCAAAGTGCTGGGATTATAGACGTGAGCCGCCGCACTCAGATATCAGTTGACTTTTGGTAAGGGTGCCAAGATGATTCCATGGGGAAAGGATAATCTTCAACAAATGGTGTTGGGAAAACTGCATATCTACATACAAAAGAATGGAGTTGGACCATTATCTTACACCAAATACAAGAATTAGTTCAAAGTGGATCAGTCACCTAAATTCAAGAGCTAAACCTAGAAAACACCAACAACACAGGCAGTAAAAGAAAAAATAAATTGGACAGCATCAAACTTAAAGTTTTTATGTATTAAAGGATACTGTTAAGACATTTAAAAGATAATCTACACAATGGGAGAAAATATTTGCAGATCGTATATCCAATAAGAGCGTAATATCCAGAATATTGAAAGCCCCTCAAAGTCAGCAAAAGTACAAACAACCCAATTTAAAAATGGGCAGAGTACTTGAATAGACATTTTTCTAATGATACACAAATGAGTAATAAGAACATGAAAAGGGCCAGGTGCAGTGGCTCAAGCCTGTATTCCCAGCACTTTGGGAGGCCGAGATGGGTGGATCACCTGAGGTCAGTAATTCAAGACCAGCCTAGCCAGCATGGTGAAACCCCATCTTTACCAAAAAAAAAAAAAATACAAAAATACAAAAATTATTTGGGTGTGGTTGTGGGCACCTGTAATCTCAGCTACTTAGGAGGCTGAGGCAGGAGAATCTCTTGAACCCAGGAGGCAGAGGTTCCAGTGAGACAAGGTTGTGCCATTGCACTCCAACCTGGGCAACAAGAGCAAAACTGTCTCAAAAAAAAAAAAAGAAAAATACTCTAAACATCATTAATAATCAGAGAAATGCAAATCTAAACCACAGTATGACACCACTTCACGTCTAGTTGGATAGCTAATATTTTAAAAAGTGGAAAACAAGAATTGGGGAAGATGTGGAGAAATTGGGCCTGAAATGTATTTCTGGTGGGAATGTAAAATGGTAAAACAGTGCAGCCTCTTTGGGAAACAATTTGGTAGTTCTCAAAAGGTTAAACAGAGAATTTAACATACCATCCAGCAATTCCCTTTCTAGGTATATACCCAAAAAAATTTAAAATAGGCTTTCAAACAGATATTTGTATACCAATATTCACAGTAGCCAAGAGTTAAATGTATTCTTTTATTCTTTTTGATGCTATTGTAAACAGATGTTTTCTTAATTTTCTTTTTAGAGTTGTTCATTGGTAGTATATAGAAATACAACTGATTTTGATGAAAAACTCAAATGTTCATCGGCAGATGGATAAGCAAAATGTGGTATATACAATAGAATATTATTCAGCCTTAGAAAAGAATTAAATTTGATACGTGCTACACCATGGATAAACCTTGAAAACATTATACTATGTAAAATAAGCCACACAAACAAGGACAAGTATTGTAGGATTCCATTATATGAGGTATCTACAGTAGGCAAATTTATAGAGACCGAAAATGAAATAGAAGTTGCCAGGGGCTAGAGGGAGACATGGGAATGGAGAGTTATATTTAATCGGTAAAGGATGTATTTGGGATGATGAAAACATTCTAGAAATAGATAGAGGGGATAGTTACGCAAATTGTGAACGTGCTTAATGCCACTGAATTCTACACTTAAAATTGTACATTTGTAAAAATGGTTAAAAAGGTCAAATTAATGTTATTTGTATTTTAACACAATAAAAATTTCTTACTAAAAATTCTAATTTTACTTCAATGAGGAAAGATTTTAAAAATAGGATGATAACTTCTTTAAGTAAAATTATTGAATAGGTTATTTCCTTTGTTTTACCTTTAAAAGCTAAGCATTTTTATTTATTATTATTTTTAAATTTTCAGTCATAGCAGCTATACCAGATGAGCATTTTAAAATAGTTGTCAATTGGTATATCAAAAATCTGAAGGCCTTTTATCTTAGAGTCTTTTTAATGTAAGATGACAAGTAAATATGATTTGGAAATTTAGTCTACTTATAATTTTTGTTATTGCTTTTAATGATTGTTTTATTTTGTTTTTGCTGTAGACAGTTGAACCAACCGGAAAACGTTTCTTACTAGCTGTTGATGTCAGTGCTTCTATGAACCAAAGAGTTGTGGGTAGTATACTCAACGCTAGTACAGTTGCTGCAGCAATGTGCATGGTGAGAACACCTAAGACAATTTTGCCACTCTAAAAACATGTTTACTATAGAGCAAAACTATAAGTTGGATAATGATTAAGAATTATGTTTTCACTTCTGTCATTTCAGCTTGTCACATTTTTGTGTAAAGCCTAAGTGTTAAGTGTGTTGAAAAGTATGCCTAAAGAACAGGCAGAATAGAAATTTTAATTTTTACAACAAAAGATTAAATATTAATGGTTTTTTAAAGAAGTAGATAATGCTTAAAATGAAAACAAAAAAACTTAAAATTTTTTTTAAAGATAATGCTTATTTAGTGATAAGCATTAAAAGATTGGGAACTAATAGAGAATTTAGTTCTATCCTGACTGTCAGCGAATAATAAATCATAGGCAAACTTTTTAGCTTCTTTACTGGGGCTTTATTTCTTATCTAATAAAATGAGAATAGTATTTACTGTATTTACTTCAAAGGATGATTGTGAAAGCCAGTTGTTTTTGTGAAGGTACTCTGAAAGCTGTACTGCTGTTACTGGATAGTCCTAAAACACACTGATAAAAAGTTACCTCAGTGTTTCTTTAAACATGAAGTTGGATAAAATTCACAATATGGTATTTCACCTCAAATTTGCTGAAAATTACTGCCATTGAATTTTTCAGGTTGTCACACGAACAGAAAAAGATTCTTACGTAGTTGCTTTTTCAGATGAAATGGTACCATGTCCAGTGACTACAGATATGACCTTACAACAGGTCTTAATGGCTATGAGTCAGGTAAGAAGCTGGGTGTGTGGTTATTTTTTTCTTTTCTTTTTTTTTGAGGTGGAGTCTCACTCTGTCACCAGGCTGGAGTGCAATGGTGCAATCTCGGCTCACTGCAGCCTCTGCCTCCCAGGTTCAAGCAATTCCTCTGCTTCAGCCTCTCAAGTAGCTGGGACTACAGGTGTGTGCCACCATGCCTAGCTAATTTTTTGTATTTTAGTAGAGATGGGGTTTTGCCATGTTGGCCAGGATGGTCTAGATCTGACTTCATGATCTGCCCGCCTCAGCCTCTCAAAGTGCTGGATTACAAGTGTGAGCCACTGCACTCGGCCCAGAAAGTGTGTTTTTTAAGTTTACATAACATGTATAATGATTTTATTTTGATGTCAAGTATTGTATTAATCTGTGAGAACAAAATTTTTTTTGTATCAATTTTCTCATGACAAGCACAAAAATCAAAAATATATATGCCGGCTTTGGGAAGGCTGTATATATTGGTGCTAAACAAAATGATACTGTAAAAACTAGTCTTTTTAGGATTTATTTATTATTCATGCTTTTGTTCCGAGCTAGATCCCAGCAGGTGGGACTGATTGCTCTCTTCCAATGATCTGGGCTCAGAAGACAAACACACCTGCTGATGTCTTCATTGTATTCACTGATAATGAGACCTTTGCTGGAGGTGTCCATCCTGCTATTGCTCTGAGGGACTATCGAAAGGTAAAACAAATTCTAATATGGTTCCTCACCCAAATAATATTTTAATACTTGGTTGGTTTTGTTTTGAGACATGACCTCGCTCTGTTGCTGAGGCTGGAGTGCAGTGGCTCAGTCATAGCTCACTGCAACTTCAGTCTCCCAGGCTCAAGTGATTCTCCCACCACAGCTTCCCAAGTAGCTGGGACTACAGGAGCATGCCTTCACATCTAGCTAAATTTTTATAGAGATGGGGTTTTACCACATTGCCTGGGCTGGTCTCAAACTCCTGGGCTCAAGCGATTCTCCAGCCTCAGCTTCCCAAAGTGCTGGGATTACCAGCATCAGCTACCACACCTGGCCATACTTGATTCTTACTCACTTATGTTTTTCAAAAAATGTTACTACAAGTAGTTCTGTATCTTGTATAGGAGCCAATGTCTGTTATAGACTCAGCAGTACTTAAAATAAGTATTGGTTACACATACATAATTTATTTTAACCAGTTTCCCTTACTAAACATCACTAAGAATATCCTTTGCAGACATTTTTGGTAATAACCAGAATATTTGTTTTACCTTAACTGTAAGTTTTTAAAAATAATTCAGTGTGCTCTTTGAAAAATTGAAACTATTGTTAATGAGTTTTGCAAAAGGGCAAAAGGATTACATAAAATTAAGACCATAATCTGTGCTCTACATTTTATGGACATATCTGTGTTCTAATCAGTATCCTCCAGTTGAGCTTTCTGAAATGACATAAATCTTCAGCTCTTCAATATGGGTGCCCACTAGTCACATGGGACTTTTGAGCCCTTAAAATACAGCTAGTGTGACTAGAAGTAGAAATAGAACTTGTAGATGAAGAGGAGTGGTTCTCAAAGTGTGGTTTCCTTACTAGCAGTCTTAGCATCACCTGTGACCTTATTAGAAATGCAAATTCCTGGGACCCATCAAAGACCTGCTGAATCAGAAATTCTGAGGTTGGGACTGGGTTTTAACAAGCCCTCCAGAGGATTCTGATGCAGGCTTAAGTTTGAAAGCTACAAGTGAGGGAATAGATGTTTTTTTTTGAGATGGGGTCTCCATCATTGAGGCTGGAGTGCAGGTGCTATCATAGTAGCCTACTGTAACTTGAAATCCTGGGCTCAAGCAATTCTCCTGTCTTGGCCTCCCAAAGCACTGAGATTACAGCCATGAGGAACTGCCCAACCAGGATAGAATGTAATGACTGTCTGGTTGTGCGTCCCGAGTCTTTCTCTTACTCTCTGTGGACCTGAGTGAATTATTTAATTGATCTACATCATCATAAGTTAATAGAACTTACCTCAGAGTTGTTTTAACAATTATGTTAGATATATTATTTAAAGAGTTCATTGTAGTTTCTCACATAGTATACATTCAGTGATAGTTGGTTTTTCTCAAAACTCCATTATTTTAACCTTAAATATAGCTGTGGAGGATAAGTTCTTACGTGGTACATGCATGTATCGCACATATCAAAGTCATTGGCCAAAAGTTGATAATCCCAGAGACATACTTCCTTATATTTATATATATTCATATACTCTGTCCCAGCATTTGATATGTTGATAAAAATATCTGGCACCCTTAATACCTTGTCAGGTTTTTTAAGTACAGAGTGCCTAGGCTGCTCAGTAATGTACTCTGTAGCCTATAGAATAAGTAAAGTTGTTGATGAGAGAAATAGAAATTTCAAGCAGATTCTTATATAATTTTTTGTGCATTTTTTTAAAACTCGCATATTCTAGCCTAAAAGATTGACCCCCCCCCCAAAAAAAATGACTTTTTAATTAAAAACCTGTGGTAGAGAAGTGTTAAAGTGTTTTGATTGTGGAAGTATTTTGCCTTTCCTTACCTATGTTTTTAATATGTATTTTGGTCTTTTCTACAGAAAATGGATATTCCAGCTAAATTGATTGTTTGTGGAATGGCATCAAATGGTTTTACCATTGCAGACCCAGATGATAGGGGCATGTTGGATATGTGTGGCTTTGATACTGGAGCTCTGGATGTAATTCGAAATTTCACGTTAGATGTGATTTAACCATAAGGAGCAGCACAAACCAGAGATCCATTGCCATCGGTGATCTCACTTAAAAATACACAGCTACTTCCCAGCAAATCCCCATCAAATGAACGACGATGGTATAGTATGTGCTCAATGGAAAGTTACCTTTCCAAAAAAAATGAACGAAAAATAAGATGGGCCCAAAGGTCTATCTACTAAACTAGCTCTTGGGGAAATAGCTTCAGGATACTGTAGTTTCCTCTAGCTAACAGAGAACTTTTTATTAATAGAAACTGTAAAATAGTTTTCCTTTGTTAAATAATACATGTGTACTTAAAAGAGGTAAGAGCAAAAAGTGTAATTCCACATCATGTCACTTGTTTCAAAGTGCTTAATGTTTTCTTAAATGTTTTCATTGGGAAAGGACAGCTTTGATAATGTCCAAATACTCTGAAATGCACTAGACCATGTAACTGTGATGGAATATGAAACTCATCTGTAACTTTTATACAAAGGGGGTAAAAAAAAAAAACTAAGACATTTGGTTAAATTATGAATGAGTTTTACAAATTCCTTTCAGAGTTTTCTAAGGTTACAGAAATAACAGCTTTCTTATTCAATGAAAAAGATATTTCTGATATTTTATTTGCACTTGTAGAATATGTTACCATTAATCAGAAACATCATGGCAACCTCTAAGAATAAACTAAAGTTTGTGTTAGCTGAGGAATTCTATTTGGTTTGCTTTTTTTTTGCTTTGTTATATTTTATTGCTGCAAGGGGTGTGACTTGATAATGCTTTTCCTCTGAATTATAACATAGCCAGATGTAGTCTCACACTTTTTTAATAATCTTAAGTGAAAATAATGTAAAATGTTTCAAGCGCTTAACTCCCTCATGCACAAAGTATAGCAATTAAAATCTCAACTATAACCAAATTAGCTTTTTCCTTATTTTTAAAATAAAAATTGTTTAAATTAGTTTTAACTAGTTGTTTAGTCAATATTTTTAAATTGTATACCTGGCCTCTCTGCCCATTATTCATTTTGTGGCAGAATATTCTTTGATAATGTAAAGAAATAATAAGGCAATCTATGTCCATTAGATTTGAAAGACAGTTTTTGAGTAGCATATGACCAGCTAACCAGTCACTAGGAATTTTGTTTTCAATATTATTTGTATGTATTAAACTTTTCATTACAGTAAAGTGCATTATTTTCTTGAGAAAGTATCCTTCATTGTGAGGTTTAACATTAAAGTAATCTGTTGAAATCCCATTATCTTTGCTTATAATTTTATTATGGTCGTCTAAGATAGCTTACACATGAAACTTGTCTGCATACTCGTTCGCTAAATATGAGTTGAAGATTTACTGAGGGTTTGTAAGATCCTTCAGGCTGTTATGTGAAAAGTTAAACTGTAGTTAATGTAAATTATAGCCTTTTAGGTGCTTAGGGGTAGAGGTTTTATGTTTTTTGGAACAGGGGGACTTCAGTAGTATGAGGATTTCTGTACATATTTTCTTCTGTTTTATGTGAAATTTGGGCTCTGAGAATAAGAAAATGTTCCTTTCAAATGTATTTGATATATTAATGCTAGTTTTGATACGTACTCATTCCTTCAAGGCGACTGGTAGCAGTTTTTAAGGGTGATTTACCGGAGATATTTTTGGTGAGCAAAGCTCATAGCACCCCCATCCCCACTCAGATATGCATTGCTTCTGATATTGCTCACGTTTTTAACCCTCTGTCAAGCATTGAACTGAACATATTAGCTACTTTTGATACATTAAAATATTATGTTCAGATTGAATTTAAAGTTTAAAGAATCTAACAATTATATAATAGTTCTTGAATTCTTTTAAACCCAAGATCTTAAAAATTATAACATGATCATTTTATTCCTAATAGAAATGTTATAGTACAAAAATGTGTTACCTTCAGTTAAATATAGCACAAAAATGTATTACCTACTATTTCCATAATGCTTTTAGACAAATATATCTATGAGTTAATATTAAATCCATCAAGGATACAAGACTAGATGGATATGACCTTTTTGAAGTGTTTAGGTAGGTCTAATTAAATGGACTATGGTAACATTTACAAAAGAAAAAAGTAGGAGAAGCTACCACAGAAGGTAACTTTTCACATCATGGCACATTAGAGCCGAAAGAAACCTTAAAACCTAAAAGCTAATTTTTAAATTTTTGTTAGAGAGCTGAGGTCCAACACAGAATGTGATTCTCAAGTACTATGACCTAGAAATCTTGTTCTCTTCATTCCTATGCCAGAATTTATTTCCTCACAACATGGGAACACATGATCTCAGAAGAGTAAAGGATAAAAAAGAATTTTTTAAGACTTTCACCTTATTTGGTTATTAGGAAATAGTGTATATATATGATTGCTTTAGGAGTAGACAAATAGAATGGGAACATGTACAATTTTGTAATTCATAGTAATCCTTAAGCCCAATTAACCTGTGTTGCTATATATATCTACATATATAGAGAAAAAAGTAAAAACTTTACCTCATTATGAATAAAATGTACTGATGTGATAAACAAGTTTTTTATTTCCTGAATTCTACTTTTAGGATCACTGTTAAATTAATATTTGGGAAGATACTGCTTTTAAAAACAACCCTATAAGAATAAACAAACTTTATTTCCTAGGTAATATGTAAATAGTTCCAGGATATAGTTGTAATTAGCAAAACAAACTAATCTTATAGTCCCACCCTTTATTAGTTGAAAGTTCTTGGAAATTCCATTTATTAATACTTAAATTATTTAGTATCTATTTTATGAGGGTGTTAGTAAGGCGAGATGCTGGTGAATGGAATTTAGTGTTACCCTTTGGAAACTCCTTTGCTTTTATCTAATTTACTGTGTGACTGTAGACAACCAATTTAACCTAAGTGATTTGATTTTTTTTATCTTTAAAAAGTAACATATCTGTGCTTAGATCATAGAATAATCAGTGATTTAATATTTACATAAAAATTGAAACTGGGAAGAAGGCTCACAATACAAGTTAGAATTCTTTTTTCGTTTTTAGTTAAAAACACTCCTGTTAATATGTGTTTTGAAAGATATGTTTTAGAAAAATAGCTCAATAGGCCCAATAATTTTTTAAAACGTTCCTGTTCAGGGTGGAAAAATTTAGAAGGAAAATTTTCACAGCTAAAGTATTACCCAAGAAATCATTATTCTCTATTGAAGAAAGAGAAAAAATATATTTCAGGTCTAAGATCTTCTTGGATAGATCTAGAAAAACAAGTTCATACTCTAAGTGAGGAAATGCTGTTAAGAAACTTTTTTTTTTGAGACAGGCTCTCACTCTGTCACCCAGGCTGGAGTGGCATGATCACGGCTCACTGCAGCCTTGACCTCCCGGGCTCAAGTGATCCTCCCAAGTAGCCAGGACCACAGGTGTGCACTATCATGCTGGCTTTTTTTTTTTTTTTTTAATTTTTGTAGAGACAGTGTCTCACTACATTGCCCAGGCTGGTGTCAAACTCCTGGGCTCAAGGGATCCTCCTGCCTCAGCCTCCTAAAGTGCTGGGATTAGAGGCACGAGCCACTGCACACAGTCAGCAAACATTCTCTTAATCTTTTAAAGTAACCAGTAAACCTACAAATAGTAAAATACCATTTTCACAGGGATTTTTTTTTTCTTATTTACTAGGTTTTATAGAAACAATGTGAAATTATTTTGGAAAGATAAGGTAGAATTCTTGAGTAAATTTGAAGGTCTTACAATTAAGTGAGAAACACCTTTAAAAGTACAGTAAAGCTATACCTAAACAATAACTAAAGGCTAAACCATTGTAATGTTGTGTTGGGCCTCTTTCACTTTGACCTATTGTAGCCACAAACAAATTTATTGGTAACCAATGCTATTAGGTATGTATGATGTTAGTAGGTAATCAAAAATGAAAAATTCTAGTCTTACATACCACAGGTTTGAAGTCATTGTTAAGGCAATATCCCCTCTGGAGAAATGTCATATGGCATCAGCGTAAACATGCACAAGAAAGAATATGAAAAAAAAATGACAGCTTAATCTATGAAATTAATTGTATTTACTGTATGGATTTTATTTAGTGTTTCCTTGATGTCTGTTTCCTCATCTCTTATTTGTTGGAAGATTACTTTTCTACCTTTTTTTTTCTTTTAAAATTCCTTTCTTACATTTCTGTCCTCTTTTTCTCTAGTCCTTCTCTATCTGGATAATAAAATGGACGACAGCAAAGTCACCTGCATATAGGTTTGGGATGAACCTTTTGCAGATTGTTTTTTGGTTCATACAAGTATAAGATCATATTTTTTTTTCAACTTAGTAATAGGCAAGGCTTCTTGGAATATTAAATAGATTGATTCAGTCTCTTCCCCAAATCAAATTGTATTATGTAACTTTTATATTAGATGTTTGCAAAAATTCTGTTGCCCTTTAAGATCAGTTATTAAGCCTTTGTTTGTAATTATAAATCTTATCTAGCTATGTTGAAAATCTAAGTGTTTACGATATAAGTACTCTTAGAAAAATAATTAACTGATTATTTCTTCACAAAATAGGTTTCTCAATCCTTGTATTTCATAATTATAAAGATCACTGTCAATATTTCACTGAGCACATATAGAGATACATAGCTTGTGGCATAAAAAGTCTTATAAATAACATTCAGAAGGGGCTTTTTTTTAACTGGTACTTTTGCTTTTTTGAAAATTATGAAGTTAAAATTTAACTCGAAGGTAATATTTTTCATGTATAAAACTAATCGTGTATTTAAGCATACTGTTTGAATAAAATTATAATAAATGCCACGTTTTCTTAAACCTTGAAAATACCAAGCTATATTGGAAAGTAGTAGAAAGAAACAAACTGGTGAGAACATCTTACAAAATTATATTGCAGAAATTAAGATGATTTTCAGGGAGAATGAATTTATATATACAACAAAAATATACAAAAGCTAACTTGCTCATCCTAAAAAGATTTTTCGCTTTGCTTCTATTTTATTTAGCCATACCGTGTACCATATTAATTTTATGAACACAAATGATACTTAACTTTTCATTTTAAAATGTTTATATTTATGCACTTTTAGACATCGGAATCTATGCTTGAACCAAGGAAATAGTAAATTAGCTGTAGGTCTGCTGGTTTCACTTAATGGATACGTGGGTAAGGACAGTGAATGAAATTCAAACCCTGCAATTTTACATATCATTACCAGATACAACTGGTGGAATATTATATCAACAAACATACTGAAACTTGGCTTTATTTGTAATGTGAACTATGTAGAATCCATACATAGCTAAATTAGATTTAAAATCTTATACAATCAAGGAAAAGCGTTTTTGTTGCACTGTTACTCTGAGTATCAACTGTATATTTGGTATGGTGTGACTGGGCATAACTTTTGTAATGTGTGTGAGTTATATGTTTTTCCTTTTATTGCCAGCTTCTGATAATGAAATTTCCAAAAGGATGAGATAGAAGAATCATCTTTTATAAAAACCAGTGGGGAGTAGAGTACTATAATCTAGTTCTAAACTGTCCATTTGCTTTATATAAAGGCTTTGATTTCTCTATTTGATGAATATTTAAATTACACAGAATAATGTCTACATAGAATAAACTTAAGTATGCAAGAGCCTTAAAGTGAAAAAATGAACCTTCTGACTGCCTTAAAATATGACTTGCTCTGTAATTCAGGCATACTAGTTTCTTTCCTTGGGGTCTGTTTAAATAATGCCTTAATAGTGTTCTAATGTTTCTAAAGTACAGAACTCAAAGGGTCTTTTAGAGCTTTTAGGTTTACATAGTGAATGGAAATTTAAGTATTAAGTTTTAAAAGCTGATTATACATTGGTAATATAAACATCCATTAACAGGAAAATCTAGGTACACTGATGTGTTACACATACATGACTGTTAACATCAGTAATATTTTGTGATAGTTTAAGGTTTGTTACTGTTTTGTATAACAAATTATCCAACACGCTGGACTTTATAACATGACCTCCAAGGACCAAGTTGCATATTTAACACTATGAATGAAAATGCAGTTGTACAGTTCCAAAAATGATTAATTTTTAAGGGGATTTTTCAAGACAAAAGGCAAATATTTTGTTTCAAGACAAAAGGCAAATATTTTGTTTCAAGCCTACAAGCAAATTTATTCCAAGAAGTGAATAGAGCAGTAAAACATAAAGACTATTGCAATAAAAAGTTTCCAGGCCAGTGATTTGTTTAATTACATTGACATATTTACATGCACTTTGCCTTTCAAAGCAGGAATATGTTATAAAACTGAAAGAAAACTTTAAATTGTCAAGTTGGTGCTTTAATTAAAGGTATGTAAAATTTATTTCATTTGCAAGGAAAGGACCCAGAAGCGGGGGACCGGGAGCTTCCTAGGTCTGTTGATAAACTAACTGATGCTTTGTCCCGTCTTCCAAGTTTTCACTGTAAATAACACCTAACAATGTAATTTTGCTGTTTTCTAATAGGGAATGAATGAATATATTAATGTATTACATTTGTTTCATGATAAAAGTTTTCACCAATACTGTGAAATCTTGACTTTCTCTCCTTTCTAGTCTTGCAAAATACCCTACTAAATCAATCATTTTAGACATGGAGTGCAGGTGGACACTGTCTGAACTGTTGCTGGTCAGTTACTGTAAAAATTGATAGATGTACCAAATAAACTCTATGCATATTAAGTAAGTGTCTTTCTATTTCTTTCAAGAAATATAAATTTTAAGGTTATAATATGCCTTATAAAATCTAAGGCCTTTAGTAATCTTTTGTATTTGAACAAGATAAAATTTAAGTTTTGATAATTAACATCAACCTTTTAAGGTGTCTAATTTTATGTATTAATTAAAGTAAGTTATAACAAGATGATTAGAGTTAATCAAAACACAAATTCTTAAGTTTTAAAATAGGATTCTTTTGTGAAACAATCTACTCAAAGTTGCCTTTGATAAAATTATCATGCAAACACAAAAAGTCAACTATGCAAATAAAAACATTGTTTCAGTGCCAATTTGTAGAAATTTTTCTCTCAATTCCCATAAAAATTTTCTGAAAAGTTCTAAGATCTGAACTGTAGGTAACTGAAAGCAAGTTACATCAGAATATATCCACCAAAATGTCAAGACATTTGGTTGATTTTTACAGTACCCTATTTAAAGATGGAGTCAACAGTTGTACGAGAAGGATCAATCACAAATTGCATTTCTTTATAAATACTAGCTTTAATACATTTTAACAATATTAAATCTTATCAATAAAACCTGATGTTAAAAGATGTTCAAATGATAATTTTTTTATTTGTAAACAGTAAAATCCAGGCATAGATGATCCCTTTTTTTCAACATCTTTCATTACAGATATTTTGGCAATTAAAATGTAAATTGATTAGCCATAAAGTGAAAAAAACAAATGGCCCAGTTTTTTATATTAATGGACTCCACTAAACAGTTCATCTTTCAGATCTTAACATAAAATAAAGGGCTGGGCATTGTGGCTTACACTTGTAATTATTAACACTTTAGGAGGCTAAAGCAGAAGGACTGCTTGAGCCCAGGAGTTCAGGGTCTTGCTGAGCAACATAGCAAGACCCCCATATTTACAAAAAACTAAAATGAATTAGTCGAGCATGGTGGCATGTGCTGTAGCTATTCAGAAGGCTAATCCCTTCAGACCAGGAGTTTAAGGCTGCAGTGAGCCATGATAGAGCTACTGTACTCCCTGGGATACAGAGGTAGACCCTATCTCAAAAATATATATAAATAAAAAAACATAAAAATGAGGACTGAGGAAAAAAATTGCAAGTTTTTTTTAGTCACTATTCTCTTTTATCCAGCTGTAAGGTATGGAAAGGGGAGAAGGAATGGAAATGAATATCCAGGACAATATGAAGCCCCAGAGGCTTCGCCTGCCTCCTTAAATTCTTGGCTGGGTACTAGGAATCTTGGAAAACACTGATGGATCCACAAGAAAACCCGCATATAGCTGAACCATTGTGATTAATAATAGCCACTATGTATTGTCTACTAAAAACCACTCTGGGCCAGGCACGGTGGCTCACGCCTATAATCCCAGCACTTTGGGAGGCCGAGGTAGGTGGATCACGAGGTCAAGAGATCCAGACCAGCCTGGTCAACATGGTGAAACCCTGTCTCTACTAAAAATACAAAAATTAGCTGGGCATGGTTGTGCGCGCCTGTAGTCCCAGCTACTCGGGAGGCTGAGGCAGGAGAATTGCTTGAACCCAGGAGGTGGAGGTTGCAGTGAGCTGATAACATGCCATTGCACTCCAGCCTGGGTAACAACAGCGAAACTCCGTCTCAAAAAAAAAAAAAAAACCACTCTGATTTACATATATTATCCCCATTCCTCAAAAAATAAATCCTAAAGGAAGATGCTATTACCTACATTCTGAGAGGTTAAGTCACCTACCAAATGGTTACACCTTGTCTGTCTTGACAAATCATCAGCTATGCTCTGAAAGTATGTTATGCATTTTTTTTTTTTTTTTGAGACAGAGTCTCACTGTTGTTACCCAGACTGGAGTGCAATGGCGCGATCTCAGCTCACTGCAACCTCTGCCTCCTGGGTTCAAGCAATTCTCCTGCCTCAGCCTCCCGAATAGCTGGGACTACAGGCGCACATGACAATGCCCAGTTAATTTTTGTATTTTTAGTAGAGACGGGATTTCACCTTGTTGACCAGGATGATCCCGATCTCTTGACCTCGTGATCCACCCGCCTCCGCCTACCAAAGTGCTGGGATTAAAGGTGTGAGCCACCACGCCCGGCCTATGCATTTTTTTTTTTAACTGAAGATTTAGTGGTGTTACGCTGTGGTCTCCTATCTAACTCCTTCTCCCTTAACCTTCAGTTTTGTAACCAACCCCTTGCATACAGTTAAAACTAAAGCTATTGGGGTTCCACAATTGGCACTGTCAGTAAGGGAGCTTCTGGCTTCAGTGCTTCCCTACATGCTTGGATTCTGCTCCTGGTTTTGTTTTCCCCTTGGAGTGTGCCTATACTTTTTAAAAACCTGCTTAGCCTTGCATTTTTAAAAATGTATTATTGTGTCCAATATTTTAAACATTTTAGAGTGGCAAGTTTTTTGTTATTGTTTTGTTTTTTAAGATATTTAATGTGCCATATGGCAAAAAGAGGTCAGATTTCTTGTATTTTCTTTCATCCCTTAGCGTTTAACAAATAGGCGAGATCTGCTTCCTTTCTGATGCAGTGCTAAACTTGCTAAGGTAAAAATCTTTTATTAGTCAATGAGTGTTTAAGTTCAGAAGACTAAGAGGCAGGTATTAGAAGGGTTTATTTCTTCTCTTTTAAATAAAACCATAGTAAAAATCAGATAACATATTACCTTCACTAGAGTTTTTGAGGCTTTTGATAAGATTCTCTCCCTGATGTTGAATTCTTTCAAGATCTGAACATAATCAAGAACCAACCACCACTTGCCTCTCACCCTCCATCCCACCAGTCTAGGAAGCGTTGATGAAAAACGTTTCTTCACAGGCCAGGCGCAGTGGCTCATGCCTGTAATCCTAGCACTTTGGGAGGCTGACAGACAGATTACCTGAGCTCAGGAGTTTGAGACTAGCCTGGCCAACATGGCAAAACCCTGTCTAAACTAAAAATACAAAAAATTAGCCAGATGTGGTGGCTTTTGCCTGTAGTCCTAGCTACTCAGGAGGCTGAGGTACAAGAATTGCTTGTACCCAGAAGCAGAGGTTGCAGTGAGCTGAGATCACGCCATTGCACTCCAGCCTGGGCAACAGAACGAGACTGTATCTTTAAAAAAAAAAAAGGCTAAAGGTAAAGCTGTTTTTCACAGTTGAGCCACTGGTCAGTGTTTCTATTTTTTGAAGTAATATGATGAACAATTATGACACAATTTTACGTTTCTCAGGTAATAGACTTCTTCAACTCTGTAACAAATTTTTTTTCAAAATCCCCAAAAGCCTGAATCTAACAAAGATTTTACAACATAGCAAGAACTTTCTCATGACATAATGCAAAATAAAGACCTAAAGACATTCCACTCTGTTCCATTCTAATGTTATAACCTAAATTATCACATAGGAATGAAATTCTTGTCTAAATTCTTATTTATCAAGAGGTCTCCTAATGGCAGTATAAATCCAGGTAAGAAGCATCATTGATGGCAAATGACCAAGGAAGCCACCAGCTGTATACTTCAGGACTGTTTCAGATTTTCTGGACCATCCTGACAGAAACCAGAAGCACTCCTGAAATCAATTTTTCTTCCGCCTCTGAAGAAGGGTTTTTTCTTCTCGGCATCTGGTAATCTGCCCCATGTGACTCTGTGGGATCACCTAGGAAAATGCTTTGTATAGTAGGGACTTAAAAAATTCTTGATAGGAAGCTGGAAAGATGATTTCATTAGTGAAGTACCGAACGTCTACAATTATTGTAAATTAAGACTTTCTGGAGGATAAATCTTGTTTGCTAAGTTTAGCTGAATTTAAATGAGTTTGAATAGTACTCCCAATATTGAACAGTACTGAACACATTAAATGTTCAAAGGCTGTTGGACATTGAGTTAAATTCTGAGGTGGAGAGTTCTGCTTTCCAGAATTTATATATTTATTAATATATATTAAAATATACATAAATTCTGGAAAGCAGAACTCTCCACCTCACAATTTAATGCAAGTACATTTCATCTATGTATGTTTATAAACTACGAAATGTACCTGAGTGGAGAGTTCTGCTTTCCAAAATTTATATGTTTTGCCTGTATGTGTGTGTGTGTGTGTGTGTGTGTGTGTGTGTGTGTTTTAGAGAAAAGGTCTTGCTCTGTCACCCAGGCTGGAGTAGAGTGGCTCAGTTTTAACTCACTGTAACCTCAAATTCCTGGACTCCAGAGATCCTCCTGCCTCAGCCTCCTGAGCAGCTAGGACTCCAGGTATGTGCCATTACGCCAGGCTAATTTTTGTTGATTTTTTGTAAATATGGGGTCTTGCTATGTAGACCAGGTTGATCTCGAACTCCTGGGCTCAGGTGATCCTTGTGCCTCAGCCTCCCTAAGTGCTAGAATGACAGGCATGAGCAAACATGCCCTGCAAACCCAAGCACATTTCTGTACTCTTTCAAAAGTTCATCCTCATACAATGCTGAAGTCTCCTTTTAATTTCTGCCCATAGGTATACTTTTGTTTCCTGGAACTATTAAGTCATTAAATGAGTAACGTAGTTTCTCTAAGATAAATTTCATTCCACAGTAAAATTTTAATATACTTCTATTACCCTGCCTAGTTCCCAAGTGTATCAGCAAAAGCCTTGAGTTTTAAAGAGAAATCATACATTAGTCCTGATCACTTAAAAGCTATCAAAGAAGCCGGGCGCTGAGGCTCAAGCCTGTAATCCCAGCACTTTGGGAGGCCGAGGCGGGTGGATCACGAGGTTGAGATCGAGACCATCCTGGTCAACATGGTGAAACCCCGTCTCCACTAAAGATACAAAAAATTAGCTGGGCACGGTGGCGCGTGCCTGTAATCCCAGCTACTCAGGAGGCTGAGGCAGGAGAACTGCCTGAACCCAGGAGGCGGAGGTTGCGGTGAGCTGAGATCGCGCCATTGCACTCCAGCCTGGGTAACAAGAGCGAAACTCCGTCTCAAAAAAAAGCTATCAAAGATAAAAAGTTAATTCCTGAACAGGGAATAAAGAATTCCAAATGCTTACTTTCTAGTTCTTGGTTGTAAAATTCATACATAAATTCCTAATAAAATACATTATTTCCTTATCCAACCTTTCATTTTTTTAATAACATCCCTTTCTCTGAAGAATTGGCAAGTGGGAAGATGAGGTATCCACTGCAATTTATTTTCATTATTTTTACATCTTCTTCAGGAAGACAATACTCAAACATTTAAAAGACATTATTGGGCATTATCACTTTAAGTAACTGACACTGAATATTGGCAAACTTATTAGTATCAACATCACTGAAATTCTTTCCTTTTACTTTTTTTTAAATAACACTGATGAACTAGTGGGAGCAATTTTCCTTCTTTATGAAGCCTATGAGTGTCAGTTGCACCTCCAATAAAGGTACCATTGACAAATATTCTTGGAACCTGTTGGACAAACAAAAGATGAGTTAGGCTTCACTCTAGCATCAAAACTAAGATCATTTCACATAGTAGACATTTCAACTCTGGGCACTTTTATGAGCCAGGCAACACACTAAGTTCTTTCACAAATAAAATCTTAAAATCTTTATCCTTCAAAGTAGCTATTGTTTTTAGCCCTATTCTGGAGGAAAACGAAGCAGAGGAACCTGAGCAAAATCCCAATGATGGTAAATAAGACTGGGATTAAAATCCAAGACAATCTGATTCTAAAACCCTTCCTAATCACTATGGTATGTAAAAGATAAACTAATAATATTTAGTTATTTCTTATATGTGTTTACTGAAGGGAAAGAGTACACTATAAACTTCCTCCAATAAACTTGAAAGTGGCAACACTGTATATTTTTCTGATTATGCATATTTGGAAAAAATCTGCAAATTTCAAGAATCTAAAAACATGGAACACTAACGCACTCCTATTAGAAAAGTAATTGAAAACCAACCTTGTACTGCCCAAGGAAAGGGAGGAAGAATACTTTTATCTTGCAAAGAGCTCCAAGAGGAACTCAAAGATCCATAGACAAGCATTCAAATAACACTACTTGCCATCTCCAATCAAAACACACATACAGAATAAAAATAAAATTAATCAACTCTGCCGTTTCCTATTCTAGGAATCTGGTTCCTAGATCCTCAGCTGCTTTATCTATCATCAGATAATGCCTGGCTCATTTTCCTAACACAAAGGTCTAGGCACCGGGGTGATCCAGTTCACAACCTATTAAAGACGAACAGCACCACCGACGATATACTCACAGTTCTTTCACCAGTCATTTTGTAAAGAGCATCTTGAAACTGGTTTCCATATTCAAGCAGGTCCAATTCCACCACTTTATAGTTAACATTCATGTCATGGAAAAGCTTTTTTGCCATTGTACAGTAAGAACAGGATGTTTTTGAGAAAATCACCACACAATTATTGGAAATTGTTTCCTGAAATAAAACCACAAAGAAATCATTTTAACTCTAGATATTACCTTTTGGAAATAATGGAAATTTCCAAAGGATATAATGGGAAGGGTATGGATCTGGTGTCTCATGATCCAGGGCTCAGGCTAAGCCTTATCTATTTTTTCTCATCTATAGATTGAGGGTATTTTTCATTTCGAAGCAATGTTATTAGGGTAAAAGATGTAACAAATAAAAAGTGCCTGGCACAGAGCAATAACGTGAAATAATAATCATAGCCAATTCCTATACAGCAAACATTTCTGTGTGCCCGGTACTATTCTCAACACTTTTATTTTCACTGGGTTATTTCACCCTCACTACAATCCTGAGGTAGGTCCTATTTCTGTCCCCACTTCACAGATGACAACAGTGAGGTACAGAGGAAGATCGACAATTTTTTCATGGTTCTCAGCTAATACATGGAAGAGCTAGGATTAGACCCAGGCAAATCTGGCTCTACAGTCTAGATACTTAAACTCCATTATACTCCTTTTTCAGCAGGGTACAGTGGCTCATACCTGTAATCCCAGTACAGTGGGAGGCCAAGGCGGGCAGATCACTTGAGGTCAGGAGTTCAAGACCAGACGGGCCAAAATGATGAAACTCGGTCTCTACCAAAAACACAAAAGTAGCCGGGCATGGTGGCAAATGCCTGTAATCTCAGCTACTTGGGAGGCTGAGGCAGGAGAATCGCTTGAACCTGGGCGGTGGAAGTTGCAGTGAGTTAAGATCGCACCACTGCACTCCAGCCTGGGGAACAATTAAGTAGATAGACTCTGCCTCAGAAAAAAAAAAAAAAAAAAAACCCAAACATTGTACTTCTTTTCAAACATTCAGTAGGTATTCAGGAGTTAACTCCTTACCTTCTTTCAATGGTAAGGAATGGTATATGATTTCTTTTTAAAATGTAAGGCTTAACCCTCTGCTTCTATCCCTTCCTATATAACTTTATAGTACAAAAGCTATCATTATTCTATTGCTAAGGTATTCTTGTACTGTTAGTTCAGGAAAAGCTACTCCCAGAAATGCTAATTCAATGAGGTTGAGGTACAGGTTGAAAACTATATTTTTTAAAAACTACTCTGGATAATGACTGTATTAGCCTGGTTTGGAAACCACTCTCCAGGCCTTTACCACAATGGCTCTGAGACTCTGCTGTGGATCCACATAGCCTGTGAAGTTTTCCTTTTTGTTTCTAAACATGTGAATGCCTGGGTCCTTCGAAGATTTTGAATGGACAGATATAGCACCCAGACATTTGTCTAGGTTTTTGGGTTTTTTTGAGACAGAGTCTCACTCTGTCACCAAGGCTAGAGCGCAGTGGTGCAATCTCAGCTCACTGGAGCCTTAAACTCCCAAGGTCAGGTGATGTTCCCACCTCAGCCTGCCAAGTGTGTGGGACTACAGACATGTGTCACCACACCTGGATCTTTTTGTAGAGACAGGGTTTCACCATGTTGCCCAAACTGGTGTTGAACTCCTAGGCTCAAGTAATCCACCTGCCTTGGCCTTCCAAAGTGCTGGGATTACAGACATGAGCCACTGTGCCGGCCTGTTGAGGGTGTTTTCTGTGGCGGGTAGGGAGCAGCACCTTCAAGATGAAGGCCAAAAACCAGAAAGTATAAGGTCCATGCTTCAGGAGCTCTATCACCCTTGGGTGTCAGAAGGGTCCTGAGTTTTAGTTCAGCTATCTGCAAATTGGTCGATGTTTATGCTTCCCTTCTGTTTACTCATAATATTTAATATCAAAGTTCATCCCAGGAAGGGCCTGCCATACCAGAGATGTATTAACAAATTCATCTTACGGAGGACAAAACTAAGGCTGAGTGGGTCACGATACTGGGATTTGACCCAGCCTTGTCACAGCACCAAAGCCAGTGCTCTTCCCTCCACCACGTGGCCTCACGTTACAAACACACCGACACCATCATGTAGGGAGAGATGAGCTTCGTGGGCTCTTACATGTATTTAGACACTGATGAAGAGATTCCAAAGTGAGCTGAAACTAAAGATGACAGTGTCAGGGTATCTAGAACCCTCTTCCCAATTTTTATTAAGCTTGCCCTTACTATATATTGCATAATGTTGGATTTTTAATTTAAAGGAGGCAATTCAGGCCAGGCATGGTGGCTCATGCCTGAATTCCCAGCACTTTGGGAGGCTAACGCAGGTAATTTGCTTGAGGTCAAGAGTTTGAGACCGTCCTAGCCAATATGGTGAAACTCTGTCTACTAAAATACAAAAATTAGTTGCGTGTGGTGGCGGGCACCTGTAATCCGCAGCTACTAGGGAAGCTGAGGCAGGAGAATTGCTTGAACCCAGGAGGCCAAGGTTGCAGTGAGCTCAGATTGCACCACTGCATGCCCGCCTGGGTGACAGAGCAAGATCTGCCTCAAAAAAAAAAAGAGCAATTCCTTCCCAATAGGGTTTGAGCATTAACGTTAGAGTCAACAGCTAGGAGATTAGACAAATCAAGTAAAGGCAGAGATTTTTTGTTTGTGGCAGTAGTGGGTGCTAAGCAAGAGAGGAAATAATGGGTATGTCTTATAGTCTGCAACGGAAGAAAAACATGCATGTAAGAGATTTTCTAAGGCAGATTTAACAAAGCTTCTCAGTAAAAGAAAGAGGAAAAGAGGCTGGGCGCGGTGGCTCATGCCTATAATCCCAGCACTTGGGGAGGCCGAGGCGGGTGGATCACAAGGTCAAGAGATCAAGACCATCCTGGTCAACATGGTGAAACCCCTTCTCTACTAAAAATACAAAAATTAGCTGGGCATGGTGGTGCACGCCTGTAGTCCCAGCTACTCGGGAGGCTGAGGCAGGAGAATTGCTTGAACCCAGGAGGTGGAGGTTGTGGTGAGCCAAGATCACGCCATTGCACTCCAGTCTGGGTAACAAGAGCGAAACTCCATCTCAAAAAAAAAGAAAGAGGAAAAGAAGAGTATACAGTATCCCTGAGAGGACGGTTTATAAAATAACTACTGGATACTCACTCGGTTCTGTACTAACGAAGAGAACTGTTAACCCAGGCCAAAATCAAATAGGATCCCCAGCTAAGGGCAGCTTGACTGGTGTCAGCACTGGACCTCAGGTGGGTATGATGAAAAGGAGCAGCCAACCGCATTATCCAACTTAGAGGGAGTAGAGACTTCATTAAAAATAAACCTCATACATTTTGATTACCAAAATGATCTTGGACTTCTTAGTCACAGGGATAATTTTACAGCAGATTTTAAAATAAATATTAATTTCTTAGTTCATTTGCTGAACTATCTCAAGCTTGGATATTGGATAAGCATATTAAGTATGTAAGGGACAATTATTTTTCCACAGAGAAAAGTTTTCCATCGTCTCCCGCGTCACTCACTTGGATCTGGTTCACAGGTGCCGTTGCTAAATTCTCCAAAGATGAGGATGTGTTGCTCTCCATCCTAAAAGGCATTTCAAAGGACAATGTAGTTTATTAAGCATTAAAAATCTAACACACAAATATAGCCAAACTTATAAAATAGAAAAAAAAATTTACTCATCAGTACAAAATGTCAATTTACAAAGTATTTGTTTCTCTAAAACCAAAAAGACCTGTGTGCTTATCTAACTAGCTTCCCAATGCCCTTATTTGATAAAATCATATTTACTGTGTTTAAAGCTTGACACATTGTTATTTATGACCAAAAAATTTCAAATATTCCATCCTACACCCTATGACCTGAGCTTAAAATTAGTTTCTACTTTTTTTTTTTTTGAGACGGAGTTTCGCTGTTGTTACCCAGGCTGGAGTGCAATGGCGCGATCTCGGCTCACCGCAACCTCCGCCTCCTGGGTTCAGGCAATTCTCCTGCCTCAGCCTCCTGAGTAGCTGGGATTACAGGCACGCGCCACCGTGCCCAGCTAATTTTTGTATTTTTAGTAGAGACGGGGTTTCACCTTGTTGACCAGGATGGTCTCGATCTCTTGACCTCGTGATTCACCCGCCTTGGCCTCCCAAAGTGCTGGGATTATAGGCGTGAGCCACCGCGCCCAGCCTCATTTCTACTTTTTTAATAAAACATGCCCAAACTCTATGAACTCTCCGTGAAGCAAGGAACCTGCAAAGATTTTTAAGGAAGCTAGGGTATCTCGACCACAATGGGCCACATACTCCGTAACTCCAAATTTCCTAGTCTGCAAAGCAGGAACAATAATCACTTGCACCTATCAAATGATTTTGTGCAGATTAAATGAATTCATATGCAGAAAGCAGAACAGTGCCTTCCACACAGTAAATGCTCAACAGCGGGTGACATTACTACTACTATTTCCTGAATACAGGACCTGTCATTATCTCAGTATTTATTACCCGAAAACTAGCTGTTGGGAACTTGTAAAAGGAATGTAAAAGGAAGCATTCATTGTCAGGAAAAATTATCACTTATAAAAAAAAACTCAACCAGTTTATCATCATCAAATCTGTTTATCGCTGGAACCTTTCCTTCTCCATTCACTCATCTTGGTCAACCAGACCCTACTGCACTGTTGGAACAATATCAAAGACCATGATTCAAACTGCAGAGTAAAATTACAAATTTTACAACAAGATTATGAGATATAATAGATGCTTCAAAAGAGAATTACTCAAATATCTGAAGAGTAGAATTTTTGAAACTTCAAATATTTAAATAACTATTATCCTTAGGATTATGTTATAAAACTCAAATATTCTGCCTTCAAATCAATACTGCATTCATTGGGGGTACATTTAAAATTTAAATGTTCTTAAATATAAAAGTAAGCTACTTTTTATAATGTTTAATTTTTGCAAAGGTCCCAAGCAAAACTTTTTAAATTGGATAGCATGATCTATTAGTCTTTTTTTTTCTTCTTTTTTCTTTTGAGATGGAGTCTTGCTCTGTCACCCAGCCTGGAGTGCAGTGGCATGATCTCGGCTCACTGCAACCTCCACTTCCTGGGTTCAAGCAATTCTCCTGCCCCAGACTCCCAAGAGCTGGGACTATAGGCGTACACCACCACACCCAGCTAATTTTTTGTATTTTTAGTAGAGGCAGGATTTCACCATGCTGGCCAGGCTGGTCTCGAACTCCTAACCTCAGATGATCCACTTATGTCTGCCTCCCAAAGTGCTGGGATTACTGAAGTGAGCCACTGTGCCTGGCCTGAAATATTAGTCTTGTTTTAAGTGAATCCACTCTAAATAGCTTTTTCCAGAACATCTCATCATTGGATAAGGAACAGCTGCCCTACGCAGTATCCACCCTCAACCACCATTTCAGTTATCCATGGTCAGCTGTGGTATAAAAATATTATATGGAAAATTCCAGAAGAAAACAGTTCATACGTTTTAAGTTCTAAGTAGCATGATAAAATCTTGAGCCATCTAGCTTCCTCCCAGCCAGGGTGCGAATCCTCCCATTGTCCAGCATATGGACTGTTTAAGCTCCCCACCCTTTAGTCAGCAGCTGCCTTGGTGACCAGATCGACTGCCACGGCGTGGTGATTCTTGTGTTCAAATAACCCTTATTTTACTTAATGATGGCCCCAAGAAGACTGAAACTCCACCACAAAAATAAATAAGTAATGGCCTCAAACCTCTAAAGCTGTGATGCTGGCAATTCAGATATGTCAAAGAGAAGCCCTAATGTGCTTCTCTGAGTGAAAGGATGAGAAGTTCTCCACTTAAGAAAAAACTAATCACATGCTGAGCTTCCTAAGATCTATGGTAAGATGGATTGTCTATCAGCGCAACTGTAAGGAAGTAAAAAGAAATTCATGGTGGTTTTGATGTATGTCGCACCTCAAACTGCAAGTTACAGCCAGTGTGTAAGTGCTTAGTGGAGACAGAAAGGTTATTAAATTTGTGGAGACGAAAAGAGAAAACGTGTTCCAACAGACAGCACTGTGTTATGACAAAAAGCACTGGGCCTATGAGAAGATTCAGCCAGGGATTCCTTGAAAGAGTATTTTGTTATTTACATGACTGTTCTTTCATTATTGCTGTTAGGCTCTTACTTTGCCTGATTTATAAGTTAAACTTAATCATAGGCATGTGTAAGTTCAGCACTATCCGAGGTTTTAGGCGTCCACTGAGGTCTCGGAACGTGTCCACCACGGGTTAGGGGGAATACTGTGATATCTGCACCCTTAGTGAGGAGGTACAACTAACATCAGTGTGTTCACTTATAGCAAAGAAGAGAGACAGGAACTAAACATCACAACCTACACGATGTTTACAATCTATTACTGCTTGCTTCCCAATAGATTAGCAAGGAATCCTTTAAAGCACATCACCCCCACCCCAACCACCACCACCACCACCACCACCCGCGCCAAAAACAAAAAACAACAACAACAAAAAACCCTCTGGGTTTAACTCAGGAAGGGGTTAGGAGAGCGAGCTAGGAGAGGAAGGTGAAGCTTTTAAGACAAAAGGAAGTGAGTTTGTAAAGCCTACATCAGAAAAGGTCAGGCAGCGCTGGAGCAGACCTAAGGAGGAGCAGTGGTGGGATAAATGAGCAAGCTGCATTTGGTCTATCTAGCAACTAAGAAAACAAGCCCTCTGCATCTCAGGTCCAGCACTTAAAACGTCATTCCCACACCATGTACTACGGCACTGACTCTGAAGCAGGAGCGCCAACAGAACACAGGACAATGTTTTCTCGGGTAGTGACAGGAGGGAGGAGGTGCATTCTGAAATATTACACCCTCCCCGCCCAGTAAAAGAGGTTCTGGAAGGCACCCTTTCCCTTCAATTCCTAGTTGACCCTGGTATATATAACCCGTCGAGAACTGTGAAAAGGAGCACGGAGGAAGGAAGTGCACTAGAAGCACTTGCGCCCCACGCGGATGAAGACCTGGGCATGCCACAGTGACGAAGTGCCCACTTCCGCTAAGCGGGCCAAGCGCCATCCCCGGGGATGCGCCGAAAGCACAGGCTGCGGGGCCTCCAGCCGTCAGACACTCAACCGTGATCGCGGCCTTCAGGGGGCGCTCCTGCTAGTCGGGAGAGTCAGCCTTGCAGAACGGGTCGTTTCCCGATCAAGCAGACTCGGAGAGACTCTCCGGCCAGGCGACCCGCCAGGACAGTCGGGGACTTGCCGCGCGGGCGTGGGCAGCACAGCCGCGGGTCCCTTCCACTGCGGGTCCCGAGCCCGCGGCTATTCCAGAGGAGGAGGCGCCAGGAAATCAGCATCCCCGGCCTAGCCGGGGGCAGCAGCCCCCGCAGCCCCGCAGCCCCTCAGCCGCAGCCCCGCAACCCCTCAGCCGGAGCCCCGCAGCCCCTCAGCCCCGCAGCCCCCTCAGCCGCAGCCCCGCAGCCCCTCAGCCGCAGCCCCGCAACCCCTCAGCCCCTCAGCAGCAGCCCCGCAGCCCCCTCAGCCGCAGCCCCGCAACCCCTCAGCCCCTCAGCAGCAGCCCCGCAACCCCTCAGCCGCAGCCCCGCAGCCCCGCAGCCCCTCAGCCGCAGCCCCGCAACCCCTCAGCCGCAGCCCCGCAGCCCCTCAGCCCCGCAGCCCCCTCAGCCGCAGCCCCGCAGCCCCTCAGCCGCAGCCCCGCAACCCCTCAGCCCCTCAGCAGCAGCCCCGCAGCCCCCTCAGCCGCAGCCCCGCAACCCCTCAGCCCCTCAGCAGCAGCCCCGCAACCCCTCAGCCGCAGCCCCGCAACCCCTCAGCCCCTCAGCAGCAGCCCCGCAGCCCCCTCAGCCGCAGCCCCGCAACCCCTCAGCCCCTCAGCAGCAGCCCCGCAACCCCTCAGCCGCAGCCCCGCAACCCCTCAGCCCCTCAGCAGCAGCCCCGCAACCCCTCAGCCGCAGCCCCGCAGCCCCGCAGCCCCTCAGCCGCAGCCCCGCAGCCCCGCAGCCCCTCAGCCGCAGCCCCGCAACCCCTCAGCCCCTCAGCAGCAGCCCCGCAGCCCCCTCAGCCGCAGCCCCGCAGCCCGCTCAGCCGCAGCCCCGCAGCCCCCTCAGCCCCTCAGCAGCAGCCCCGCAGCCCCCTCAGCCGCAGCCCCTCAGCCCCGCAGCCCGCTCAGCCGCAGCCCCGCAACCCCGCAGCTCCCTCAGCCGCAGCCCCGCAACCCCTCAACCCCTCAGCCGCAGCCCCGCAGCCCCGCAGCCGCAGCCCCGCAACCCCGCAGCTCCCTCAGCCGCAGCCCCGCAGCCCCTCAGCCCCTCAGCCGCAGCCCCGCAACCCCGCAGCCCCTCAGCCGCAGCCCCGCAACCCCTCAGCCCCTCAGCCGCAGCCCCGCAGCCCCGCAGCCCCTCAGCCGCAGCCCCGCAACCCCGCAGCCCCTCAGCCGCAGCCCCGCAACCCCGCAGCCCCTCAGCCGCAGCCCCGCAGCCCCGCAGCCCCTCAGCCGCAGCCCTGTCCTCGAGGCCGCAGGAGCGCCGCCCGGGCTTCCGGCAGGACGGTGGCCGAGTTGAGCAAACGCGCCTGCGGGGCCCCTCGGAATGTAGCAACACGGGAAACTGTCGCGTTTCTCTGTGTCCTGGGCAGTCTCGGGACACACGTGGGGAATCCTTGGCTTTTTAAGTGAAACTCCGGTGAGGAGCGCGTCTGGTACTGTACCCAGCCATTCACAGGGGACGGTCTCTGCGAACGCGAGCCCCGCATCTTCACCCGGGTCACCGGCTCCCGAAGCCGCACCGCCGCCGAGGGCGCCCTTCCGCGTCTCAGGACTCGGGCCCCCGCGCGAGCCCGCCTCGCCCACCGCTTCCCCCGCGAGGCCTGCGCGCCACGCCGGCCGCTCCCGCCCCCGGGCCCGTACCCAGAGGCCGCCGCTCCCGCCGCCCCGTCAAGCCAGCCAGCCCGGCCGCTCCTGCTCCGAACCAGCCGCGTCCCAGCCAGCGCCGCGCGGCGCAGGAGCATGATCAGATCCCGGCGCCGCGGCGCGCCCGGGGACCCCGCACCGCAGACCTGGGGGCCCGCCCTCGGCCCCGCCCCCCGGGCTGCCCGCGCCGCCGCCGGTCACCCCCACGCAGCCGAGCGCGTCCTCCCAGGGCGGCCCCGGAGCGCGGATTCCAGCGAGTCCCGCCCACGGGTACACCTGGGTCGCGGGCCGGCGGCTCCTCTGCCCACCTCCGGGCTCACCCAAGCCCCGCCTCCGGCTTCTTTTACGCTTGGGGACGCTCCGAGAGGCTCCCAGGCGCGTGGAAGCGGGGCGTGAGGGTGGCGGTCCACGTGCTGGGGAAACGAGGAGAAAAAGCACGACCGTCTAAAACAGAATCGAAGTGCGCCTGACATGTTTCCAGCTTCGTGTTAGACAACTTTTGTGTGGATGAAATAAGCGCCCGAATAGATCCTCTTAAAATGAGGCCATTGGTCCAGACCCAATATAAATGATTGGGGCTTACACCCGTAATTAAAAGAAAAAAGCCAGTGTTTCACCATGGCTTAGAAAATGGGCGCTTGCTGCTGACAGGGTTGTCTAAGCCACTCGGTGATGGCAATAATAGCCTTTGTGCGTCACTCTGTAAGGTCAGGGGACGCTGAAATTATCTTAAAGTCAAAGGTCAAATGGTGTATCTAAAATTCTAAACATTTATTACCACAAGCCAAACCTTTTTGGATTCTTCATGGTCAACTAAGTGTAAAATTCATGCTACCAAAGTACAAAGTAAGAACTTGTGTTTCTGATAGTTCTTTCCCAACACTCAGATGGACTGTTTCATTCGTCAGTAAAAGGATGCAGGTTAGTTGCAAAAACAAACACCCCCAGAGGATGTGAAGTCATTCTCTATAAAGACTTGAAAATCAAGGTATGTTATCTATCTATAGTTTTGTGGGCTTGATTTTTTTAAAGCTATTTTGGAAATTCACTGTGTTATGTTGCTTTTTAAGTAGAATTTTACCTCAGTATCTCAAATTGTTTTACAAAATAAACATTATGAGGTGAACCATCGTGTTACAATTTAATTTTAATACATTATAGATGGACTATATCAAGCACAGAATTCACTGGACAGATTTTTTAAGGATTCCAGAATGTAAATACTTCAGAAGAAAGTATTATGCCTGAATTCAGCATAATATGTTAATAAACATATTGATAATTTTCAACTTCTTTGTGCTTCATGGGGTAGCTACAGAAGTGATGAATTTTGGTCATAGTTGTGATGACTGCAATAGCAAGTTAACAACTATATCAGCAGAGAGTAGAATGGCGGTTGCCAGGCTGGGGAAGCCAGATCTGGGGAGATGTTAGTCAAAGGGTACAGTTTCCATTTTGTGAGACAGGTAAGTTCTAGAAAGCTAAAGTACAGCAAAGTGAATATAGTTAGGAAAATCGCATTGTATGCTTGAAATTTGCTAAGGGGGTAGATTTTGTATTCACACACACACACACACACACACACACACGAAAGAAAATGGGGCCAGGTGCAGTGGCTCACGCCTGTAAACCCAGCACTTTGGGAAGTGGAGATGGGTGGATCACCTGAGGTCAGGAATTGAAGACCAGCCTGGCCAACATGAAGAAACCTTGTCTACTAAAAATACAAAACTTAGCCAGGCGAGGTGGCATGTGCCTGTAATCCCAGCAACTCGGGATGCTGAGGCAGGAGAATCGCTTGACCCTGGTAGGCAGAGGTTGCAGTGAGCCAAGATGGCACCACTGCACTCCAACCTGGCGACAGAGGGAGACACTATCTCAAAAAAGAAAGAAAATGGTAAATCCAAAAGGTGGAGGCTATGTTAATTAGCTTGATTGTGATAATTATTATACAACCTATCATGCTTTGGAATGAATGTTTGTATCCTCTAACACTTACATTGAAACTCTCCAATGTGGAAATACTGAGAGGTAGGGCCTTTGAGAGATGATCGGGCCTGAGAGCTGGAACGTGAATGAATGCATTAATGGGTGACCGTGGGAGTAGAACGGGCAGCTTTATAAAACAGAGTTCTCAGCTCTCTTGTCCCATGATGGCCTACACAGCTTGGGGAATCTGCAGAGAGTTCCCACTATCAAGAAGGCCATTACCAGATGTGATCTCTTAACCTTGCCTTTCTCAGCATTCAGTACTGTAAGAAATAATTTATAGGCCAGGCATGGTGGCTCACGCCTATAATCCCAGCACTTTGGGAGGCCGAGTGGGTGGCCTCCTTTGGGTGGATCACGAGGTGAAGAGATCGAGACGATCCTGGTCAACATGGTGAAACCCCGTCTCTACTAAAAATACAAAAATTAGCTGAGCGTGGTGGTGTGCACCTGTAGTCCCAGCTACTCGGGAGGCTGAGGCAGGAGAATTGCTTGAACCCAGAAGGTGGAGGTTGTGGTGAGCTGAGATCTTGCCATTGCACTCCAGCCTGGGTAACAAGAGCAAAACTCCATCTCAAAAAAAAAACAACCCAGAAATAATTTATATACAAATTACTCAGTTTCAGGTATTCTGTTATAAGCAACAGAAAACGGACTAAGACATATACATGTATCAAAATATCAAGTTGTGCATTTTAAAATTAATGTGACATAAGACGCAGCATCAGCAATTTAAAATGGGCTATTTAATAACATTTGTTAGAACAGAAGTCTGATCATTTCCAGAGAAAAGGAACTATGATGTTGTTTTATATGTACTGAATTAGTTAAATTTAGTGATTTCTACAAAACGAATATGACAGAGAAGAAAGCAGTGCAATAGAATAACAGGAAGATACCCAATCCAATTCTTTTTACTCCATTCGAACTCCTTTTTATCTAATCAAAGAGCTTATCAGAGACCTTCTCTGATAGTATATAAAATAGCTAATACATTCTGTGCTTTCTCTACTTGTTACTGCTTTATTTTCCGCCAGTGTTTATCTACTCTTGACATTGCATATACGTTTGTATTTATTATACAAAGAATATAAGCACATAAAGGCAGGGGCCTCAACTATTTGGTTCACTCCCAGATTTCCAAGTCCTAGGATTGTGTATACCACGTTGCAAGCATTGAATAAATACTTGGTAAATGCATAAATTGTTTTATTACATTTTAGTACAGAACATAATTTATCAGTTGTCAAAAACAACTTAACAGCTGTCTTTTGGGCATGGTAGCTCACGCCTGTAATCCCAGCACTTTGGGAGGCCAAGGCCCCTGAGGCCAGGAGTTTGAGACCAGCCTGGTCAACATGGTCAAACCTCATCTCTACTAAAAATAGGAAAAAAATAACGGGGTGTATTGGTTCATGCCTGTAGTCCCAGCTACTCCAGAGGCCAAAGCACTAGAACTGTTTGAACCCGGGAGGCAGAAGTTGCCGTGAGCTCAGATCATGCCACTGCATTCCTCTTGGGTGACAAAGCAAAACTCTTGTTTCTAAGGGGAAAAAAAAATGCTGTCTTTTGAAAAATAATAAAATTTGTATTATAATATTTCACATGATGTAATCATGTCACTACTGATATCCTAATATTTCAGTTCTGTTTCACAAGTTATAGCAAAAGAAGTATTTAACTCTAGCATTTCAGAAAATAAAATTATTTTACCATTTGCTTGTCCAATCTTCATCCTCTATTTCCTTCTAAGAATGTAAAGTCAGATAAATGCCATTAGTAGCTAGCTGTCTGATTTTAAGTTATCAAAAATTGTTGAGAACACACTCTGCTTATTAATCATCATTACTCTTATTCAGTGTTGAACTAAAAATGTGACATTTTTGAACACAAGAGATTAAGATTTTATGTGAACCCAAAGCGATCTGTATTCAAGTGGAATGATATTAAGCATATGTGAGAGGGGTCATATTAATACAATTAAGCAATGGTGTATTCTCAAACTACAAATCTGCTATTATGAATAAAACTTGAAAAAATGAATTATTCTTTAGTGATAATGGCAAAAACATTCAGTTGTGGTATTTTATGCCTTTTTAACTTATTTGCCTGGATATAAAGTGAATTGGTTTAGTATGGATTCTTATTTCGTAGCCTATTTTCTGTTTCTCCAAATAATTGCATTCTTTTTTGTTGTTGTTGTTTGCTTGATTCGGAGTTTCGCTCTTGTCGCCCAGGCTGGAGCGCAGTGATGTAATCTTGGCTCACTGCAACCTCTGCCTACTGGCTCAAGCGATTCTGCTGCCTCAGTCTCCTACAGCTGGGATTACAGGTGCGCACCAGCACACCTGGCTAATGTTTGTATTTTTGGTAGAGATGGGGTTTCTCTGTGTTGGCCAGGGTGGTCTCACTCCTGACCTCAGGTGATCCACTGGTGTTGGCCTCCCAGAGTGCCGGGATTACAGGTGTGAACCAATATGCCTGGCGATAATTGCATTCTTTAAAAAGCAAACAATAAATAAATAAATTCTTTTTTTAAAACAAGAACATGACCGTAATTCAAAACCAAAGAGCCTGTACTCAAAAAGTAATTTCTCACTGTGAAAAATGAAGACTATCCAAATGAGACCAAGCAGAGGTGATTATTCAGAGCCTGCTCTAGCAAGGGAGTTGGCCACCATACCTTGCAGTGTGACGGGGACTCCAAGGCAGGCAGAGGAGTGGGTAAGCTTCATCATGAGAACAAGGGAAGGATGTGGGTATGCTCTGATTAGAAACTGTTGGCATGAAGAAGTGAAGGCAGGCTAACTAGAAGGGAAGCATCCCTTTTGCCTGGTTTGGGGAGCATATTTGGAAAGCTGGTAGTCAATACCAACTCCTAATTGTTCTGGTCTGTTTGCTGCAAGTCAGAGTTTTATTGTCACATATATTCTGTCAATTCTCCATTTACATATTCAGTCTCTCAGCATTAAATGATGGGATTCCATAGTTAAACCTCTCGTTCCTGCATTCTGTAAATTTTATGTGCCCACCATGTGGGCTGAGTGAACAGCACAGAAATGACATTAGCATTCACGAAAATCTAGGAGATACATAAGAGGAAAACCTAAATTAAATTTGCTATTTGCGAAGGAATAGCAGAGGAAGAAACTTGTAACCTAAGGTTTTAACAAGAGTAAGAGCTAGGCAGACAAGGTGTCTGCCTTGGGGAGGGAGAAGGGAAGGGGAAGAGGGCTCCAGGTGGTGAGGAAGAAAGCAAAAGCTATTACATGCTTTCCATGCAGAGTATATTTTATTTAATCTGACTTAAAATTTACCCATGTTCCCAATTTTAATTTGTTGGTTTAAAAAAGCAAGCATGACATGTCTGTGTTTCCATATTTAAAAATCTGTGTTGCAAGAGCAAATAAACCAACAAATCTAGTTCTGTCCTATGGCTTACTTCTATTGCCTCTACTTTCTTTTCTTGGTTTGGCAAAGGCTATTTATTAGATATTCTTTAAAGTTTTTATCGAATTGGGCTTGCTGTTTCTTCTCATTGGAAATTCAACATGTTATCATTCTGCTGTACCAGTAGCCAACCAGACTGAGATCAGACCGACATCCCCCAGTCCCAACAGATCCCCGTGTTATTGGAGCTCTTTAGAACACAGTACAGGTACAGTTTATGCTAGGAGATGCATGCTGAGTCAAGCTCGGCTCAGTTCTGGGAAAAAAAGTCTGTAATGGTTAGTGTGTCAACCTGACTAGACCATGGGATGCTCAGGTATTTGGCAACTACGTGTTTCTGTGAGGATGTTTTGGAATGAAATTAACATTTAAATTTGAAGACCAAGTAAAGCAGATTGCCCTCCATAATGTGAGTGGTCTTTAGCAAATGAGTTGGAGGTCTGAATAGAACAATATGACGAGGTAAGAAAGAATTCTCCTGCTAGATGGCCTTTGAACTGAACATTAGTCCTTCCTCCCTGATGGCTTTCAAACCGGGTAACTGGATTTCCTTGGCTCTGCAGAAGCTTTCTGGCCTTTGGACTCCAGCTTTAGCAGATATTAAACTCGCCAGCCTCCATATTAAATTCCTTTTATTCAATTTTTTTATATATATTCTACTTTTCCGGAGAACTCTGACCAATACAATATTCAATTGTTATTTTATCAAAGATAAAACAATTGTTCCATTTCCTTTTTCAAAATTACTTATATCCTTAGAGTGCCAGAGACTCTGGAATCAAAAGTTTTGATTCAGTAAGTCTCTAAGTCCTTTTCTCTATAAAATTCCCACACAAGGCTATACTTAAGAGTGATGGAAATGAGATTTAATCACGGGTCTCTCTAGTTTCAGGGTTACCAGAGCTGCAGTATAGGTCCAAACACTGAACCAAGACCTGTCAAGCTGTTGGCTATTATACAAAGCATGAATCTGATAGGGGATCTGAGATGGCATATCAGAGGAAGTAACTCCTAACCCAGGCTTTTAACAACTCTTGTGTTAGAATGGTTTAAACATTTTTTTTGTCTGAGACAGAGTCTTACTCCGTCACCCAGGCTGGAGTGCAATAGCGTGATCTCGGCTCACCGCAACCTCCGCCCCCTGGGTTCAAACAATTCTACTGCCTAAGCCTCCCGATTAGCTAGGATTACAGGCACATGCCACCATGCCCAGCTAATTTTTTGTATTTTTAGTAGAGATAGGGTTTCACCATGTTAGCCAGGATGGTCTTGATCTCCTGACCTCGTGATACACCCGCCTCGGCCTCCCAAAGTGCGTGAGCCACCACACCTGGCCAGTTTAAACATTTTTAAAGAGTTAAACAAATGAAGAAGAATATATGAATGAGACCATATATAGCTTTCAAAGCCTAAAATATTTTCTATCTGGCCTTTCCAAAAAAAGTTTACCAATTCTATTCTAGAGAAAATTAGGATACCCAATCATAAAATTACCCTCACTTTGTGACAGGAGCCAATGCAGACCAAAGCCCCATATCACTGAATGCTCTCCACAATTACCTTACCCGAAACCAAAATTAAATCTAGTCTATCACCTTCTTACAGATACACATAATACGTGGTCTCCATTATAGCAAACAGCCAATAAACTTAACTTTGTTTGACTAAAAAAATGTGTGTTAAAAGCCAGTGTCAGCAAACTAGAGGCAAATTCTGTGATCTGCTTTTGCATGGCCTAAAAGCTAAGAAAGATTATTACTTTTTTTTTTTTTTAATTGAGACAGTCTCGCTCTGTTGCCCAGGCTGGAGTGCAATAGTACAATCACATCTCACTGCAGCCTCAACCTTCTGGGCTGAAGCAATCCTCTCATCTCAGCATCCTGGCTAGCAGGGACTACAGATGTGTGCCACCATGCCCAGCTAATGTTTATTTTTTGTAAGGATGGGCTCTTGTTATGCTGCTCAGGCTGCTATCAAACTCCTGAGCTCAAGCCACCCTTCCACCTCAGCGTTCCGAAGTGCTGGGATACAGTTGTGAGCCACGGCACCCGGAAAGCTTTACGTTTTAAAGAGTTGTTTCAAAACCAGTACAGAAAAATGCTTGACAGAGCCCCTATGTGGCCCACAAACCCTAAAATATTTAATATTTAGTTCTTTACAGAAAAGAATTTGCCACCTCCCGATCAAGAACTGTGAAGAGTCGAAGATTCTATTTTCCTTGCAAGCTGATTGATTAGTTTGCAAGTTTCATGAATGCTGACACAGAGACAACACACCTGGATCAACAATGAGGGGTTTTATTACTGAAAGCAGTCACCAGACTGTCAACACAGGTGAACTGGTCTCCTGAGCCCCAGTTCCAACAGGTAGGCATGGAGGGTCAGGTAACAGTATACAATGGGTTCCTTTTTTGGTTTTCGAGCCACTGTCTCACTCTGACCCAGGCTGGAGTGCAGTGCCACGATCTCAGCTCACTGAAGCACTGATCTCCCAGGCTCAAGCAATCGTCCCAGCTCAGCCCCATGGAAGTAGCTGAGACTACAGGTACACACTACCAGGCCTGTCTAGTTTTTGTTTTTTGTAGAGACGGGGTTTTGCCACGTTGCCCAGGCTGGTCTCAAACTCCTGGATTCATGCAATCAGCCTGCCTTGGCATACCAGTGTGCTGGGATTACAGGCATGAGCCTCTCTGCACTGACCCACAGTGGGTTATTTTTTAAGAGAATTACCCAGGGCCAAAGGTTTAGGAACAAACATTTAGCAAGATGCAATCAAATCAGTCCCCTTCACCTGGCGAAAAAGCAGTAGTCATGCTGTTGCCGGACTTTTCCCTAGTTCAGCTAAAGACGGGGTTCTTTTTCCCACAGCCATGAAAATTCAGGCTCGCAGACGATTTGAATGGCGAGTAAGACAGGGTTTAATTGGGTGAAAAGGAAGAAAAGGAGGAAACAGTGACTCTCACTAGGCCAGAGTCCCTGCTAGGGCCCTTCCTATTCAGCAGTTGGAATCCCAGGTTCCCCATAGAAGAGGTGGCGCCAGGCTCAGCGCTGCTGCAAACCTGGTGAACTTCCCGAGGCTCCACCTCAGTGGGCAGGCTGGTTGCAGCTTCTCCAGGGACCTCATCCCACCTGGTTGTCTCAGTGCTGCGGCTACCTGTGTGATGGGCTACAACTACTCAGAATCGGGAGAAAGGTAGCTCTGCAACTTGGCGTCCTCTGCGGGAACGTGCAGGAATGCTCAGGGCCTGTGCTGAACTAACTCTGCTTGCAGGTGCCCCTGGTGATACGTGTTTGCAAGTCATTGACACAAGTGAAGTTTCCACCAAGATTCAGCTGAGACCTTGCTGTTGCAGGCTAAGATCCTCAGCCCTCTGGTGTGGCCTTCACATCTGGCATCTTGTGTCTTCTCCTGATCAGGGCCCCCAGGCACACAATGAGGAGGTAAGTTCACAGTGAACTGAGCTCCAATATTTTGTTGAAGTTCTTCGCATTGAAATTTATTTGTTTTCCCAGGAATGAGGTGTCCTGGCATCCTTCCATCATCTGATCAGACTTGTATTGTTCCTTGACGGAACTGCTGGCTAGCTGCTAGCAGTTCCTTTTATGGTCTGTCTGCTTATCTAGTTGTTGATTAGAGGAAATGTCTACAAGAAGATACCAGGCAGAGGCCCTATGATTCTATCCGTTTGCTGGCCCTGGGGGCTGGGAAGTTCACAAGGTCTCTTCAGACCATTGAACCAACTTTGTCTTGACTCTCCATTAAAAATTATACACAGATACCCTCCTTAGTTTGTCTTTATGTTCGTATTTGTGTAATTCTATCTGCTTGGAATCAGGAGGCCTGTCCACCCCACATTTGGTGACCATTAACCGTTGGCCAATGGTCTCTTTTCTCTTTTTTTAGAGGAAACGTAATTAGCCTTTTAAGGTGGTTAATTTTATATTTGTCTGAAGTCAACTGTCTCATTTTGTTCTGTTTCTCTTTCTGTATTATTCCTTTCTTAGAAAATTCTGAAGATTAATGGATCAAAAAACAAAACAAAAAAACCAAAACATTCAATCACTGTGTGCTGACTCTAAGAGTACCTAGTTTAGATAAATAATCACGTAAAAGCAAACAAGTCATCACAGTGCTCATTTTGGCAGGACCTGCTCTAAAAAGGCCATCAAACGCTTTGTGTGTGTTTTGTGGGCCCTGACTTTACTGGATAGCCCTTGTTACCATACTTACACGGTAAAAATACAAGGCCTTAGTTATTTCCAAGATAAAATAAGAACTTTTAGTATGACTCGGAATGTTTAAATTTTAGTAACATATAAAAACAATGTCAATACAATATTTTGTTTGGAACAGGACCACAGTTAAACTTCTCATGATTTATCTTCCTAAATTTCTTACATTGGTTTTATCAGTTAAATAAATAACATTGCTACTATGGCATGTTTAAATTTACATATATAAATGTATATATGTGTATACATATATAAGTAAAACATTTTTTATTGTATTCATGAAATGCAAGAGTAATAATATCTTTTTATGGTAAATTTTATAAAATTCTTACAGTGCTACAAATAAGTATTCGCTGTGCTTATGTAAACACTTAAGCACAGTATTTACGTAAGCACAGTAAATTTCAGATCCGTAACTACTTTCACGACATTATACAAATGATTAATTAATAAATAATGTTTTGAAGCCTGAAAAAACAGATACGTTTATTTCCATATGTAAGGAATTTGGAAGTTGCCATTCTATCGTAACATTAAATAAAAAAAGGTAGACAGACTGAAAAATCAACTTGTCTTGGATCCATGAAAGAGGTGAAGACACAGGGCAAACACTGCCCTCAAGACTGGAGACAGAAACAGTCGAATACAGGGATTCACAGCTTACCTGAGCAGAGACTCATGAGTGGACATGGCCACAGGAACCAGTGTCGGGATAATATTCTAAACTGTAATCAACGAATTGCTGGAGCTTAGTGTGGACAAGTCTGAGAGTTAAAAATTCCAGGGGGAGCCAGTCCAGTGGGTGGAGGGACTCACAGTTTTGTGACTCATTGCCAGGAGCAAACTTGACTTGGTTCTCACAGTAAATATGCTAGGAACATCCCCACTTGTTTTCAGCAGAGGGAGGGATAATGAATCATTCTGAAATAGACTAGAGCACTATGTTCTTCTTAAGGCCTACCCTCAGCAAAAACTAGTTAAACAGAGTCCAACCTGCTGGGGTTTCTTTCAGAGCTCACGGACTTGGGGGAAGGAAAACACCAAGTCCAGCCTGTTTTTTTTTTGAGACAGAGTTTCGCTCTTGTTACCCAGGCTGGAGAGCAATGGCACGATCTCGGCTCACCTCAACCTCCGCCTCCTGGGTTCAGGCAATTCTCCTGCCTCAGCCTCCTGAGTAGCTGGGATTACAGGCACGCGCCACCGTGCCCAACTAATTTTCTGTATTTTTAGTAGAGACAGGGTTTCACCATGTTGACCAGGATGGTCTCGATCTCTTGACCTCGTGATCCACCCGACTCGGCCTCCCAAAGTGCTGGGATTACAGGGGTGAGCCACCGCGCCGGGCCAAGTCCAGCCATTTTATCTACCCTGTCCCAATTAAGGGTGGAAACAGGAGGGAAGTAAGTACACAGTCCAGAGGCATAGACTTGCTAAACAACCGTGAGCTAATCATACAACCGCAGAGCACTTCTCTGCAGCTTATCGCCACCTTACTAAAGACGTATTTACAGCGGCGACTTTTGCCTGGTATATCACATCAAGCTATTGAGAAAAAAATACATACTGAAAAAAACAAAAACACAAACAGAATCTGAAGAGACAGAGCAAGCATCAGAACCAGATATGGCAGAGATGTGGAATTATCAGACCAGGAATTTAAAGCAATGATTAATATGCTAAAGGTCTCTGTGGGTAGACACTATGCAAGAACAGATGGGCAATGTTAGCAGAGGAATGAAATTCTAAAAAAACAACAACAACTAGAGATCAAAAAACACTATAAGAAAAATGATGAATGCCTTTTGTGGGCTTATTAGTAGAATGAAAATGGCTGAGGAAAGAATCTCTGAGCTAAAGGATCCCTCAACAGAAAACTCCAAACCGAACAACAAAGAGTACAAAGATTGAAAAACAGAACAAAATATCAAGGACTGTGGGACAAATACAAAAAGTGTAATGTACATATAATGGGAATATCAGAAGGAGAAGAAAGAAAAAGACAGAAGAAATATTTGAAGCAATAAAGATTCGTAAATTCTTCAAATTGGCCAAGAGTGGTGGTTCACACCTGTAATTCTAGCACTCTGGGAGGGCACGGTGGGTGGATCACCTGAGGTCAGGAGTTCAAGACCAGTCCTGGGCAATATGGTGAAACCCTGTCTCTACCAAAAATACAGAAAATTAGCCGGGTGTGGTAGCGAGCGCCCATAATCCCAGCTACTCGGGAGGCTACGCAGGAGAATCGCTTGAACCCAGGAGGTGGAGGTTGCAGTGAGCCACGATTGCGCCACTGCACTCCAGCCTGGGCAACAAGAGTGAAACTCCATCTCACACACACACACACACACACACACACAAATTCTTCAAATTAACCTCAGATACCAAATCATATATACAGGAGGCTTAAAGAACACCAGGAAGAATCAGTGCCCAGTAAGCTACACCTAGGCACATAATTTTCGAACTGCAGAAAGTTAATTAAAAAACTCCTGGGGACCAGATAAAAAACTTACAAAGGAAAAAATATTTTATTTGACTTCTCAGAAATCATGCAAGCTGAAGAGAATGGAGTAAAATATTTAAAGTGCTTAGACAAAATTCCCCAACCAACCTAGAATTCTGTACCTACTAAAATTATCCTTCAAAAATGAAGGAGAAATAATCACTGTCTCAAAGTAAAATTGAAAAAATGTAATACCAACAGATTTGCCTTGCAAAAATGTTAAAAGACGTTTCTTAGAGATAAGTATTATAGATCAGAAACTCAGCTCTTCATAAACAAGGGATGAAAGAATGTATTTGATTATGTATGTTTAGGTGTATATCTTATGCATATATGTGTACATATTCTTATGTAAGGTTTTGTCAAGTAAAATGAATGACAGCAATGACACAAGGCACAGGAGGGAGGCATTAAGATTATTTTGTTGCTACAAGGTACTCATACTATCTGTGCATATCCTGTTATTTGAAAGTAGACTTGGATTATTTGTAAATGTATATTGCAAACTCTAGAGCAACAACTAAACAAACAAAACAAACAAGCAAAAAAGAAGTGGCCAGGTATGGTGGCTCATGCCTGTAATCCCAGCACTTTGACGGGCCAAGGTGGGCAGATCATGAGGTCAAGAGATTGAGACCATCCTGGCCAGCATGGTGAAACCCTGTCTCTACTAAATATACAAAAATTAGCTGGGTGTGGTGGCACCTGCCTGTGATCCCAGCTACTTGGGAGGCTTAGGCAGGAGAATCACTTGAACCTGGGAGGTGGAGGTTGCAGTGACCGGGGATAGTGCCACTGCACTCCAGCCTGGCGACAGAGTGAGAATCCAGCTACATAATATGCTAAGAAAGGAAAGAAAATACAATCATTGGCCAGGCATGGTGACTCATGCCTGTAATCCCAGCATTTTGGGAGGTAGAGGCAGGCGGATCATTTGAGGTTAGGAGTTCAAGAGCAGCCTGGCCTCTGTCTCTACTAAAAACACAAAACAATTAGGTGGGCATGGTGGCACACACTTGCAATCCAGCTACTCAGGAAGCTGAGGCAGGAGAATTGCTGGAACCTGGGAGATGGAAGCTGCGTGAGCCGAGATCACAGCACCGCACTCCAGCCTGGGCGACAGAGTGAAACTCCACCTTAAAGAAAGAAAATACAGTCATACAAAATGCTCAGTTAAAACTACGAACAGCTGGGCACAGTGGCTCAGGCCTGTAATCCCAGGCTTAGGCAGAAGGATTGCTTGAGCCTAGGAATTTGGTACAAGCGGGTCCCTGTGTCTATGAAAAACTTAAAAATTAGCTTGGCGTGGTGGTGTACACCTGTGGTCTCAGCTACTCTGGAGGCTGCAGTGAGAGGATCACTTGAGCCCAGGATTTTGAAGCCTCAGTGAGCTATAATCACACCACTAGGTTCCAGCCTGGATAACAGAGCAAGACCCTTTCTCTCTCTCTCTCTCTCTCTCTCTCTCTCTCACACACACACACACACACACACACACAGCAGAAAAATACAGTAGATATTAATCCAGCTTTATCAATAATCACTTAGAACATCAATGGTCTAATTCCACCAATTAAGAGATTGTCAGAATGGTTCAAAATGTGACACCCAACTCTATGTTGTCCATAAGAAACCCCCTTTAAACGTAAATACACATACAGACAAAAAGTAAATGGAGAAAAATACATCATGCTAACACTAATGAAAAAAAGGAGGAGTAGCTATATTAATCTCAGACCGAGTAGACTTCAAAGCAAGGAGAGTTATCAGGGATAAAGAAGAGAATTACATAACGATAAAGAGGTCAATTTTCCAAGAAGACAGAACCATCCTTAATGTGTACATACTTAGCAACAGAGTCAAATTACATAAGGCAAAAACGGAAGGAACTACAAGGAAAAATAGGTAAATCCACTATTATAGTTTAAGACTTCAACACCCCTGTATCAGATATGAACAGAACCAGAAGGCAGAAAAGCAATAAGGGCATAATTGAACTCAACACCACCATCAGTCATCTGGATATGGTTGACGTCTACAGACTACTTTATTTAACAACAGCAGAATAAACATTCTTCTTAAACACACATGGAGCACTTGCCATGACAGACCACATTTTGGGCCATAAAATACATTTTAACAATTTTAAAATAATAGAAATCATGCAATGTGTACTCTCAATATACTTCTAAATAACACATGGGTCAAAGAAGAAATCCCAAGATAAATTTTAAAATATTTTGAGCTACAAGAAAATGAAAATATAACTTACCAAAATGTATGGGAGGTAGTGTTTAGAGGGAAATTTGTAGCATTGATTGCATATATTAGGAAAAAAAGGAAGACCTAAAAATCAATAATCTAAACTTCTATCTTAGGAAACTAGAAAAAAAGAAGGGCAAATTAAATCTAAAGTAAGTAAAAGAAAATAAATAATAAAAGTTAAAGAATAAGGTGGTAAAACTGAAAGTAAGAAAAACAATAATCACACCAAAAGCTGGTTCTTTGAAAAGATCAATGAATCAATGAACCTCTTAGCCAGGCTAAGAAGAGAGGACACAAATTACTAAAATCAGAAAAAAGAGGGAACATTTCTACAGATCCCACAAACACAAAAAGGGTAATAACAAACGCTGTAAACAACTATATCCCACTAATTTCATAACCTAGATAAATGGAACCCCTTGAAAGACACAATCTGCCAAAACTCACACAAGAAATAGACAATCTGAGTAAGTCTACATAGATTAAAGACATCAAATAAATAATTAACCTTCCTAAAGTACCCAACCCATAATGATTCCCAGGAGTAAACTATGGCTATGTCCATGTTGTTGTTTGCTTATTCGCTGGATGGACTGAGGCTTTTCCTTGCTAGGGAGCTGTAACTCCACACACTGATCTTCCTCAAACTGTTTTTTCAAAACAGGTCAAGGAATTTGGTTATACTAATCACAAAGTTGTCTCTTTTTTCTTCCGATATGGTAAAAGAAAACAATCCCATAGGTTGGCCATAGTATATGAATTTTCCTTTTCTGTCTCTAAACGCATGCCAAGGACACCACTGAGCCTTCTGTGTGCCATTAAAAAAACTGGGTAGTCTGAAAGTGTTCTTAGTTCAGACCATTTGGGGTTTCTGTCAGAGTAACTTTCCCATTTACATCTTGGAACAGAGTCTTTTGTATATAGCTGGTACCAAATTTCCAGGCTGGTATCAAATTCCTGGGCTCAAGCAATCCTTCTGCCTCAGCCTGGGATTACAGGCCTGAGCCACTGCGCCCAGCTGTTCGTGGTTTTGTTTTTTTTTAGATGGAGTTTCGCTGTTGTTACCCAGACTGGAGTACAATGGCACGATCTCGGCTCAGCGCAACCTCCGCCTTCTGGGTTCAAGCAATTCTCCTGCCTCATCCTCCTGAGTAGCTGGGACTACAGGTGCACACCACCGTGCCCAGCTAAGTTTTGTATTTTTAGTAGAGACGGGGTTTCACCTTTTTGACCAGGATGGTCTCGATCTCTTGACCTCGTGATCCATCCGCCTCGGCCTCCCAAAATGCTTGGATTATAGGCGTGAGCCACCGCGTCCGGTTTGTTCGTGGTTTTAACTGAGCATTTTATACGATTGTATTTTCTTTTTCTTCCTTTAACGTGGAGTTTCACTCTGTCGCCCAGGCTGGAGTGCAGTGCTGTGATCTTGGCTCACGGAGCTTCCATCTCCCAGGTGCCAGCGATTCTCCTGCCTCAGCTTCCTGAGCAGCTGGATTGCAGGTGTGCGCCACCATGCCCACCTAATTGTTTTGTGTTTTTAGTAGAGAGGCCAGGGGATTGGCAGGGTGAAGGGACTGGGATAAAAAAAGTCATCATCCAAAGAATGGAGCAGGAGGATCCAACAGTGAGGATATTTCATTGACCTGCTGGACGCGTTTACCTTATCTTTGTATTAAGCCCATTTTCTTCATTAACTAGTTGATGCTTTGCGAAGCCCTATCACTCGACCAGAGTCAAATAACTAACAAACAGCAGTGCCCAGAATTTTTTTTTTTTTTTTTTTTTTTTGCTGGACTCGGTCTTTTCCATTCAAAACCAATAAAAACCCCAAACTCGTTATTTTTCACATCAAAAGCAAACAATAAACCCGAACCCAAACCCCAAGGGCCCCACCCTTTCAAAAGGGCTTCTCCGGATCACTAAGCCCTAGAGGTCATTGGCTAGGCCCGGGTCCGATCTAGATAGGAGGGTAATTCCAGTGTTCTGCAAATCCTTGCCAAATGCCAACCCGGCCAAAGCAGGGACGCGGGAGCCTCTGGTCGCACCCGAGGCCGGTGGTTAAATACTCAGTGCACGTGCTGAGGATGAAAGTGCGGACCTGCCACGCAGGTACGCGCGCACCTGTCGCCGCCGGGTGCGCGCCGCGGGGAACTGGGTACGTGCTGCGCGCGCACGCGCCCGACCGTGTTCCCCGTACGTGCGCCGTACGTGGGCGCGGTGCTTCGGCGCTCAGGGTTTCGGCGAGCGAGTGGGCTCCGTGCCGAGGTGAAGTCTGGGAGGGGCCCTTTTCCAGGCGGTCGCGGCTCCCCCTGGCGGCGGACTTGCGGCGCTGGAAGAGCGCAGTCAGGCGTTCTCCGCGGGCAGCCGGCGGCGGGGCCTTGCCTCAGAGCGCGGGGTCCTCGGCGGCCTGGGCGGCTGCTGCCCCTGCTGCTGTCGTAGGCGAGGACGGCTGTTAGTGCTGCTGCTGTTGGTTCGTCGCGGCTGCTAAGGAGGAGGAGGAAGAGGGCGAGGCGACAGGGAAAGAAGGAGGCAGGCGCGGCGGCAGCGGCGGCGCCCCGGGCCGGCGGCGGCGAGGGGGCGGAAGATGGCGGACGTGCTTAGCGTCCTGCGACAGTACAACATCCAGAAGAAGGAGATTGTGGTGAAGGGAGACGAAGTGATCTTCGGGGAGTTCTCCTGGCCCAAGAATGTGAAGACCAACTATGTCGTTTGGGGGTAAGTCCGGCGTGGCTGCGGCCCGCGGGTGACGGGGCGGACTTGGGCGCCCCCAGGCGACCTCTTTGATAACCCCTCCCCCCGTTTCCCCCGGGGATGGGATGAACGGGTGCTCGGGGAGAGAAAGTTTCTCTCGAGAGCAGAAGTTGTACTTCTAGGGCGAGGAGAGAAGGGGAGGAGCTCTGGAGCCGTCCATCCCTTTAAATGTTTGCGAAGCCCCGAGGAAAGGTACCGTGGGAGTTTCGGACTTTTCACAGTTAATTCTTAGCGGTAGGTGTCGTGGGCCCGCGCAGTGTGGGGCTGGCGCACAGGGATACCTGAGCATAGGTGCACCAGGGGGCAGACCGTCTGCTGCCGTGGGCGGCACTTGTTTTGTTTCCTTTCCCCCTCTCTTCGGGGCTGCCATGTAACTATCTCCTCTGGTCCTGGGAACGCATGGCTTATTTCCTCTCCTTTCGTTGCTAACTGTGGGGAGCCACGGCTGCTTGTTCTTGTAGAGGAGAAAAAAACAATCCACTCTGAAGTTAGGATCGGAAAGAAACTGGGTGAATTTGGGCGAGTCATTAAAATCTGTGTGAGAGAGGTCTTCAGGAATTTCTCAGAGAGTTACTGGGGAAATGGAGTTCGCTTTACAGATCTAAGAAATTGATAGTGTGTGTGATTTTGGGAAGTGTGTTTTTAAAGGGAAGTGCTTTGCAATGTCGGTCCATGTGAAGTTTTGTCAATTTTAGTCATTCAGAAAAACTTACAGAGATAGGTCTAACAGTCGTTAGGGGCCTTTTTAATGATGTCACATCACTGTCATTGGTGCTTCACTTAGGTAATTAGAACCTTGAGCTGGAACTTAACCTCCTCATTTTGTTTGAATGGAAGCTTTATGAAGAGTCGATGAAAAACTACAGAAATTTAGTTTGTTGGTTGGTATTTATTTATTTTTGAGAGGGAATCTTGCTCTGTCGCCCGGGCTGGAGTGCAGTGGTAGAATCTTGGCTCACTGCAACCTGCGCCTCCTAAATTCAAGTGATTCTCCTGCCTCAGCCTCCGGATTAGCTGAGATTACAGGCGCCTGCCACCATGCCCGGCTAATTTTTGTGTTTGAGACATGGTTTCACCATGTTGGTTAGGCTGGTCTCGAACTCCTGACCTCAAATGATCTGCCCGCCTCGGCTTCCCAAAGTGCTGGGATTACAGGCTTGAGCCACCGCGCCCGGCCTGTTGGTTGGTTTTTAATTTTTTTGGTCTTACAATTTAATTAGCTTTATAAAATGTTGATCAAATGACATTCAGAGCTTCTGTGTTTTACCCTTCCAAAGAATTTGCATAGATAGAATTACATGTGGTTGGATTTTTAATGAAAATTTTTTTTCTTTAAACAATGGCTAAGGAGTACCTAGAATGTGAAGTGGTTCAATCTGAGGATTAAAAAAATTTCTAAGTTGTGGTTTCTACCTCAGAGGAGGTTAACTTAATCCGAATACAGGAGTTTAAACAGGTAAGTTGGTGTGAAAGGCTTTCTATAATAGCTTATGAAGACAGCAGTCACTTCTAGTTAGAAGTATTTAGGGAAAGTTCTATAGAGTTGTCTTTGGCAAGTTCACATCCAACAAAGTTTTCTTGAATGAGTGACAAATAAGCTTTAAAGGGTAGATAGGAGTTCTCTGGGTGAAAATGATGGGTTAAGTCTTCCAAGATGAGTGAACTGTATGGTTAAAGGCATGAGAACTAGAAAGTAAATGTATTGACAGCAATTCAGTGAAGCCAGTGAAAAAGGAATGCTTAGCACAGTAGATTTTAAACTTTTTCAACAGTGAATCACATCAAGAAATTATTTTTATTTTCTGTATGTGCACATGCACATGTAAATATATACACATGTAAAATCATTCTTCTTATTGCACGCAGTGCATTTTATTTTTCTCTTCTATTCTGAAAATAGAAAAAATACAGTTGTTAACTGGGTTTCATAGTACAATAATTGATAGTGGTGTGTGGTTCGAAATACACCTGTTTAGAGGAAAAGCGGGACTAAAGCTAGCTAGAAAAGTAGGTTTAGGGCCGATTACTGTGGGCCGTACGCAGATGGATTCAAAGCTATATAGATGGGACAAGTGTAGTTAGGAAGGGTGCGGTTGGAATGAGGTAACAGTAGGACCTGCATTAGAGAGCTTGCACCATTAGTATATCACGTTGTTTTAACACAGGTAGAGTAGGATTTTGGTTTTGCATGATTGGTCTAATTTGAGGGATGTCATGACAGTCATATCTCTGAAATCCAGTGCTGTGCTCACTGTAAGAATGTGAAGGGTGTTGTCCAACAGTGTTTTATTTAGCAGGAGCCGTAGGGTAAATTTCTTTCATATTCAGCACTGGTGGTAACTGTGCTTCTTCTGAGCAGTTTGATTGTTTTCTCTTATGGATCCTCTTCAATAAGGATATGGTTGAATTTCTTTATTGATAAAGCCCAGAGCCTAATTTGGGCCCAATTCTATAAAGTGTATAGTACCTTATATGAATTTTTTGTATTTTTACTACTTCTTGCTTTTTCTTATTGCCTTCTTCTTTTGCGATCTTTTGCGATCACGACAGTCTATTCATTATTAGGTTTTATACTTTATTTTTGTTAGCTATGTTAAACCCATTGTTACATAGCAAAGTTGTATAGGTAAATGAATCTAGCTCAAAGAGTTGAATTTGAGTTGTGAGTAAAAAATCTTGCTTTGATTATTTCAGGACTGGAAAGGAAGGCCAACCCAGAGAGTACTACACGTTGGATTCCATTTTATTTCTACTTAATAATGTTCACCTTTCTCATCCAGTTTATGTCCGACGTGCAGCTGTAAGTAGAATTCATTTTGCTTATCCATTTATCAGTTTTATTATTTAAGAGATGGGTTCTGGCCCTTTTGTCCAGGCTAGAGTGCAGTAGTGTGATCATAGCTCATTGCAGCCTTGAACCCTTGGACTCAAGTGATCTTCCCACCTCAGCCTTCAAGTAGCCAGGACTGTAGGCATGGCCACTGTATCTGGCTAATGGTTTTTTTTTTTAAATAAAGATAGGGGTTCTTGCTGTGTTGCCTAGGTTGGTCTTGAACTCTTAGCCTCAGTGGATATTCCTGCCCAGCCTCCCAAAGTGCTGGGATTACTGTCAAGAATCACTGTGCCTGGCCAATAATTCATTTTAGAACCTTTTTTTTTTTTTGAGATAGGGTCTGGCTCTATTGCCCAGGCTGGAGTGCAGTGGTATGATCTTGGCTTACTGCACCCACCCCCTCTCCAGCTTGAGCCAGCCTACTGCCTCAGTCGCCTCAGAAGCTGAGACTACAGGCATGCCCCACCATGCCAGGCTAATTTTTATATGAAAACTTTATTTATTTTATTTTTTGGGTCATGATAGTAGGTATCATTTGATATGGATAGCTTCCTTTATGGGTTTCAAATCAAAAGAACGAAAGGTTTGCATGAATGTCTCCAGGAGAGTCAAAATTAGGCAACTGTGTGACTTACACAGATTTTTGAAAAATCTGTGATATATTTATGTAATGTGTGGGTAATGTTTATAACAGAGGAAGTTTTAAAGAGATTCATAGAGTCAGGCTTGTTAGTGCACATTGGTAATCCCATAGCTACCTGGGAGGCTATGGCAGGAGGGTTGCTTGAGCCTAGGAGATCAAGACCAGCATGGGCAACATAGTGAGATGCCATCTCAAGAAAAAGAAGACCCAGAAACACTGAAGGCATTTATAGAGATGTTTAAACAAACTTTTAAGCCTGTGGAAGGACCTTGTTACTTTAGAGCTCTAGTTTAATCTCAAGAAAAAATTTTTTTGGTTGTAAGGAACAAGATTAGTAGACATTAAAAAAAATATGTTAATAAATCAGTTTTGTGCAACTGTTTTCATACTCCGGAGAAGTTCATTTGTTTTTAGTTTTGCTTGCTTTCTCAGTATTTGAAAATTTATTACTCAGAGCAGATCTCTGGAAGCAACTTGAAAGCAACTGATTTCATAGACTGTGATGATGAGATTTTTCATCTGTAGGGAAGTATGTTATAATCAATAAAATTATAGCAGTTTATTATAATTGATAAGTAAGATTTAGAGTTATTTGGATAGGATAGCTGTATGATGTGGAAAATTGCTATAAACGTCCAAATATAATGGCCTAAAATGATTATTTATTTATTTATTATTTTATTATTATTTTTTTTTTGAGACGGAGTTTCGCTCGTTACCCAGGCTGGAGTGCAATGGCGCGATCTTGGCTCACCGCAGCCTCCGCCTCCTGGGTTCAGGCAATTCTCCTGCCTCAGCCTCCTGAGTAGCTGGGATTACAGGCACGCGCAACCATGCCCAGCTAATTTTTGTATTTTTAGTAGAGACGGGGTTTCACCATGTTGACCAGGATGGTCTCAATCTCTTGACCTCGTGATCCACCCGCCTTGGCCTCCCAAAGTGCTGGGATTACAGGCTTGAGCCACCGCACCTGGCTGATAATTTAATTTTTTAAATGAGCTTTTCCCTCAGATTATTTTCGGTAGAGTTGAGCATAACATTTTTTTGAAGATATAATTGAAATAATTAAATGTCTGCTTTTAATATTTGTTGCTTTTCCTTACTCACAAGTACATACTTAAAATTAACCATGGAATGTATTTATAAATAACTGCTTTTCCCCGTATCTTTATAGTTCTTAAAACAATTTTCTTAAACTTTTCTTATAGTTCTTAAAATAATTTTCTTAAACATCATTGTGTCTGTCATTACTGGAGCTACTTTTTGAGTTACCTTACACAGTTGCTGGATCACATTAAGCTGTGTGAAACTTAACTTCTATAACCCTAGCCTCCCTCCCAACTAGAAGTAGTTAAGGTTTCTGGCTTAGGTGAGGTATCGTTCAAATAATACCTTGTTATTTAAAGCAACTGAAAGCTGGGTGTGGTGGTGCATGCCTGTAGTCCCAGCACTTTGGGAGGCTGAGGTGGGAGGATCCCTTGAGCTCAGGAGTTCAAGACCAACCTGGGAAACATAGGGAAACCTCATCAAAATTAAAAATTAAAAAAAAAGCCAGGCATGGTAATGTGCACCTATACTCCCAGCTAGCTACTTGAGGGGCTGAAGTGGAAGGATCACTTGGGTCCAGGAGGTTGAGGCTGCAGTGGGCCATGATCGCACCGGTGCATCTAGTGTGAGTGATAGAGCAGGACTCTGTCTCAAGGAAAAAAAAAATATATGTGTGTGTGTGTGTGTGTGTGTGTGTGTGTGTGTGTGTAGCAGTTGAGAAAGTATCCCGTCACTTAGTGGCCTTTGTATTAAGCCATAAGGCTTCTGCTTTCCTGAGCAAGAAATACATATTTATGTTACATATTTAAAAACATAAAATTTGAGTGAGTGAGACTACTTGGGAAATAATGGGAAAAAATAGCATCAGCTCCCTCTTTAAAGGCTATTTTAATTCAGATCTTTAAAAACTAAGGCAGTTCTTACAGAGTTTTGTTGGATATATTCATTTTAGTGTAACAAAGTTTCAGATAGTTGGCTTAGATTTGTAGATTCTGTTACTGGGAAATGATTGTACACATAACTGATGGCTATAATTGTTACTGGGGACCTTGGGACCCTTGGTTGCATAAGATTTAACTCTTATTTTTCTTAAATATTTGTCAAATTGAAAGAGTAGGATTCTAAAATTCCAAAGTTCTATGAATTTGAGGTTGTTGTCTCCTAATTACTTTGTGTTATTTGCTCTTTCCTGTGAGCAGACCACTCTTAAAACACATATTCCTGACCCTTAGCTCCTATTTTAGTGTGAGTAGATGTAATCTTTCTCAGTGGACTGTAATGTATATATAACTCAATAGTGACGAAATCATGATGTAAGTTATTAGAAACAGTAACTTAAAATTAACTCAAATCTTTTAACTGTTTATGTTATTCCATGTAGACTGGTTTATTTTTATTTTTCATTTTTTGAGACAGAACCTTGCTCTGTCACCCAGGCTGGAGTGCAGTGGCAGGATCTTGGCTCACCACAGCCTTGCTCTCCTGGGCTCAAGCTGTCTTCTTATTTCAGCTTCATGAATAGCTGGAGCTATAGCTGGGTCTGCAGACACTTGCCACTGTGCCTGGCTAACTTTTATATTTTTGTTGAGGTGGAGTTTCTTCATGTTGCCCACAGGTCTTGAACTCCTGGGCTCCAGCAGTCTATCCACGATGGCCTCCCAAAGTGTTAGAATTACAGGCGTGAGCCACCATGTCTGGTCTAGGCTGGCTAATACGAGTGCAAAAGAACTCTGCACTCAAACTTTTAAACTCATAAGGAGACTAAAATTTAGCTTCACCTTTTTAAAATAAAAGATTAATTTTTAAGTGATTAAATACAGTTTATGTAAATCATTGAGGAGTCAGTGCAGAATGTTTGGTGCAATGAAATATAATAAGTATTCGATATAAGGTCATTGGCCAAAGATAGTAGCTACTAATTTTTCTTGCACTGTTTGTTTGTGTTTGAAACAGAGTCTTGCCTCAGCCTCCCCAGTAGCTGGAATTAGAGGCACCTATCACCATGCCCGGCTAATTTTTGTATTTTTGGTAGAGATGGGGTTTCACCATGTTGGCCAGGCTGGTCTTGAATTCCTGACCTCAAGTGATCCTCCTGCCTCGGCCTCCACACAGTACTGGGATTACAGGTGTGGGCCATTGTGCCAGGCCATTGCTTCATTCCTAATAATTATCTTTTGTATAGCTTCCTGGAATTTCAAAAAGAAACGTATTTATTTATTCATTTATCTATTTATTTAGAGATGGAATCTTTCTCTACTGCCCAGGCCGGAGTGTAATGGCACAATCTTGGCTCACTAACACCTCTGCCTCCTGGGTTCCAGCAATTCTCCTGCCTCAGACTCCCAAGTAGCTGGGATTACAGGCGTGTGCCACCACACCCAGTTAATTTTTGTATTTTTAGTAGAGACATGGTTTCACCATGTTAGGCGGGATAGTCTCGAACTCCTGACCTCAGGTTATCTACCCGCATCACCCTCCCAAAGTGCTAGGATTACAGGCATAAGCCTCCATGCTCAGCCAAGAAAATTAATAAAAGTAACATGTTTGATAAATTTTCAGGATTTTTATTAGGTTCTTATAGCCTAGTCATTTTTTACAAATGTGATTTAAAATATATTTTATCAAGATAATGTTGGAATAAAATTCAGACATTACATGTTTATATTTATCAAGTTGTGTATCATTGTTACTCATTTGATACCTTGTTTACAATTTTGGCTTTAGACTGAAAATATTCCTGTGGTTAGAAGACCTGACCGAAAAGATCTCCTTGGATATCTCAATGGTGAAGCGTGTGAGTACTTTTTAAATTGTTCCCACCCTTAAACAGGTATTCCCCTGTGAAATAATGATGAGTGGAAGAGAATTTATATTTCCACTGAAAACATTAACCTACCTTCATTTCTGTGTGTGTGCTTATCTTTTTCTTATACGGAGAATACACTGTCTTTGGTTTTAAGGCCAGTCACCCCTTCCTTGTGTGTGAATTCCATCTCCTTTCACAGTCTCAAAGACTTTGTCTTTGTAAATTGTTGTTTCTCTCTTACATGATCAGTTTTCTACGTTTTTCTGGTTCATTCCCTTTTAGAATACCTAAGAAAGATCTCTCATGTTTAAAAAAACGGTTTTGACACCACATTCTTACTGTCTACTGCTTCATTTATCTTCTCCCTGGTATTGTAACTTTCTTTGCAAGAGTTTATGTGGTATCATTGCGTTGTCTTTACCTCTGTTTCTTTCTTGAAGCCACTCTAGTCTGGCTTTCATCCTCAGCATCCCACTAGAATCAGTAAGGTCAACACTGATTTAAGGATTGCTACATTGTTTGGTCTCTTGTACTGTACTTGACCTCTCAACAGCATTTGATACTATTGACCACTTTTTGGAAAGCCTTTCTTCATTCGGCAGACTCTTGGTCCTCTTTGTACTCCTTGTTCACCTTTCAGTTTATATGGTTACTTCCGTACCTGACCTACTTCTTGAAGTTTCCAAGACATGATCTTTTTTTTAATTGTCTCTTTTAACCCTTATTCTGTGAGTGATCGCTTTCAGTTTTATGCCTTAGATATATATATATGCTGATAAAATTCCAAATTTTTTTAAGCATTGACTTGTTCCAGGGCACCAGATTTATAAATTTACTGTCAACATGTTTCCCTGGATGTTGAATAGGCATCTGAAATTTAACATACTGAAAATGGAATGCCCAATTCCCTCTTTCCCTTCTGCCCTCACACAGAAAAAAACCAAGTCTGTTCTTTCCTCAGTGTGCCCACTTTAGTAAGGAGCAGTAGTACCCTATTCCTGCAGTTGCTTATGCCAAAACTCAGGCGAAATCTTTGTCATATCTCACATCTATTGATAAGTTCTTTTTTTCTGTCTTTAAAATTATGACAACTTCTTAATATCCTACCCATCCTATTTCATCCTTTCTTTTTAGATTATTGCATAGCTTCCTCACAGTCCCCACTCTTTATTTCCTATAGTGTAGGCGTAGTAGAGTGTCTTGTTGAAAAAGTACATAAATTTGATTGTGTCACTCACCTGTGGCTTCCCATCACACTTAGAATAAAACTCATACTTGTTACCCCGGCCATAGCTTGCCTCTGAGTCAATCTCTGTGATTTCTTTTTCTACCACTCTTTCTTCGCTTATAGCAGTCAGTGTTTTTGGTCTTTTAGCTATGCTAATCTTAGCGCCTTTGCACTTTCTCTTTTCTCTGTCTTGAGTTATCTTTCTCTACATTATCACATGGCTCACTTCCTTACTATTTCATTTAGATCTGTGCTCAAGTGTTCTTCCAAATGTTGTTCCATCAAAGACTTCTCTGACCGGTCTATCTAAAATATAGTATTCCTTCTCTCCTTCTGTGGTCTTTATATAGTGCCATCCTGATTTATTTTTCATCATATCCCGTACATTGACCAAAAATTATGATTCTGTTTATGTGTCGAATTAGTACCTAAACAGATAGTACATAGACAGACAGTGTCTGTCTTCTTTGTCAGAAAGTAAACCTACGGGGACAGTCGTTTGTCTTGCCCAGCATTCAGAATAGTGGTACATGGTAGGTTCTTAAATGAATAATTATTAATTTACTCCGAGTACAATACATCACATAGATACATTGATATAATAGAACTATTGGGTGTTACTTTGCTGAGTGTGGAATGTAGTACCTTTAAGTCATTCACAGCTGTCTTGTCATGCATGGCTTTAAGCAGTAAGAGCGATTTCAAAGAGAATCCCGTATATAATGGAAAGATCATCATTAGGAATACTGTCTTCCTATGCTATCCTCATTCAGTAAGTAGTTATTAAATGCTTATTTTTAAAGGCATTATGCTGGGTGTTGTGTAAAATGTAAAATCCTTAAGCATGTAAACATGTTTACTGTCATGGAAGGGAGACTGGATAACAAAAGTTTCGAACCCAGGAGGATTGAAGGAGGAGTCTCAGTTCTGTGAAGAGGATGGCATTGCGGAGGATAGAAGAAACTTTTTTTTTTCTTTTAGAGATGGGGTCCCACTGCATTGTTCAGGCTCGTCTTGAACTCTTGGCTCAAGCAGTCCTTCTCCCTTGGCCTCCCAAAGTGTTGAAATTGTAGGCATGAGCCACTGTGCCCAGTCTTTTCTTTTTAAATCAAAGCAAATTTGATTCTTTGGAGCAGTATTTCTCTAATTTTTTAAATGATGAGAATCATGGTTTGAAAATAGTGTGTTTTTCTAAAGTTTTTTTTTTTTTTTGGCTTCAGAAGATATGTAAAGTCTGAGATTCTCTATTCTTTTTTTTTTTTTTTTTTTTTTTGAGGTGGAGTTTTGCTCTTGTTACCCAGGCTGGAGTGCAATGACCCAATCTTGGCTCACCGCAACCTCCACCTCCTGGGTTCAGGCAATTCTCCTGCCTCAGCCTCCTGAGTAGCTGGGATTACAGGCACGCGCCACCACGCCCAGCTAATATTTTGTATTTTTAGTAGAGACGGGGTTTCACCATGTTGACCAGGATGGTCTCGATCTGTTGACCTCGTGATCCACCTGCCTCGGCCTCCCAAAGTGCTGGGATTACAGGCTTGAGCCATCATGCCCGGCTGAGATTCTCTATTCTTATGCATTACAGGCAAGCCTGATAAATAGGCTAGTTTTGGGGAAGTGCTTTAGAACAAGTGACTTTTTTTTTTTATTTTTAAAGAATCTGAAGTAGAGTTGCTCTTTATCCATCTATGTCATTTCCTGTGGTTTCTGTAGGACAAATTTAATCATTAAGCATATTGCTTTGCCACTTTTTAAAAACTTACATAGTTTAATGAAAAGGTTGAGCAAATATTAAGACCGTATTCTTAAGGAGACATAACTGCTTAAAAAAGTTCTTAATTCGTACATTTAACATTGTCTCAATAAGAATCTGCATTTTTTCTTGAGGTAAGAGTAGAACTAAACAGGATGATTCTAAAGTTTATTGGCAAAAGTAAGGGTCCTAAAAATATGTAGAAGATCAATGAAAAAAGACTAGTCATTCTAGAGAACTTATAATAAAACCCCAATATTTAAAAAAAGCTAGATGAATAGATACACTAATAAAACAACTTTATCTGTTAGGTTAGAAATCTATATGTGAATTTAAACGTGTGAGTAAAGAGACATGTCAAGTCAGTGGGAGGAAGGTGGATTTAGTTACCAGCTGATAAAAGTAATGAAGTTCTGTATTACAAAAAACAAAAGATATGTCAAACTGAGAAGAGGCATTAATATTTCAACTCATCACAGATAAAGGACTAAGCTCACTTATATATGAAGGGTCCTGGAAATTATGCATGAAAGACCAAATGGATTATGTCATAAAATTGACAGAAAAGGTGATAAAATCATGAAAAATGCTTAATTTCATTTATCATAAGAGAATTGCAAATTTAAACTATACAGAGATAGGTTTTTGTTTTTTGTTTTTTTTACCTGATGGACAAAAATTTGTAAGTTTGATAATGTCCTCTGGTGAAACAATGAGAAAACAGATATTCCACTATATTGTTGGTTATAATGTTAATCAGTACTCCCCCCATTGAAGAATTGGCAGCAATCTAACATTTCAAATTTAATGTAGAAATCCTATGTCTGGAACTTTATCCTGAAGGTATATTTAGTTTTTTACCAGTTGTAAATAACTAAAAATTACATGTGTAGGGTGAATGATAACTTTAAAAAAATCTTGCTATTATATATATACATTTATATGTTTATATATGAGAATGCATGGTGTGACTCTGTATGTGTATTAATATATCATTGTGCCATTGTTTGTAACAACGAAAGACTAAAATTGAACAGCTCATCAACAGGGACCTAGTTAAATAAATTGTAATTAGGCCATATAGTAGAGTACTCGTAGCTTTAAAAAAAGAGTGAAAGAAATGCTCTACTTACTGATATGGAGGAATATAGGAGATAAATTGTTGGGTGAAAAAGAAAGCAGGGTTCAGAACAGCACGTTTAGTATGTTACCTTTTGTATTAAAAAGTAAAAATAATTTTGATTTCTTACATCTACAGAAAACTCTGGAAGGATATATAAGAGACTAGTTGGCTGCATAGGGTGTTGGGGACTAGGTGAATGGGGACTGGTACTCCCCTTTTTGTTGAGCCATTTAAAAATTAAATAATTTAACTAAAAATTGCATGTTTAAGATGAATGCTAACTTTAAAAAAATATTGCCCTTATATATACATGTTTATGCATTTATTTATTTATATTTAGATATACCTTGTTAGGTGTCTGTGTTATGATATTGGAGTATATTCTTTTTTTTTTTTAGATGGAGTTTTGCTCTTGTCCAGGCTGGAGTGTGATGGAGTGATCTTGGCTCACCACAACCTCTGCCTCCAGTGTTCAAGGGATTCTCCTGCCTCAGCCTCCCGAAAAGCGGGATTATAGGCATGGGTCACCACGCCTGGCTAATTTTTGTATTTTTAGTAGAGATAGGGTTTCTCCATGTTGGTCAGGCTGGTCTTGAACTCCTGACCTCAGGTGATCTGCAAGCCTCGGCCTCCCAAAGTGCTGGGATTACAGGAGTGAGCCACCGTGCTGGGTGGAGCACAGTGTTTGAGATGATCGCACTGAAATTAGGAGCATATCCTTTGAAGCAACTAATTTCAGTCACATCATCTCAGTAATTTTTAAGGTAAATTGCTAAAAATTGTCCTCTTAGAGACTTTCTAGTACAGATTAATCTTCTAAATTCTTTTGCAGAGCTGCTTTAAAACTTAATTTTTTACCTAGAGAAATCACCATACATTTAAATCACCATATATTAAAAAGCTAAAGCATTTCACTTGTAATAATGTCCAGGATGTATGTTCAAATATTAATCTTCACATGAATCTTTTTATGTCTTCAGCAACATCGGCGAGTATAGACAGAAGCGCTCCCTTAGAAATAGGTCTTCAGCGATCTACTCAAGGTATGCTTGTTGCATATTTATATTGACCTTTCAGAAGCCCATTCCAAAACTACACATTCATTGACTTCTCTTTTATAGTCAAACGAGCTGCGGATGAAGTTTTAGCAGAAGCAAAGAAACCACGAATTGAGGTAAAGAAACTTTGACAATGTAAATAATATTGTTTAAAATACTGAAATTCGGGTGTTGTAGAACAAGGATTCTTTGCAGTAACCTGAGAAGCTTTTTTCTTGGAAAAATTTTTGTGGTAGAAAGAACAATTGATTAATAAGTAGCTCAAGCTATAGTTTTTGCCCTCTCACGTGCAAGCTATGTGATGGACACAACATTTTTTTCTTTGCTCTTACAGTCTTAGTGTTGAAAATATTGGCTCAAGGGTCAGAATTCTTTTTCCTGGGTGACAGACATTCTGTCACCCAGGTTGGAGTGCAGTGGTATGATCATAGCTCACTGCAGCCTCGACTGCCGAGGCTCAGGCGATCCTCCCACCTCAGCCTCCCGAGTAGTTGGAACTGCAGGTACCTGCCACCATGCCTGGCTAATTTCTCTCTCTCTCTCTCTCTCTCTCTGTGTGTGTGTGTGTGTGTGTGTGTGTGTGTGTGTGTGTATGTTACTATTTTTTTTTTGGTGGGGGGTTTTCTATGTTGGCCAGGCTGCATAATACTTTATCTGTGAAAGGCCAGATAATAAGTATTTTAGGCTTTATGGGCCATACAGTTTTTGTTGCAACTATTTCACTTTAATATTATAGTGTGAAACCATTCATAGACGATACATAAATGAACAGATGTGGCTATGTTTCTGGTTTTTGTTTTTTTTTTTTTTTGATCTGAAGTCTCTCCCTTTTGCCCAGGCTGGAGTGCAATGGCTCCATCTCGGTTCACTGCAGCCTCCACTGCCTGGGTTCAAGCAGTTCTTTGCCTCAGCCTCAGCCTCCCAAGTAGCTGGGATTAAAAGCACCCACCTGCTAATTTTTTTTTTTTTTAGTTTTAGTAGAGATGGGGTTTCACCATGTTGGCCAAGCTGGTCTTGAACTCCTGACCTTGTGATCTACCTGCCTTGGCCTCCCAAAATACTGGTATTACAGGCATGAGCCACTGTGCCCAGCCAGATGTGGCTACGTTTTTATAAAAAACTGTAGGAAACAGATGGAGGGCCAGAATTGGTCTTTGGAATGTAGTTTGTCTGCCCTTGAAACAAGGTTTTATGGGGGCTTGCTTTACTGCTTGGAGCTGTGAATATAAAGTACTTACTACTTAAATTTAATTTTAATTAAGCATATTTTGAAACATGGATCTGAAATTTTCAAGAGAGAGTGATAATTGATTCATTGTTACTGCTGTATACTATGTGATATTCTAAGTACTTTATATGTATTAACTCATGTAATCGTATTTGCTCATAAATATATGCATAGTACTTCCAGTCCTCATGAAGCTGGTAGTACTATGCATGTCATCTCTGAGTGAACAGGCTCAGACAGAGTGAGTGACTGAGGTTTAAAGAACCAGTTGGAACCTAGGCAGTCTGGTTTCTAGCCATTCCCCTGGGTATAAATTTTGTTGCAGTAAAACAATGTTTCACCTTACATGACAGGAGATTGCGACCTGTGGTAAACAGTGTGTGTATTTAGGGGATAACATTTATTTGATCTCAAATTCCTGGTCTCTAGCATTCTGCCCTCCTTGGCCTCCCAAAGTGCTAGGTTTACTGGATGAGCCAGTGCACCCAGACCAAGGGGTACCATTTATTTGAAACAACCTGAACGTAACAGTCTAATTATTTGAAAAAATTCAACATGGCAGAAGTCCTAATTTCCTAGGATTCTAATAACTTGAAAAATAAGCAGGAAATAGCATAATACATATGTTTCTGATCATTTCTAGGGTTGAAATGTGTTATGTAAAAAGCTGTGGATTTCATTTTTGGTTTTCAGTTCAGTGTATATTTTTGAGAACTTATAAGGAACTGTGCTAGGAAAGAGAAACTGAGGGCAGAGTTTCTGATTTGATAAAAATCTAGGCCACAGTTGTTTTTAAAATCAGCAGTTTTGTGAAGAATTTGGGTAATTTGGGCTATATCTTTATTGCAGATGGAAAAAATTGGATGCATTTGCCAAAGTATTTTTGCATTTATTTCAGCTGATGTATTCGTTTTAAGATTTTTACGTGATAGATTAGCAGTAGGACGGACGTAATTGGAACCCAGCATCTTTTTGGGTTTCTGGAGTATGCTGATGCTTTTCATAGAGTTTTGTATTCCATTAGTCAGTCATTGACTCTTGTCTGCAGTTTTGTTATTTGTTGAATGTGAGCATTCAGCTAGATCGGGGTTACCAGATTTTGTTTTGTTTTTAACCATCTGCTTTTCAGACTAAATTTTACCTGACATCATAATACATAAATTAGATAAAAGCTGAGCTACCAGGGTTGAATTTCAGATGAGATCTTGAAGTGGCCCATGAGGCATTTAGTTGGAAGCTTCTAACGTTCTAGGGAGCATCCTTTGAAAGCCTTTTGGGTTTTCTTTGGAACATTCTGATTAGTCCTGTGGATTCAGGACCTGTAGCAACAGATGAAAAAAGATGAAGATGCCAAAATGAAATTTTTGACTAGGTGAAGGCTTGTCCATAACATTTGGTTATTAACTTAAAAATATGACTTTATTTATTGTATGATGTCTTTCTGAAGAAAGGTAGCTATGATAGGGGAATAACACTTAATCATAAAAAAGTGGCTAAGCAAGTTTTTCCTAAGCTTCTGGATGATTCCAGTTTTAAAATTCAACATATATTTATTGTTATTATCTTTCTGTAGCTAAAAGTAGTCTTGAAGTTGACCTAAAGACACTGATAACTAGAATTGTAAAGGTAGGAAATTTGGTAAGAAAAAGTTACATGTAGTGGTTTTGTTGTTGTTGTTTTTGAGATGATGTCTCGCTCTGTCGTCAGGCTGGAGGGCAGTGGTGCAATCTCGGCTCACTGCCCTCCGACTCTCGGGTTCAAGTGATTAACCTACCTCAGCCTCCTGAGTAGCTAGGACTATAGATGTGTGCCACCACGCCTGGCTAATTTTTTTTTTTTTGTATTTCAGTAGAGATGGGATTTCACTGTGTTGGTCAGGATGGTCATGATCTCCTGACCTCTTGATCCACCCGCCTTGGCTTCCCAAAGTGCTGGGATTACAGGCGTGAACCACTGCGCCCGGCCATGTGTGTTTTTTTCTTCCTAAATTAAATAAAAATTTAAAATACACTAACCAGTGGTTATTTCCAGGATGAAGAGTGTGTGCGCCTTGATAAAGAGAGATTGGCTGCTCGTTTGGAGGGTCACAAAGAAGGGATTGTACAGACTGAACAAATCAGGTAAGAATTTTTTTTTAGTAGAAAGTAGATAATTTAGATATACGTGAATGTATATGGAAAAGTAATATTAAAATAGTCTCTGCATTTACATTTACCTCTTGGATTCATTGTATGTTTCTGTGCTCTAAGTTCGTAAGAATATGTGTGGGGGTTGGAAGTCATTGTGTCTGTCATGGTTTTTGAAAAGTCTTCTTGATTCTATTACCATATTGATCTTTCTTTTTAGAAATTGCTTTATAAGCTGAGAAATTCATTTTATGTAATCTCATTGATTATGTATAGCAGAGGTCAGCAGGCTTTTTCTAGAAAGTGCCGCATATTAAATATTTTTAGCTTTGCAGGTAATATGGTCTCTTGAAACTACTGAACTTTTGTGGTATAGGGAAAGTAGCTATAGACAATACATAAATGGTTGGGTGTAGTTTCTTCACTTTTTAAAAATGTTTTAATTTTTCTGGATTTCAGCTACTCAAACTCTAAGTTGTTTGATAGCTTACTTACATTCTTTTTTTGAATTCTTTTCTGTCTGTTTATATTCTTTTATGAATTATTTTTGGATAGTTTCTGTTGTGTTGAACTTGACTAATACTTTTTCTTTAACAGTTCACTTAATTTAAAAAATTTTTTTTGGATTCTTTACCTATCTGTTATATTCTTTTTTGAATTTTTTTTTTTATAGTTTCTGTTGTGTCTTCAATTTTACTTTGTTTTCCCTGTAATCCCATGGATGTTTCATCTCCAATATTGTGGTTTTCATCTCAAGAAGTTTTTTCTTTTGAGATAGAGGTTCACTCTTGTTGCCCTAGCTGGAGTGCAATGGTGCTATCTCAGCTCACTGCAAGCTCCGCCTCCTGCATTCAAGTGATTCTCCTGCCTCAGCCTCCCAAGTAGCTGGGATTACAGGCACATGCCACCATGTCCAGCTAATTTTTCTGTGTTTTGCTCTTTTAAAAAAACAAACAAACAAAAATACTACTTCATCTTTTCATTTAACTTGTTGAAATACAGGATATAGTTCTAGTAATTATTTTCATGACTTGAGATTGATATTTCTCTTATTCTGGGTCATATTTTCATGCTTTATCACATATCAAGTGATCTTTGATCACACACCAAACATTTTGTATACTTTTTGCATTGTTGAGTGCTAGATATTGTTATATTTCCCACATCATCTTTAGCTTTGCTTTGGGACACATTTAAATCACTTGGAAACAGTTTGGTTTTTTTGGGGCGGGGTGCCTTGGTTTTAATTTATTTGAATTGGTCAGCTAGGATTATTATTCCCCACCCACTGAGGCAAGACCGTTCTGAGTACTCTACCTAATACCTCATGAATATGAGGTTTCATTCTGGCTAGTGGAACAGGCACTGTTCTTCACCCTGTGTGATCACTGGACGTTACTCTGTTTAATCCACTTGGGTGGTTCTTTATTCAACCTTAGTTTCTTCATATTTATGTGCTAGTGACTATTCTGCTGGGGTACATTAGTGGGATCTCCTGTGCAGTTCTCTCCTCAGGTGTTCTAGCCTATGAATTCTAACGAGCTTGGTCTTGTAATCTGAGCTCAATTTCCTTGTATCAGAGAATCCGCTGAGTTCTACCTGGGTTCTGCTCTTAAGGCCATGTCTTGGAAACTTAGAAGGCAAAAAACTGAGGCAGTTATAGGGCTTACTTTATTTCTCATTTGTTAGGGAGTTACTATCCTTAATTGCTTGATATCTAGTGTCTAGTAAACCATTGTTTTATGTATTCCGACTGGTTGTTTAAAAGCTGGAGTGTTAATCTAGTCTCTGATACTTCATCTTGTCTGTAAGAAAAACTTACATGATTCGAAGTCCATTGCAGGCTTGATTATAGTTTGGAAAAGTACAGTAGTCTCCCAGCCACCCTCTGGGGATATGTTCTAAGACTGCCAGTGGATGCCTGAAACGTTGGATAGTCCTGAACTCTAGCCAAGAAGTACCAAGGTCACCTTTTCATTTAAGGGAAGCACTTTGGCAGAGGTGTATGCGAATTGCTAACATCACTACTCTTGTGTTTTGGGGCCGTTATTAGGTAAAACAAAGGCTACTTGAACATAAGTACTTTGATGCTGCCATAGTTGATTTGAAAACCGAGATAGCTACTAAGCGACTAATGGGCAGGTAGTATGTCCAGTGTGGATACACTGGACAATCCCAGGCAGGTATCCCAGGTAGGAGAGTACAAGATTTCAGCAGGCTACTCGGCATGGCACATAATTTAAAACTTATGAATTATTTATTTCTGGAATTTTCTATTTAATATTTTGGACTGTGGTTGATACCGGGTAACTGAAACTGTGGAAAGCCAAACAGAGGAATAGTGTATTTGAATGTGGCTTACGGTATGCCTGGTGTGCTTTAGATTTTAAGAGAAATTTGCACAGTATTACACAAAATACATCATATGCCGGATGCATATTGAGCACTACTATAAAGTTCCTTCATACCTAAAGTTAGAATAATATGTAATATTACTGTATTTAAACCTGCAGGAATTTTCGTCCTTTTTCCAGATTTTGTGTAACATTTCAAGATTTTCATCTTGTGACTAAAGTAATATTTTTGTCTACTGTTATTAAGGTACCCAAACACTTTTTAATTCTTTTTCTCATTTTACATGCTAAAAAAGACATTTTGCTTAAGATTATCATTTTATGACATCTATACTTTCAGTATTAAGTCCTTTTTTTATATTTCTGCAGACATAGTCTCTTTACTACTTTGGCTATTTGAAAAAGAAAGAGAAGAAAAAGAAAACTGTATAAAACATGGTTTTATCCTCCAGAGATTAAAAGGAGTATGTTTTTGTGGCATATAAAAGCCTAAAGCCTGTCACTTAAAATAATGTTCTGCACTTTGACATACAAGTTTGAAACCTTGAAATCAATTTCAAGGAAAACCTGGGCTTTGAACTTTCTGTACGATGAATTTTCTACCCCCTTGCAAGGTGGCTTCTTTGTGTGTGTGTTATTTCCATAGATACAGAAAATATAAAGGAAAGCACCTGTATTAATAAGTCCTGCTTTTTTGCAGGGAAGAGATGAAAAAATGTGAAGAGTTTTGTTGCATTGATATTTCTAAGACATTACTAATTTGCTCTTAGAATGATATCTTGACGTGAATTCTTTCTAAAATTTTATATAATTGCAGAATATTAAGTCAGTCTTACAAATAAGAAAACCTTAATGATTGCCATTAAAGTGTTTTTACCAGAAATTTATAAATGTAACAACATATATTTATGATACATTCCAGGAATCCTTGCTGTGAAAATTTTAAAAAGAAATTTTTTTTAGGTCTTTGTCTGAAGCTATGTCAGTGGAAAAAATTGCTGCAATCAAAGCCAAAATTATGGCTAAGAAAAGATCTACTATCAAGACTGATCTAGATGATGACATAACTGCCCTTAAACAGAGGAGTTTTGTGGATGCTGAGGTAGATGTGACCCGAGATATTGTCAGCAGAGAGAGAGTGTGGAGGACACGAACAACTATCTTACAAAGCACAGGAAAGGTAATTAAAATATTTTGTTCATTCGTTGAAGTGAGAGAGAGAGAGAAAGAGTGAGAGAGAGGGTGGTAGAGAGAGAAAAAGTAGGAATCAAAATGCAAGCTCCTTCACATATCATTTGTAAATCAAAGAATGGCCCAATTTTCCTGTAGAGTCATTTTTGCCTAAACATGATGAACAGGGAATATTGATGGCAAGTTCTCTGGTTATTAATGCCATTATTATTTTTTTCCCTTCGTGGTAGAGAACTTACGGAAATCTGTTGCAAACGTTCATTGAGACATTTTACACTTTATATTTTGTTGTGTGGGGGTAGCAGTTTTTTCACTAGCTCCTTATTAGTGGAAATTGTTTTCTCTTGTTTTTGCTTCAAAGATTGTGGGATTTTTTTTTTTCCTTTTTTCTGTGTCCTTCCTCTTCTCTCTCTGCCTCCCTCCTCCTTCCTCTTTCTCCTCTTGTTTCCTTCTCTTCCTCTTTCCCTCACTTCCTTTTCTCTATTACGAATAATTCATTAGGAGGCATTCTTATACACATACCTTTGTGTATTTATGTGTATATAGCCAAAGGATTAATTCTTAGAAACAAATTGTTGGTCAAAGGAGACGTGCACTTTAAATTTTAAAAGATAAAAATCTGAAATACTGCATGTCTAGTATTTCATGGATCCCCAAAAAGAGGATGCATTTATCCTGATTTATGTACTTGCATTTTTCTTTTCCTCTTCTGTGCCTCAATTTCTTCTTATAACTGTTTTCTCCACTGTTGCACAGTTAATAGTGATGATCTAGTAACAGTGTTTAAGTGTGCAAGGTTACTAGTGAAACGAAATTTAACCTTGTTTTAGGCAAACTAGTGATGGTTGTAGAATTTTGGGATTTTAGCCTGAAATTTATATTGCCATTTTATCTATCTATCTATCTATCTATCTATCTATCTATCTATCTATCTGTTTTTTGAGACAGCGTTTCGCTCTTGTTACCCAGGCTGGAGTGCAATGGCGCAATCTCGGCTCACCGCAACCTCCGCCTCCTGGGTTCAGGCAATTCTCCTGCCTCAGCCTCCTGAGTATCTGGGATTACAGGCACGCGCCCCCATGCCCAGCTAATTTTTTGTATTTTTAGTGGAGACAGGGTTTCACCCTGTTGACCAGGCTGGTCTCGATCTCTTGATCTTGTGATCTGCCTGCCTCGGCCTAAGTGGTGGGATTACAGGCTTGAGCCACTGCACCTGGCCTTACTATATTGCCATTTTAATAGCAATAAAGCTATGAAAAGAGCATATGAAGAATTGTTTCTTTTTCTTTTGTACTTTGACTTGTTTTACAAAGTACCTAAGGTTGAGATTAAGAATCATTCTCCAGAGCTTAGAATTATAGAGAAATCTGAGGATCTTTGAGTGAACTTCCATTTTCGCTATTTACAATGAAATGATTTGTTGATACTGATTTTCACTGTCTAACATGGCTAATACTTGAGTAATATTGTGACTTATGTTGATCTACCAGTTTTCATTAAAATTACCAAAAAATCTGAAACTCAGAGTAGAAGAATAAAAATCGGTGATATACCCTACCTAACTTTTAGACCAAACTCTGCATTTTCGAGTAACTGAGGGGAACAATTTTCTTTGAGCTCTAGGTGGCAGGATTGTACCATCATTTGTAAACTTACTGATTTAATATTGTTGATACAACTGTATCTTTTAAAAAATAAGTTAATAAAGAATTGTTTTGTAGCAAGGCTTGCCTAAATGAGTATTATTAGCATTAAAAAAGATAAAAAATATTTTGACTGATAGTCTTTCCGTGTACTGTTTTTATCTGGTAAACTCTAGAAATACTCTTAGACAGGTGAGAATAGCAAAATAACCTTAGGAAGTTAAAGCCCTGTGAATTTTAAATAGACCTTCTTTATTACCAGTTATTAGGGCTTTCTTCTTTTTTGAGTTTCAGAAAAAAAAGTCAGGTTGAAGATTTCATGAGAGACCGGGTGCAGGGGCTCACGCCTGTAATCCCAATACTGGGAGACCAAGGTGGGTGGATCACCTGAGGTCAGGAGTTCGAGTCCAGCCTGGCCAACATGTTGAAACCCCATCTCTTACTAAAAGTAAAAAAATTATCTGGGCATGATGGCACATGCTTGTTGTAATCCCAGCTACCTGGGAGGCTAAGGCAGGAGAATTGCTTGAATCTGGGAGATGGAGGTTGCAGTGAGCTGAGATCGTGCCATTGAACTTCAGCCTGGATGACAGAGTGAGACTCTGTTCCAAAAAAAAAAAAAATTTCGTGAGAAGTATAAATAAGTTGTTAGTTTTGCAAGGACACCAAATAAAGTGACTTAGTTATATAATGCCATTTAGAAAACACACTTTTAAACTTACGTCAGTTAGTAAAAGGTGAAAGATTTATAGGTTCTGAAGAGAAACGTGTATAAACATATGAATTAGTATATGTTCAATGTTGAAAAATTGGTTTAAAAAAAGGAGATCCCTAGAAGGAAGATGGTAATAGTAGATTTATGATAATGCTCATTCTTTATTTTTAATGTAAGATTTGCTTATCATATATTTTCAACTATTTCTGTAATAAGACAAAGATGTTATGTGCATTTTTCACTGTATTGATCTTTGTAGTGATGGTGGAAAATCAACGGTTGGTATAACTGCTGGCCACGGTGTGAATCAAGGCAGTGGCACTTTACTAGTAACTACTATGTTCTTTACTCACTAATAATGTCCTTGATGGTGTTTTTAAAATTTATGAATTTTGTTAAATCTTGACCCTCAAGTATGTCTTTTTAATATTTTGTGTGATGAAATTGAAATGTAGAAAGCACTTCTGCAAATCTGTTGGTTACTCTCATTAAGAGACTTGTGCCATTGTATGAGGTCTGAGCTGAATCAACATTTTAAATTTTACTAACTGTTATTCAGACTTGGGTATTTGGTAGACTTTTTTTTTTTTTTTTTTTTAAATGAAGGAAATAGATTTGTTCCTTCAAGGAAAGCAACTGATAGTATTTTTTGCCAATGATAAAAAAAATACTTTCATGAGAAAATTAGAATTTGGGAAGTTTCTTTATGCTGCTGTCAACCTTAACAGTTTTCTAATTCTTCTCCCCCTCTCCACCATAAGTAAAGAAAGGCAGTTTTCTAATTCTTAAAGTCTTCTAGTGAGTCTTTTACAAATAACATTAACAAGTGTAATTTGTTGGTTTTCTATAATTATGTTACTATTTGGAAAATGTGCATACTTCAGTGATTGATATTTTGCTGTCAGAAAACCATGCATGGGTAAAAAGTTCATTGAAAGTACAAGAGAGGCTGATGGGCTTTCAGGTACCTGTACAGAAAGTTTATGGATGTGGTTTCCACATTTCATGAACCTTTAAGAAGCATTTATTGCATTTTGGTATGATAGCAAAGAAGACTATCCATAGTTCTGAAAAACTGTTAGAATCGTCTTCTCTTTTCCAAACGTTTGTGTGAGGATAGATTTTTCTCTGTATTCTTTGACCAGATAAGATAGCACAATAAATGTTGAATGTAGAAGCCGATCTGAGAATACAGCTCTCTTCTATTAAGGCAGAGATTAAGGAAATTTGCAAAAATTTAAAACCTACCACTCTTTCTTGTCATTACTTTTATGCATTTTGAAAAGTGATTTTTAATTTTTTTTAGTTTTAATTTTAAATTCAATAGATATTGTAACTCACACAAACTTAAAGCTCTTTGGGGTCCTTAGTAGTTTGTAAGAGTGCAAAGGGGTCCTTACATTTGCTGCTCCAGAGAATTATAGGAACTGGTTGGCACTGCAACTGGTATAGTGATGATAATTATCTTTCAAGCTGCCTCTCATTTTATATACATATTTATTTGTATTGTATTTATTTAACATCTACAAACCAAGCAAGTGCTAGTCACTGACTGGAGGTACATTGGTCCTAGTTCTCACAGAAGTTATATTCTTCAGCAGAAGTCAAAATTAAAAAGTGGTAATTATTGTGAATATTATAGGACAGACACCCAGCAAGGACAGTTAACTTAGGTGAGAATAAAGAGGATTGATACCTAAAGAATAAAAACTAGTGAGGGAAGTGAAATGGGTAAGGTGGGAAGAGTGGTCCAAGCCAAGCAAACAGAATGCTTTCTTTGAAGAAGAGAAATTATGTTGTATTTGAGGTTCATGAGGGCAGACCATGTCTTTTTTCATCATCATTGCACCCAAGTGCCAAGCAAGGTGTTTGGTTTAGAGGAGATTCTTACCACATATTCCTTCAGATGTTAAGTGACTGATAGGTAGCATAAGAAGAGCCCCAAAGGAGCTGTCAGACATTAGGGGTGAAACCAAGAGACAGTGGCGTCTCAGAGGCCAAGTGTCTCTGTCTGTTCTGCTGCTGTGGATATCACAGACTGGGTAATTTATGAAGACAAGAAATTTATTTCTCATACTTTCTGTAGGTTGGGAAGTCCAAGAACATTGCAGTGGCTTCTAGGTAGGGTCGTTTCATGGCAGAAGGCAGAAGCAAACAAGCAAACAAACAAGACACAGAGAGAAATGGGGCCAAACTTACTGTATCAGGAACCCGAGCCCACTTCTGCAGTAACAGTATTAATCCATTCGTAAGGATGGAGCCCTTATGACCTACCTAATCACCTCATAGACTCCATCTCCTCATACTGTTATAATGAATAAAATTTCAACACCAATTTTAGAGGAGACATTCAATCCATGGCATGAAGGAAGAATATTTAATGAAGGAAAGAGTAGTCAGATTAGTTAGCTGTGTTGACTTTTGATTAGCATGTAATTGCATCGTAAGTTGAAGAGCATTTTTACTTGTACTTTCCACTTATAAATCTTTGAAAAGTATACATTTGGCTGGGCCGGGTGCGGTGGCTCACGCCTGTAATCCCAGCACTTTGGGAGGCCGAGGCAGGTGGATCAAGAGGTCAAGAGATCGAGACCATCCTGGTCAACATGGTGAAACCCCGTCTCTACTAAAAATACAAAAAATTAGCTGGGCATGGTGGCGTGTGCCTGTAATCCCAGCTACTCAGGAGGCTGAGGGAGGAGAATTAATTGCCTGAACCCAGGAGCAGGAGGTTGTGGTGAGCCAAGATCCTGCCATCGCACTCCAGCCTGGGTAACAAGAGCGAAACTTTGTCTCAAAAAAAAAAAAAGAAAAGTATACATTTACTTCTAATAGTATCTCAGAATTGTGTAATGTGTAACAATCTGAAATTAGCACTGAAGTTTATTTAACAGAGAGGAGGATATAGTAGTTGATTTTTTTTCTCAACTAGAAGCATCTTTAGACAAATGTGTTATATTTTAATTTTATTTATGTTAACTTGTTTTCTGATTATATATTTGAATAGATGTAGAATATGAATACATTTGTAGCAGTTTAAGTAAAGTGAAAATAACGAAATGAATACCATGGGATTTATAATAGTCTCTGGATCAATATATCAGTAGTGGTTTTTATATATGTGTATAATAATGATACCTTATGATATATATAGTAAAGAAGAACTGAGAGTAAGATAACTGAGTCTTAAATTATTTATCAAGTAACTTTACTATTGTGTGTTTCAGGTGGGCTTAATTAAAATCCATTTATATTTTAGAATTTTTCCAAGAACATTTTTGCAATTCTTCAATCTGTTAAAGCCAGAGAAGAAGGGCGTGCACCTGAACAGCGACCAGCCCCAAATGCAGCACCCGTGGTAAGAATGCTTTACTGCTTTACAGCAATTTTAATGAAGTTGCCACTTATATTGCAGTGTAGTAATGTTGAAGACATCTTTACATTTTAAAATCAGTGGATTATAAACCTTTTGCTGCTTCAGAGTATCTGAAAGATGTGAAAGCCCTCCCCAGTATTAAAAGTTACTTACTTAGGCAATACTTCTTAACTAGAGCAGTAATTCTTAACATACCTCGGTCAGAGTCTGAGACAAAAAAATCTGTTGGGTCAGAGTCTCTTAAAAAAAAATTTTTTTTTAAGTTAGCTGAGTGTGGTGGTACATGTTTGTGGTCCCAGCTACTTGGAAGGCTGAGGTGGGAGGATCACTTGGGCTTAGGAGGTCTTGGCTGCAGTGATCTGTGATCACACTGCTGTACTCCAGCACATTAAATAAGTGATATTTAAAAATATTAACATGTTACTCATAATTAAAAAAAATTTTTTTTAACAGGATCCCACTTTGCGTACCAAACAGCCTATCCCAGCTGCCTATAACAGATATGATCAGGAAAGATTCAAAGGAAAAGAAGGCAAGTTGCTTAATTCTTATCTTCCCCTTAGTGGGGTTGTGTTGAACTTGAGAGGCAGTATGGCCTGATGTTTAAGGGTGAGGGTTGGCAACGTAATGTCTGCAGGCCAGATCTTACCCACTACAGTTTTTTGTAAATAACATTTTGTTGGGACACAGCCACACCCATTCATTTATGCATTTTATGTATGGCTTCTTTGGCTTTGTGACTTCAGTATTGAATTTTCAGCCTACAAAGGCTAAAAATATTATCTGGCCCTTTACAGAAAAAAATTGGCCAGTCCCTGATTAATAGCATGGATTCTGGATCCAACAGCTTATGTTGCAGTAACTTTTTGTGTGAATTTTAATGTTACTTTTAACTGCATTCTGTCTTAGTTTTCTCCTCTGTATAATTAAAATACTATTATAGTACCTGTTTCTTCTGGTTATTCTGAGTATTGGACTGGTTAATAAATATTAAGTTCCCAGAATAGTATCTTATATGTAAGTAAATTATCTATACATATTTGCTGTTATTCATACTGCTTTTGTTTTTAAATAGAGACTCTGTATGTTAAATCGTGTTTCTGAAGTTATAAATGTGCACATTGTGAACTTGGAAACAGATTTTGACCAATGATGGCAGGACTTACTTTGTGATAGCTTACGTGGTATTCTGGCCAATGCAATAATAGACCATTTCTGCAGTTGTTGGGTGAAACTAATGTCAGGGTAACTTCCTCTTGGGATCTTCATTCATTATGACTTGATACATGAAAGTAAGGTTTAGAAGCAATGGAAGTTAATGGTATTTTAAAGCATAATCTGAAGTCTTCCTTTAAATTTTTTTTAAAGTGTATGTAGCCTTGATGCAATGAATTTTGTGTGCCAACTTCATTTAGTTGATAAAGGCATGCACCGGATATGTGCCATAAAAAGACAATAGTCCATGCTTTGCTTCACACTTTTATGTTTTTCTTGGGGAATGAATTATATAAAGCAGAGACTGGTAAATTACAGCCCTGAAACTAAATACAAACCTCCATGGGGCAAATTGGGCTGCCCCCAGTTGATCACATATATTGTCTATTCTGCTTTTGCACTGCAACTGCAGAATTGAGTAGTTGTGACAGAGATTTTAAGGCCTACAGTATATAAACCGTTTACTATGTGACCCTTTACAAAAGGCGTATTGGGATTCTGTCCTGTCACTCCAATCATTATTTACAACATTACTTTCTATAGAATATGTAATATGGTTGGTTGCTGTGGCTCATGCCTGTAATTCCAGCAGTTTGGGAGGTGGAGGCAGGACGATTGCTTGAGCTCAGTACTTTGTGACCAACCAGCCCGAGCAACAAGGCAAGACCCCATTGCTACTTAAAAGTACAAAAAAATAGCCGGGTGTGGTGGTACATGCCAGCGGTCCTAGCTACTCAGGAGGTTGAGGTGGGAGGATTGTGTGAGCCTGGGGAGGGGGTTGGGGTTGGTAGTACAGGTTGCAATGAGCTGAGATTGTGCCACTGTACTCCAGACTAGGTGACAGAGACCCTATCTCAAAAGAAAAAAAAAACATATATATAAGGCATATATAAATAAGTATATGCCTTACGATTGAAATTTTGGAACACTACTTTTTATAACTGGGTCTTCTCATGATATTAGGTGCTTTTAGTGGTACTATCATTGAGTGTTAGTAAGTAATTTGGGGTTATAAAGTATTCAGTCTACATTTTGAATGTAATTGCAGAGATAGTCTTAATCAGCTTCTACACGGTAGGCTTGTTGGTCTCTATTTAATATATTAGTATTTTTGAGCCTAGCTTCCTTTTTAAAGTTTTTGTCTTTACAAGTATGTAATTTAATTTTACATAGTAGATTGAAGGCTTTGTTATACTATTGAACCATCAGATACAGTGTAGATTATTACTTTAGATTTGTTACAGATCATAAGATGCATGATCTATAAAATCTTAACAGCAAACCTCTTTTTTTTTTTCATAGAAACGGAAGGCTTCAAAATTGACACTATGGGAACCTACCATGGTATGACACTGAAATCTGTAACGGTAAGTTAATTTGGCTGTAGATGCTCTTTTGTTCCAGGGATTTTATGTGAGTAGCACATGTTGAAGAAAATCTTTATTTCCTCATATTTTTTATTTCAAACATTTTTCTTTATTGATCACTTGTGCTGATTGATCTGTGTGGTGTATTATTTGATTCATAGGTATCCTGTTTCGTTTTTCTTTTCCTTCGAACTAAGTTGAGTATGTGTAAATAAAAGTGATTTGATTAACTTGCAAGTAGGGCAATGCACCTGGTCAGTATTTAAAACTATTGAGTTGCAAAGTCAGTTTGGGAGAGCTTTTTGCCATCATATCATTTGTTTTTAAAAATGTAATATATTACACTCTTTAAAGGGATGGAATATAGTGATTACAATGCTTACAAAGTATGTAATTGGTAGAACTAAATATTTAGGTGTCTGTGAATATAAGCCTTTGGTTCATGTTTAGCAAACTTTATTTTTTAACCTCCAAAAAATGGTTATTTCTGTATATTCTGACAAAGCCATATTTAACACTTTAAATTTATATTTAGTCAGTGATTGGTCTTGGTATTGTAGAACAGGAATTCTCTTAACCTCATTTTTTATATTTATATTCTAGATCATTATACCTTTTGTACTTGTATTTATATTCTAGATCATTATACTTTTAAAATACTATGCATGTATATTAGATAGAGTATGCTTAAGACAGTAATACCAAACTTCTGTCTTTGCTTGTGATCATCAGATCTTTATGGACTCTGTATGACATGGAATCATTATATATTTGCTGTGATTTCTCAGAACTAACATACATCTTTATACCTATGTGGGATTTTTCAGGTTTTATTCACTTATTTCCAAAAGCAAATAAGTACAGAGATCTGATTTTAAGTTTGTTTTTTTCTGAACTTCAAATTGGGATTGGATATTAGATATTTTGTTAATATACTTGTTTTTAAATTGCTATTAGATTTGATTTTGTATTACTAAATTATATGTAGACTAATGAATTCACTCAGCAAGTATTTATTGAGCATTTGTGTCAGAGCCTGTTGTTGCTGGTCATACAGCTGTGGGTAAGACAGATGAGGCTTCCTTAGAGAAGTCAGAGATACTTCTCTGAGGAGGCAGCAGTTGAGCAGACACTTGGAATAGCATTCTTCTCCATCAGAGCGGGAAAAAGACTGAGGTCCATATGGCAACAGCAAGGAGGCCAGTGTTGCTGGAGGTCAGAGAATTAGGGGAAAAGTCAAGCAGGATTAGATACACTCAGCTTATGTGATCTGCCTGGTTCTTCCTGACTTCAATATATGATTCATGGCTGAAGATTCAGTTTAAATTCTTACGTGATTTGGTTACTGACATCTTGGGAACAGAACTTGCCTACTTAGGGAATGCCCTAAGTACCACAGAACTTGCCTGCTGATCATTCCCTAAGTGAACTAGTTATGGAATGAAATCACTATCCTTGGGGAGTCATCAAAGTAAGTTTGTGCTATTGTTGTTGTTACTGTTTTTTTACTTTTCTTATCCATCCCTACAGCTCTGAAATGCCATGAAATGGTTTTATTATCTGAGCTTCTTTGCAAATAGTAAAATCTGTGATTATTTTTACGTAGTCTTTGTACAGAGCAGTATTTCTAAAATTTAAGGATAGCCTCTTAATTGATCAGTATGAGAATGATGTGATTCTGCATCATCAGAGACTGTCCCTAAATGTACTTCAAAGAGAGGTGAATTTAAGCAAATTTATGCTGCGTGATTTTAAAGAATAATCATGAAAAAAGCATTGTGTAGGAATGCAACAGAAAGACTAAAAATGGTTAAATTGCTGATAGCTTTATTATATTAATACCAAGTTTGAATCTGTGTTGCTTGTGATCTGATTTATGCAGTTGTTAGAATGAATAAACAGAGAAGTTTGAACTTGAAAGCTTTGAAGTTCTCAGATAATTATTTTTTAGTTGTGTCTCAGACTTACATTTCCAATTTAATATTCTTTTCTCCTCTTTTCTGCTTTGTACTTATTACCTGTTTGTGAGCTTATGAGTTGCACCAACTTTCTACCTTATTCTCCAGTCAGGAAAGTTTCTCCTTTATCATATCCACCCAGACATACAAAGATGTTAAATATGTGTTAGAAGGCTTTGCTGCCCAGATGCAGCTTCCTTTGCAATTTATGTATGGTTCATTTTTGCTGTCATTTTTCTCCAAGGTTTTGATATGCCTAGTTGATAGACATAGTGAATAAAATTAGGATGAATCTATGTATCTTTTAAGTTAAGCATCAGATTTATATTATATGCAAGACTAAATTAGGCAGATGGCCAGAATACTTTATACCAATAGATTATTTCCTATATATATTATGGAGAAGGATATACCTTTTGTTAATCATGTTTCATAAGAATCATGAAGTTAGTAAAATCATGAGTAGAATCATGAGTTAGTAAAAATTTTTATAGAAGTAAAGGCCCAGGGAGGGTGCTTTCCTAATACTTTATGAAAATGAGAGTTATTCAAAATTATTATAGCAACAGAAACCCAGGTATCTTTAAAGTTACAAGTTTGTATAGTTGGGTTTCTGGTAAACTTTTGACTTAGATCAGGAAATATGTTTCATAGTAAAGGTTCCAGAGGCCCAAGCCATGAAATAATTGATTTGCTAGAGAACTTTTCCAAGTTTGGAACCTCTCCCCAAATTTGTTACTTGGGTTCTATAATGTTTAAGAAACACTAGGTTATGTCAGGTGCAGCGACTCAGGCCCGTAATCCCAGCACTATCGGAGGCTAAGGTGGGCAGATCACTTGAGGCCAGAAGTTCAAGACCAGCTTGGTCAACATGGCAAAACCTCATCTACTAAAAATACAAAAATTAGCTAGGGCATGGTGGCACATGCCTGTAATCCCACCTACTCAGGAGGCTGAGGCAGGAGAATCACTTGAACCCAGGAGGCTGCAGTGAGTCAAGGTTGCCCCACTGCACTCCAGTCTGGGTGACACAGCAAGACTCTGTCTCAAAACAAAACAGAACAAACAGAAAAAAACCAGTTGATTAAACAGATTTTGTGGTTCAGGAACCTCATTGTTTTTAATGTAAGAGTATCTAACTTTGAAGAATTTGCATTCTTTGGCAAGCTTATTTAACCTTCCAAGTTTACCTCTACCCTAACACCTAGAGAAGATTCTTGGAAAGAACTAGTGTTGCATAGAATCAGGTTAAGTGAAACTATCTCAGAATTATATGTTGGACGTAGAAACCATTCAGTGGCGGAAATAACAGTATTTTTCATGGGTTCGTTTTGTGAAAGGTTGTATTAGTCAAAGAAAATGTCACTTGAGAAAGTTTTTTCTTGTATGGTAAATAAGAGAATATGATGAAGACCTGTCTTTGTTAGCTGTAGCAAGGAACCTATTTATGGTTCCACTGGAGAAAGAGTTAGAAGATGATGATCACAGTTCACTCTTGTTAATAAGGATTTGGTAGTTGCATTGAGAACCACTTCATTTTAACCTGTCTGGCCTGTTCTGTTTAATTGGAAGGGTTACAAACTCTAACCTCTGTATGTTTTTAGTAGATATCATGGACTCTTGATTACCTTACTGTTCTCATTTTTGAAGAAGCATCTCACATTCTGCAGTTATAGAGATTAAAAGCTTTCCTTTAAGATCTTTACTTGAATTTATTCCAATAGTCATCATAGTTCTTACAGTGAGTATGCTTTGGGTAATGAGTTTTCTGATAGTAAGTAAACTTTGGTAGATTTATATAGAATTTGTTAGAGGTGTAATAATATTACCATCAACTCTCGGGAGATCTAGAATCTCAGTCTGTAAACCGGGTTATATTCTAAAAGCAGGAACACATACATTAGTACCCACCCCACCCCACCACTGTTTTATAAAGCCTTCCTTCATTCTCATTTGGTTGGTTAATTTGTTGTTCATCTCTGCTTGAAGTGTTATGGACGTGCTATAGTGGCAGTAATGTTCTGGAGTTGAGTGTAGAGTTCAGTCCTGCAGATAATGGAAAATTTTTCAAGGCTGTCTTCCTTAGGGCTCTATTTCCTTTAGCAAATATTTGTTTAGTGCATGCCGTGTGCCTTGCACTGTGCTGGGTGCTGGCACATCAAAGATGAACAAAACCAGACATATTCTTATGGACTTTATGATCTGGTTGGGGAGGGACACATTAGTCACACTGTAAAATTGTGACTGTGCCAAGTGTTAGAGGTACATTGTGCAACAGGAGCCTAAAATTGGGGGATTTACCGCAGGAGTCAGAGTACTTCATTGAGGAGGTAATGAAGATCAGAACTTTACGTAGGATTTAACTTGGTGATGACAGGAAAACACATTGTAGGAGCAGTGAACAAAAAGCAGGAGTAAAAGCCCTGTGATGGGGAGAGCATGGGGACTAGAAAGATTTGAAAGGAGACTGGTTATTGTATAGGTTTTAAGGATGCTGGTCAGAAAGTTTCTTCTTTCTTTCTCTTCCTCCTAACTGCTTGTAGGTAAGTTTTTTCTTTCTCTTCCTACTGCCTGCTTGTAGTCAAGTTTCTCTTTCTCCTGCCTGCTTGTAGGAAAGTTTCTTTTTCTTCTTCCTGCCTGTTCAAATGTTAGTGCATTATGGCATTACATTACACTAACATTTATGAACAGGCAGGAAGAAGAAGATGGTAAGGTAGCATGCTTCTGGAGTCATTCATCGTGCCAATCTAAATGTGGCCCCAGATATGTTTTATTTGGCATCCATTGTAACTTAAATTTTTATCTTATTCATCACCATTTAAAAATAAGAGCTTATCACATAAACAGTCTGGATTTCTATCTTCTTTAAAATCTATCTGGTATGACTGGTACGGGGTCTGTAGTCTCACATGGCAATAGCCACATCCACATGAGCAGGAACTCCCTCCTTTAGAAAAGAGGTTTTCTCTAGATTGCCACAGGCCTCACCGCTCTGTTGTCTTTTATATAGCCTTCTTTTCTTATTTCTGCTACATTCCTAGA